CTGCCAGCGGCTGTTCGTCTAGGCACCCAAGAAAGAACAAGAGCGCGCCATAGCGCCATCCAGCTGGCCTGCAGCAAACCGTTTCGTTTCTCTTCGCACCCCGGACGCTTCCCTTCTCTTCCTTTTTCCCATCTCTCCCCGCCGTAATCCCGATCATCCCTCATCGCATCGAGTGCCAACATCACAACACGAAAGAGCGGTGTCATCGGCTCACCTTCATACAATACGTCCTTTGCTCGCATCCAAGCGGAACGCTTGATTGTTCCTCTCTCCTCTCCCAGAATGACCCTCGACTACAATGTCAACGGCGGGGGCGATGCCTTACTCGATCTGACCTTTGAACAGCACCAGCGGGACCGGGCTGCTGCGTATAGCTACTCAACCACAACCACAGCTCACTCAAGCCCAGGGCCTGCGTCTAACCTCGTCACTGGCTCTTGGTCTCTTCCCATCGACATGAACGCCAACGCCAACAACTCGCCTCCGGGAGCTCGAGGCAGCTCCCCCGAGGAATTCCACCCAAACTCGCCTCTCTCACACATGTCCAGCCCTCACAGCCATCACTCGCCCCTGCAGCACTCTCCCTACCAGCAACACACAAACCCTCTAACCGACTGGGCTCTTCACCACCACCAGCAACAGGCTGCTTCCGCGGCGCAACACCAGGCCTTGCCTGCGCACGACTTGTCACAATACATCCAGGAATCCACACTGTTGAATTTTAATGCATTTCCGGGCTACCATCCTCTCGAATATCATCTACCAGCGACGACGCAGGCTGCGTTACAAACCCATTTACTAGAGTCGCCCTTCAGCTCGATGCCCGCCTTGGATGATACCGCACACGCAATGCACTGGGGAGGCGCGGGAATGGGAAACTGGCAAGACTTTCAAAACACCCTGCAGCTCGATGGCCTGCCCACCGTTGGTAGCAATTCACCCACTGGAACCTATCTTGAGGTCCTCTCATTACCATCCTCATCATCGGGTGATGGGTGGGCAATGGTGGACTGGGGACATCCTGGCCATGAGCTATTTCAGCCTACTCCAAGTGCTGCTATTTTCAATCCTTCGCAGACACTTCATCTGCGAACCAACTCTGATTCTTCAGACGGTGGCAACTCGGTCGAGGTCGGTAGCTTCGAGGAAATCCCCCCATTCCCTTATTCTCCCTTCTCACCAGAATCTGATGGCCAGGCCGACAACCACAACAACGGTCACCGGAATTGCTACTCGACGGATGGTCACCATCACAGCCATGACAACAGCCATAGTCATAGCCATAGCCATAGCCACAGCCACAACCACAGCCCTACCTCGGTAGCTGCCCCTGTTCCCATCAAGGGCGAGTCTTCCACCCGCCACAGCCCTGGCAGTGGAGCAGGCTCAGTTTCCCCCTCTTCATCTAGCACCACCTCCAGGAGAAGCGCGGGAACGGGCATCCGCAAGAGCCCGATTGCCAAGGCACCCAAGACCGTCGTCAGGCGCATCTCCAACGGAAAGAAGGATGGATCTACCGAGAAGAAGGTTGGCCGCAGAAAGGGACCTCTTTTGCCAGAGCAGCGAAAGCAAGCCAGCGAGATAAGAAAGCTGCGTGCTTGCCTGCGATGCAAATTCCTTAAGAAGACTTGCGATAAGGGAGAGCCCTGCGCTGGATGCCAGCCATCTCACGCTCGCCTCTGGCAAGTCCCCTGCACGCGAATTGACATCAAGGACATTGGCTACTTTATGAAGGACTGGAAGGCCGACTATGAGAGGCACATGGACCGTGGCGTATCCGTCTACAACGTCAAGGGCTTTGCCCAAAAGGAAACGCTCATGTGGATCACCCACGGCTATGGATTTGCCCTGCCCGTCATGGTTCGCGAGGTCTACGTTGCCGATGACAGCTGCTTCTCCGTCGAGTGGGTCGAGTCGTATGTCACCACCAACGACACGATTGACTTTGAGACTCGTACCGAGAAGCTCGATGTCGGTGCTGAGGGCATCCGCATTGATGCTCTCTCCGAGTATCTCGATAAACACATCGAGGGTCCCTTTGAAGACTTCATTGACGACCACTTCGAGGGTACTCCCTTCATCACCGAGATCCTCAAGACCGCTCACCGGTACTACGTCAAGGAGAAGATGCCTGTCATCCGAAAGGCCCTTAAGTTGGTCCTTGCTTACAACTTGACTATGCACATCACCATGGTTGAGAGCCAGGGATCCGAGATGCCGCTTGACGGCCAGATCGACGATGAGGACTCCAAGTACTATGGCCGCACCGTTGCGCCTGTCATGATCAACTTCCAGATTAAGTGTGCTCTGGCTGACATGTGGCGCGAGCTTCAGAAGGACATCCTGGAGGAGCTGTCTGCCCTCTACTCTGGTGTCTACAGCGGTGAGAAGATGAAGAACTGGCCAACCATCTTCCTCCTGGCCTCCATCCTCCTTGCCGTTTGGGAAGAGATGCAGTTTGACTGCCACTACCGCGTCCCTGACCCTGTGGCGGTGAACAAGTTCTGCAACGACATGGAAACTACCCCTGTCGGTGTTATTGTGGGCCTCTTCCACGCCATCTCTCAGAAGCTCCCAGCCTTCACCGACTGGGACACTCGTGAGCACGGCCACCTGCTTCACAACAATGTTGCCGTCTGTGATGCCATGACTGAGGTGCGACAACATGTCATCAAGCATGGTAAGTTTGCACACACTTGTGCTCCATCAAACATGGTTACATGAGGGCACGGTATACTAATAAACTTTACAGAGGCTTACTTGCGAACTCGGAGAGAAGCCAAGTTTGATCGCTACGATTTTGATTCGCTTTCAAACAAGTTCTTGTCGAAGCTTGTTATTCGGGCTAACTAACTAATAGAGGGTTTCTAATTGTTTGTTTGTTTCATCTTTTTTCCTTGTCATGGGGGCAGGCTCGAGTAGACGCGCTCGTCACCATCATTTCCTTCACGACTTTCTTTTTACATGAATCTTTTTACGGTCATTCAGCGACGGCGTTGTGATAAGATTCTCTGCATAAATCTTTGAGGACGGCTTTTGAGCTCGCCATCTACTTCACCTTAGCGTTCCTATTCTTCATTGGTTGACCGCCGCCATGCAACACGACGGTATTGCGGAATGTCTTACGAGCTTGATATGACTTTCTTCCACGAATGTATGACTTGAAGAAGACCTCTCCTTTCACTCTATGTCTCTCTCTATCTTTACACTTTGGTTTTTACTCCATCGGGCAGCTCATCTTTTTTCACACGGGAATTTGCGATTTGATTTTTTTTTTTTTTTTTGGCTTTTTTTTTGCGGCGGAGAGGTGAAAACTCTCGATTATGTTCGTTATGGGATCATGTTGCATGATGTAGTGTTATGGAATCTACAGACAGACAGGTGGCTATGCAGCATAGACGAACATGCATGGTATAGGCGCCTTGGGCCACGGCTTTTGACCTGGCCTTGGATGGAGTGGGATGATTTGACATGATGCCTTGACCAGTTAGGCAGTTGGGTGCGATGGCCGGGAATGCCACGAATAAAAAAACGGCTTTGACTATTGTTAATGGAAGCAACTGTTTTTCATCATGATGACCTTTCTTGACGATCGATTAATATGTGTTTGCATGAGTAAACCCATAGCCTACCTCGCAGGCAGAGCTTCTCCACGGCCAAATGGCTGAGCTATGTTTTGTGATAGCCTTGCCTCCTTTGCGTCCATTGAGCACTGATGCAAACACGGACAGTGGAGGGGATGAGACAACTGAGATGTAGTTATTGTATTTAAGGCAAGCAACGCTGCGAAATGTTTAACCTCTATAAAGATTGATGAGCGTAGATGCTGAAAGTGGATGTCATGTTTATTCTCAAAGCTACTCCTGACGGCAGTGAGCATTTTGGGCCTGGTATCATAGGAAGCATACGGGATGTTGGATGAGAGCATTTAGTTGGAATCAGAGAATGGTGATTGCACTAAGCAGCTGGCGTATGGGTAACCGCTAACCTTCTATAATGATACTGGATAAGTATTGCCGTTATTCGATCTTGGAGAGTGTGAGAGAAAAGACATGAGCATCTATTAATTGAACAGACTGTCTCATTCCCATGGATTCGTTGGTGGAGTAGAGGGGATTTGGCGGATTCTGCGACCTACCCTGTATGCAATTGAGGCTTATTTACCAACTCGCTGGAGACAAGAAAAATGCACTGGTTTATAAGAAATACGATTGGGAAACGAATAATTTTATTTTTCTTTTCTTCTGGGGCGAGATACTCTGTGCTATTCAGCCCGGGGGTTCTGGCGGCACCGGGTAGTAGATGAGAGGAAGCAAAGTCAAATAGTTCTAGAAGTATATGCAAGTAATCGCTCAGCTAGTGACACATTGATTTGGCCGTGGACCATACCTAGGACTGACATCCAAGATTAGATGCCAGCACATGAATCAATAAATACAAACAGACAGCGAAGGGAGAAGCGGTGTCGGGTCATAGTGGTGGAGGGGAGATTCTCTAAAAGTAAACGGTAATGGTAGAGTCTACGAGTAGTAGTATGTATTGTCAATTCCACTATGAGTGAGAACTTCAAATGCTTAATGACACTTTAATGTTCCTTGAGAGCGGATATGGTCCCTCCAAAGACAATAGAGAAGAAGACTGCAAGCCTCGCTGCCTGCACTGGAGGAGGAGGAGGAGGAGGAGGAGGAGGAGGAGAGTGTGATCTTAGCATGAGACTTACAGATGTCATCACCTGGCAGCCAGCAGAGAAGTACCTTCGCGTGCTCGTGCACATACTCTACTTTTGATGTACTTTCTCATGATTCTGACAGCCTGAGGCTGCAAGGAGCTTGGATGCTATATATTCCACAAAGCTGCTCCCTTCCTCTCTCCTCTTCTTTCCCCCCCACAGATCTTCCCTTCTTCAATCATTGATACTACAAGTCCACCAAGCACTGCTCCTTCAGCTAATACCCTATTTTTATACTCATTCTACTGCAACTTGTTCTCAATTTCTCAAGATGGGTAGGTCGAAGATGAAAGACGTGTCATGTGAGATGCCTCTTGAAGATCCACGCTTATTCGAGCAGGCCAAGATGTCACCGTTAAAACCGAGGCTCACCAATCTCTTTTGGGTAGCCTCATGAAGGACAAACTATCTAAGCGGAAATCGCCTTTGGTTGCAGAGGCATACTACTCTGAGGCCATCACCATTTTACGAAGCCTCCCGAAGACAACACACCCAGTTTGGGCCACCTTGAAGAGCCAACTGAAAAAAACCAAACCATCTAAGAAATCAAAGTCAGCGCTTCTAGGGGATCTTGAAGCAGCCTGCGCAGAAGAGGATTTAGACTGGGAAAAACTCGATCCCATTCAGAGAGCCTGCAGGGATGAACCACTGGCCATAGATTTGACGAAATCTACGACTCTTCTATACAAGCTTATGGGTGCTTTTCATACGGAAGAACCATCTTTCTACGATGGAGTCACGACCCATTACAAAGCCCTTGCTCTCGATGAGGAATTAGCCAACTCAATCTTTCTTTTTATGACATTGCTCGTGCTTTTCCAACAGAACGCTAACGATCACAACAAACTCATGCTGTATCCCATGCTACAGTACATGTTTCTGGACGTGAAAAGCCTTCTGGAGACGAAAAGAGGAACCCCTACAATTCGCCAGTTTATGAAATCCTTGATGGCTAAGCCTGCCGGTAGTAGCAGCGGAGACGACGACGACGAAGTTGGTCAAGAGGAAGAACGGCCAACCAAGAGACGACACTGCATCAAGATTGAGAGATCTGAATAGCTCTTCACAGGCGCTAGAAGTGGAGCTGGCGCAGCAACTCGGAATGTGCGGCCAAACACGAATTCTACGCAAGACAAAGAAATAGATGGTATTTTTGCAATAGCTTGAGTCAGCTATGCTGCAGAGGCCACCGTTCTATCATCGACATGGATGAGAGAGGTGGATATCAGATGCAAAGGCGACAAACAGAGGGGGCAAGGGAAAAAAGAAACAAGCAGGAAAGAAAGGTACGTTAATCAATGCACAAATTATTCAACATGATCCTAATTTGCAAATAGCGAAAGGAAAATCATAGCTTGAACGTTCTCAGTCGTTCATACCTTTATTATTCGAGAGATAATAAGGCGACATAAGAAAATGGCGAAGGGGAGTTTGATGGTTAAAATTTGGGGGATATACTGCATTATTTTCCTTTTCTTCATCATACTACATGGGCTAATTTCTTTCAATACATCAAGTTGCTATTCAGTTTTCTTTTTTACTTTGTCTCTCATAGGTGAGAGCTTGAGCCAACTTACCCTAAAGGAAGGGCCGCAATACGTGGTGATATGGCTTCTCTTGAGGCAGACCTCTTTACAGAGGTATCACCATTGCGATGCCGAGAATCTTTATTAGCTGATCCATCGCTAATTCAATATATCTGCGTTGCGGATCATTGGTAGTCTCTGTGAGGTACTTTGTGTGGAGAGAGATCGTCAGGTTCCTCTTCAGCTTAGCCCCAGCATCTAAAAATACAAGTATGGAACAAGCTTTGCGGGTCTTCTCTCAATTTAGCTATGGATACTCGGTAGAGTAGCACAACTCTTAAGACACAATCGAGGGAGTGCATCGCTTCTTGATCTGTCGAAAAACTGAAGAGTTTGTCTAGTCGAGCACTAAAAGAGGTGCCACGTTCAAGTTGGGCTTAGGAATAAAGGTGGCCGCCTTCAGACCTTCTAATGGGATACGGTTTACAGAGATGGAGTCCGAGACAAAGAAGAGCGGCTCGATATTGCCAGCTCTTCGATAGATGGAGGGAGAGAGACATTTGCGCATGCGCCATTTCGACGCCCTTGTCGTTGTCGGCATTTCTCCCAAGTTTCAGCAATTGTCTCACAATTATTGACTACGCCCATCACCATCAGATGCAATCAAAGCGTCTATCGTGCAATCGTTGAAAAGCCCCGCTGGTCTCGCCCCGCCCCGGTTCTGCGCGAAAAGAAGTGGCTCCCAAAAGCGGACGCTGTTTCGGCCCCTCCTGAGGTTGAATCGTGGAGGTGATGCAATCGCTGCATGGCCCCTGGCTCGAATGACGAAAACCTGATTTTGGCGGCCGAAGATTCTTTCCTGTTCCTGGACCGGCGCTGGCGTTTGAAAGGAATGAATAAGCTGTGCCAGGCTATCTGCCGGACTGCACGAGTACTAGACTAGCAGACTGTGATTGCAAGTGCGAGGTGATTTGTTGTCGCAGCTGCAGCCCAATCTGGATGCAGACGGAGAATGGGCGCTCGAGATTGCAAATACGTCACTGATGCTGACCGCTGGTCTGATAACGCGATTGTGCATCCGAACAACTCCGTGGCATCGCATCTCGGGCGAAAGGCGGCATCTTGGGGGGCCAGCGCAGTCGATTTGTCTTGTCTCGTCTTACAGTGGAAAGAAAATAGGCAGCTCTGGTGTTGAAGAAAACGATGTAAAGTACATGCGGCTATTGACTCACCTTTTTGTATTCTCCGCGTTTGCCTCCTTAGAAATTAGACTTGTTCGCCACGCTGAGCCGCAGTGGTGCAAACAAAGTGAGCAAGAGGCTGGGCAGCGCTTCACTTTCGGCGGGACAAGCGACAAAGAGGGGCCCGGATGACACGCCAGCTGCCTCCGCTATTGGACACAGCCATGCGATAAGCCCCACTGCGTTTTCGATAGGGTGACCTGCCTTGACTGCCTTGATGCTTAGTGGCAGCGATTTATCCGGATGCGGGCCCAGGGTACTTTGCGTCCCACTGCCAGCTGCGTGCACACGAGGTACCGGCAGCACGTCGCCTTCCCCGGACGGTTCTGGAGCCTTCTCGGGGCCATAGGCTGATGAATCATGGCCGCTTGCCACCACTCACTCGCCGGTACGTACCAGTGACCTCCTGCAAGGCGGCGAGATGGAGCACCAGCTGGTCACTGCGCCTGTCCTTCCCTCGGCCTTGCCAAAGCGTCACCGCCCCCCTTCAGGCTGCCACTCCTCCTCCTCTCGTCCCTACAAAAGGTCCTCCTGCCCGTCAGCAGCCATTTTTCTCTTCTCTCTCCTCTCCTATACCCATTCACATCTCTTCCCCTCCTAGGAATATCCGTTAACAGCGCATCTTCTTGCTCTCTCCACGAATCCTCCAGCGATTACCGCTTAACCCGCCATCATGCAAATCTTCGTCAAGACCCTGACCGGTAAGACTATCACCCTCGAGGTGGAGTCATCCGACACCATCGACAATGTGAAGTCCAAGATTCAGGACAAGGAGGGTATCCCTCCTGACCAGCAGCGTCTTATCTTTGCTGGCAAGCAACTCGAGGACGGCCGAACTCTGTCCGACTACAACATCCAGAAGGAGTCAACTCTCCACCTGGTTCTCCGCCTTCGTGGTGGTATGCAGATCTGTAAGTTGTCTGATCCAGTCTATCCATCTAGGCAACTGTGACTAACAATATGCTTCAGTCGTCAAGACCCTCACCGGAAAGACCATCACCCTCGAGGTGGAATCTTCTGATACCATCGACAATGTGAAGTCGAAGATCCAGGACAAGGAGGGTATCCCTCCTGACCAGCAGCGACTCATCTTCGCTGGTAAGCAGCTTGAGGATGGCCGAACCCTCTCCGACTACAACATTCAGAAGGAGTCCACTCTTCACCTTGTCCTTCGTCTTCGTGGTGGTATGCAGATTTTCGTCAAGACCCTGACTGGCAAGACTATCACCCTCGAGGTGGAGTCTTCTGATACCATCGACAATGTCAAGTCAAAGATTCAGGATAAGGAGGGTATCCCCCCGGATCAGCAGCGTCTTATCTTTGCTGGCAAGCAGCTTGAGGACGGCCGCACTTTGAGCGACTACAACATTCAGAAGGAGAGCACACTTCACCTTGTCCTCCGTCTCCGTGGTGGTATGCAAATCTTTGTCAAGACCCTGACCGGCAAGACTATCACCCTCGAGGTGGAGTCTTCTGATACCATCGACAACGTCAAGTCCAAGATCCAAGACAAGGAGGGCATTCCTCCTGACCAGCAGCGCTTGATCTTCGCTGGTAAGCAGCTGGAAGACGGTCGCACCTTGAGCGACTACAACATCCAGAAGGAGAGCACACTGCACTTGGTCCTTCGCCTTCGTGGTGGCCAGTAAACGTGCCTTTTGCTTACGACCGCACTGTTATGACTGAATTGGACGGTTCGGCGTTTTTGGGAACTTCTTTTTAAAGCAGATATGGGAACTTGGCCATCTACACTGGTCATCAATAGTTTATTTTAGCACATTTCAGCGTTGCCATTATTGCGGCACGCTTCAATACAGCTCTGACTAGTCAATATTGACAAGTCTCGCAAACTTATCTTCCTCTTTGAATCGTGAAATTTTGGTGATATAAACACTATCAAGCATCGTAATTGAGAATCAGGCCATGGTGCTGAGTTATCGGGTATACATGTATCGGGGTGGTGCATTTAGTGGAGCAAAGCTTCATGTAGAACCGCCACTTGCTGCTTCGTGAAGCTTCTAGAGATTCGTAACCTCCCCTCTACCGGCTCTTTAAAATGTGTCCTTCGTCCTGATTTTTATGCTCGGAAAGCGTCGCCATGCTAACGTACCGGCTCCCCTCGACTTGTTCCAGAATTAAGCACTTTTTTCCGCCTTGATATAAACACTCAACTCGCCTACTGTTTCTGGCTCTCGCAAATTTATCCTTGCAAACTTCTCTCTCTATTATCCTTACAGCAACTTCACCAGCTGGCGCATCATATTTGAATAGCCTTATGAAGGTGCCGAAATCTATAGTTTGGAAATGACTTCATATTTTTTCCATATCAAATTCGAGCTTTATCCGACCGAAAACCCAGCTGCCGGAGGAGAAACATTTGCGGCGCAGAACAGCCAAGATATTTGGCTACCATCGGACGAAGCCAGCATTTTTGACGACCTTCCCGCCCACCCCCCAGCTCATCGCTCGGCAGCGCGCAATACTGAGATACCAGATAGAGGCAGACGCATATCTTTTGGAGCTCTGGCTACGTTGGACCGAAGAGCTGGATTTGGCGCAAACTCGAGACCTGGCGTCATAGATTGCGGGACCCCGCGACCACCGACGGAAAACGACGGACGAGACAGCGACGCCTTGCCGGAGAGACAGTTGTTGGGGCGGGCGAATAGCTATCCTCTACCGCCGTCAACAGCTGCCTTGCAACCGCAGACTGCAGTCCGAGACTGGAGATTTGGGCGCATCAATATCGAAACGTTAGATCCTAGTTTATTATACAACAACAACATGGCTGGAGAAGGCAAGGCGACGGCTACTGCTGTCGCTGGACCATCAGCCGCACCAGCTCTGGGCCCATCTTTCAGCGGCTCAGGGACGGCGACAAGGGCAGAGTTTGTTGAGCTAGAGGGGAAGAATACCGAAGTCGGCTGGGGCATCGTGCATTTCTACAGGGAGGGGGATGAGACAGCTGGACTTGCCTCCAACCACGAGGTGGCAGAAGAAACCAAAAACACGCAAGACTGCACCACGCTCTGTATCCCTGCCGTCCCGGCCTACATGACACCTGGAGACTTCCTGGGCTTTTTGGGAGAACGATGGCAGAACGACATCAGTCACTGTCGAATGGTTATGACTTCGAGAATGAATCGATATTTGGTCCTGCTCAAATTTCGCGATAGTAAACAGGCGAAACTGTGGAGACGAGAGTATAATGGCAAGATATTCAACTCTATGGGGGTATGTCATTATGGGCAAATACCTTCCTCCCTTGTTAAGCTGACATTTGCTGACCTTGTGAACAGTCTCAGGCCTGCCACGTAGTTTTCGTCAAGAGCATCACATTCGAACGACCGGGCCTGTCTCGAGGGCACGAATATTCCCTTTCTTCGTCTTCAACAGCCGTTTCGAACAGCTTGAAGCCTTTTCCACCCCCGACTCCGAACCTTGTGGAGCTACCCACATGTCCGGTCTGCCTAGAAAGAATGGACGAGACGAATGGATTGATGACTGTGGCGTGCTCTCACGTTTTCCACTGCACGTGCCTACAGCGCTGGAAAGGAACCGGCTGCCCAGTCTGCCGGTTTACGAACCCTTCCGATGAGCGGGACCCGTCGAACCCTTATAGCCAGCCCTTTGGAGGGTCGGTATCGAATCTGTGTAGTGTCTGTGACTGCGCTGACGATCTCTGGATTTGCCTTATATGTGGCTACTTGGGATGTGGCAGATACAAAGGAGGGCATGCCAAGGATCACTGGAAAGACACGGCGCACTGCTTTGCTTTGGAGCTGGAGACACAACATGTCTGGGACTATGCGGGCGATATGTGGGTGCATCGCCTCATCCGCGATAAAGGCGATGGAAAGGTTGTTGAGCTTCCTGGGAGAAGTAACCACACTGCCAATGGTGAAGGCGCGGATGAGGACATGGTCCCACGGGCGAAGTTGGAGATGATAGGGCTCGAGTATACTCACCTGCTAGGAAGCCAACTTGAGTCTCAGAGGGCCTATTACGAGGAAATGATCAGCAAGAGCGCTAATAAAGCATCGAAATATTCAGCCGAGTTTGAAAAAGCAATAATGGAGACGTCAGAAACTCGGCAGCAGCATGCTGCTCTGCAAAAGGAATATGAGGTCCTAAACGGGGAGACGCTCCCGCAGATGGAGCGTGATCTTGAACGGGAGAGGAACAAGGCGAAGAAGGGTGAGAACCTTGCCAGAAGCCTTGGCCAGTCTCTGCAAGAAGAAAAACGGCTCAATGAAGGTCTGATGAAACGCATTGAGCATTTGGACACTGATGTCGAAGCGATACGCAAGCAGCTGGAGGAACTCAAAGCAGAAAACGCAGAGCTGAAGGAAATGAATCGAGACTTGACCATGTTCATCTCTGGCCAGGAGAAGCTCAAAGAGTTGGAAAATGAGGGGCAAATCGAGGAGGGCGAGCTTGAGGGAGGCACTATGAGTGTTCCTGAGGCCAAGAAGAAGAAGGCGAACAACAAACGGAAGGGGAAGCGGTAGTTCTGGGGTATACGAGTACATGTGCGATGATTTGGTCGTCATGGAGATGGGTTGGCTGACTTAAATGGAGTTTTGGCTGGGGGTGAGAATCAATTACGGCGATGCCGCCTTGTTTGGGATACTCCAATAGAATTCGTTGTAATGCTAGGTACTAGGCACTAGGTGGTAGTAACGGCATTTGATGTTTACAAAGGAACAAAACACTGCATGACCCCTTGCATGGCCCGCTTCCCGTAAGCAGCCTTGGGAGTGTGTACTTGTATGCATGTGCTTGAAGAGTCGTACAAATCTCCGCCGGCCGAATGAAACAATCTCCGGGTCGGTGCCGGACACGGTTATGGGGGGGGGGTTGCAATTGCATGTGATGGAGACCGGGATTGTCGCGCTGCGGGCTTTGCTTGGCTGGAGGAAGAAGAGAAGCTTACCTATGATGAATGATGAATGGTGAATGATTATTTATTATGTATTTACTTGATTTGATTTGGAGTTTTGCATCTTGTTACGTGATGGAAATGCCTGGGCTGGATGAGATATTAACCGCAGTTGTCGTTAGAGTTTGCCTAGAGCTCACGGCATATCAGACCTTGCATTAACGTCAAACTTGGTGTCTTATAAGGTTTCGAGCTTATCTCTTGTCATGACCTGTCTCAAACAGCTGCATTTGCGCGACCAAAGACAAATTCCGAACACAATCACAACAATAAACCCGTCTTTTCTTCTTCTTCTTCTTTTTGTTTCTCCGCATGCATTTTCGCCTTGTTCCTCTCGGATGGCATGCTGAGGAATTGGCCACGAGCACATGTCAATTGCGAGACTCTGATGGCGAGAAAAACAACGGTCAGGTAACCATGCCCTGTTTCAGCAGCCCTACCGTGCCATTGCCAGTGGATCTTTGCCGTTCGTCCGTCCGAGGCTAGCGCTTGGCAGCCACTGTAGCTCCCTGTAATGTAATCGGGATTGTGCGTTGCAGCAATTCGACGCCGGCGGCCCCTCGTTGTAAGTGGCGCGCTCGTGATTGGGAGGGAGAGGGGGGCAGGGAAACGTCGCTTTCTAGGTGCATATAACGAGCTAATCTACATGTAATCAAATGGATAACACCCAAGGCCAACGCTCTTGACTGATAACCGAAGGACCTCATTTAAATCTCTCTCTTCCTTTTTTCCTCCCTTTTATTCTTACCGTCGATTCTAAAAGTCGACAAGCTGAAGCTGGGATCCGGCTTGGCGTCGCAGCGGAAAACTTGGTGCCCCTCTTCCCACTCCGCGCTGGAATCGTCATCCCTCCCGTGGCCAGCTCTCTCTGCTCTAAAAGCTCAAGCTACTGGTCCTGTCCACTTTTTTCTTCCCTCTCTTCCTCCGCAACCAAGCTTCGCGGAGCACCGGGTTTTTATTCGGCCTGCGCTTCGGTCACAGTGACGAGCAGGGTCATTATTCAGTATCGTCGAGCAAAGAGAACCAACCAGCAAGCGGCCGCAATACGAGGCGACGACGACGACGACGACAACAACAACAACACACGCTGAGAAGGCTCTACAGCCATGGCTTCGCAAGAAGCTGCAGTGTCTAAGGGGGGGGCCGAGCCCCGTGAGGCGCCGGCGGAGGAGTCTGAGCAGCCCAAGAAGGAGCTTTATCCCATGGTCAACTGGAAATACGACCTCTTCCTCTACGGAATGGGTAATCTCGTGAACCTCTTCTTCAGAGAAGTCGTGCCGCGGGGTTCGTGGAGGGTTCCGCAGACGGGGCCTGTGCTTTTTGTCGCCGCGCCACATGCAAACCAGGTATGGACTATTCTGCGATAGACTCTTGCGCCAGGTTAGAAGGGCAAGGGGAAAAAAGAAGGTATTAAGCTTACATGACTTATAGTTTGTTGACGCCATCCTTCTGCAACGGACGCTGCGACTAGACGCCAACCGACGAATATCCCTCCTGATTGCGCAGAAGTCCGTCCACGGCTTCATTGGCTGGGGATCCCGCCAGGTCGGCTCTGTCCCCGTCGGGCGAGCGCAGGATGCCGCAAAGCCCGCGACGGGCTTCATCTACCTCCCGGACCCGATCAACGACCCGACGCTGGTGCGAGGTGTGGGCACAAAGTTTGGCGTGGGCGAGGGAGAGCCGCAGGGCATGTTGTTCCTGCCGCCAGGCAAGAAGACGTCTGGCGAGAGCGTCAACATTGACCAGATCCTGGGCCCCGAGGAGATTCGCATCAAACGGCCGTTCAAGACTCAGCTGGCTCTGAAGCAGCTCACCGGACGAGATGATATCGACAAGGACGGCCGGTTTACCAACAAGTCAGTCAACGGCTCTGCGCCGGGATACCAAGGGACCAAGTTCAAGCTTGCGCCGCATACCGACCAGACCAAGGTGTACGAGGCTGTCTTTGCGCGGTTGAGGAATGGTGGTTGTGTCGGTATCTTCCCTGAAGGTGGTAGCCACGATCGCTCCGAGCTGCTCCCTCTCAAGGCCGGTGTGGCCATCATGGCCCTGGGAGCGCTGGCCGAGGCACCTAACTGTGGCCTCAAGATTGTGCCTGTGGGCATGAACTACTTCCACGCGCACAAGTTCCGCTCCCGCGCCGTCATCGAATTTGGAGCCCCCTTTGAGGTCCCGCCGCACCTGGTTGAGATGTACCGGAATAACCAGCGCAGAGAGGCAATCGGCCAGCTCATTGACAGCGTCTACCAAGCCCTGAGCTCTGTGACCGTCTCAGCACCAGACTACGATACGTTGATGATGATCCAGGCGGCGCGAAGGCTCTACAACCCAACCGGCAAGAAGCTACCTTTGCCAGTCGTGGTGGAGCTGAACCGCCGCTTGGCCTTGGGCTACGAGCGCTACAAAACCGACGAGAGGATAACCAGCCTGTCTAAGAGCGTCAAAGAGTACAACTCACAGCTGCGCTATCTCAACCTGAGGGACCACCAGGTGCAGTACGCTACCATGTCCATTTGGAAGGTCATTGTGCTGTTCATCTACCGCTCTATCAAGTTGCTAATCCTCTTCCTCTGCACGGTACCGGGCCTGCTCCTGTTCTCACCAGTTTTTGTGGCTACGAAAATCATCAGCAGAAACAAGGCTAAGGCGGCGCTGGCGGGCTCTACCGTCAAGATCCGCGGGCGCGACGTCATGGCTACGTGGAAGATCCTCGTCGCCTGCGGATTGGCTCCGACACTTTACCATGGCTACTCGATTGCTGTGGTCGCTAGGGCGTGGTACGACCGCCTCTGGGGCTATTTGCCGGAATGGGTGCCACTGGTGGTGGTGTATCTGGCTACGTGGGTGGCATGGACAGCCATCACCATTGCGGCGCTGCGGTTTGGCGAGGTCGGGATGGACATTTTCAAGTCGCTGAGGCCGCTGGTGCTTTGTCTGGTTCCGGCTTCCGACTTTAATATTCACAAGCTCAAGCGGAAGCGGGCAGAACTCAGCGCTCAGGTGACGGACCTGATCAACACTCTCGGGCCAGAGATGTTCCCCGACTTTGACAAGACACGGTTGGTTCCCGACTTTGCTAAGCTCGAGACGGGAGGAACCCAGGCGTCGCCAACAGAACACCGTCCTCGGCGAGACAGCGACCAGTCAAGCGCGGGCCCCGATCTGGAGACGCCGCCGCCACTGTCACGCCGCAGCACCACACAGTCCAGCCGCTTGCTTCCTCGAAACGACTCGTTCAGCAACATTGGCAGAGTTGGTATCTTCTCGACACGGCCGCCGTCGCGATCGAGGAGTCGCTCCAACAGCGCGGGCGGTGGCTTCGGCTCCAGCGGATTCCCAATTAGCGGGTTTACAACACTTGATTCTGCCGAGGGCTTCAGCGAGGCTAGCCGCAAGATTAGAGAGGCAATGAAGGACAGGCGGAAGAAGTCCGACAAGGTCAAGATGGAGACTGGTGGAGATGAGGATGAAGAGTCTGATAGCGATGAGGATGGCTACAACGAGGCGAGGAAGAAGAACATCTGAAAGAAGACCCGCTTAATGAATACGAATTGGGTGCGGGTGTTGAGTGCTGTGCTACAGTGTTTCTTTTGTTCTTGATTCACCACTTGTTGTTTTGTATTGGAGTTTTTGCGCATATAGGCATCTCGAGTTTAATAAGGGACTCTGTGAATACGGCTACCGTGTGGCGACAAGTTTGGCATTGACATGATGTGCATCGAGTGCAAAGTGATCAAATCCTGCGTTGTCCTGATGGGTTGATTGTGCGCATTTACACGATGTGAAGCTTGACGATTGGTCGTGGGTTTCGGGATTGGCGCAGAAACGCCAACGGAATCTGAAGTCGGCTTTAATAATATGTCTTGTCCAAGTTTGGAGTAGGAGTTGTATTGGTATTGATACCACTTTGGCTCAGCACTTTTAGGGGGAAATTATCAAAGCAAGTAGTATTACGTATGCCCATTCAGTGAGATTAGCTTACGGTTTTTAACATTTCTGGCAAGGTTAGTGACATGATGTAGTTCTGATAGCATATGAGGCCATGGACTCGGCGAGCGAGAGGCCGGTGAATTGGGGCTCGGAGATGTCGGCGATGGTGGGAAGAAAATAGCGGTGGGGACTTTGAAGAATGTATTACGTGTCAAACGAAGAGAAAGAAGACGATAATGGCCATTTGTTTTTTTCCCACTAGGTAGTATCGACCGCTGGGCTGCCGTCTTATTGGCGAATCTCGGAAGAAGAGATGACGACAGCAGCAAAGCATTGGACACAAAATGCTTGAGGTGGGAAGAGATTCCATGTGATGACGGGAATTTCCCGTTTGGGGCGTCGCCTCCACCCCCAGGGGCAAGGCGCGCGCATCGGCTATGGGAGCCGGGACGGGAGCTGGGGAAGGACGACTGAATTGCTAGTGGCTGCTTTGTATTACTCATTCAGAGGGCGAGACGCCGGCGGATCTGATAAGGATGTTGGGGGAGAGAGAGTGGGATGAAGGACAGGGGCTTTCTGTTAAATCCGAGCTTTGGGGGAGGAGGATTAAAGCGCCAACACCCTTTTCTTTTTTCTATTTCATAAACGATCTGGGTGTTTCCCTTTTTCCGTTTGATTTGGTTTGATTTAGCGGCAGAAAGAGGTAAGACTTCTTATTTGGAAGACCAGAAAACGAGATACGAGTTTAAGGGGGCGAAAAAAAAAAATAGGGTTCTATATCCACTTAGACCATCGGCGATTTCTCTTCTCTTTTCCCTTTTCTTTTTTCTTTCTTTTCCCACCATGCCGCCTCCCGCAGCCACCAACACCACCGGCAGCAATAACAACGCGCCTCGCATGCCCGTGAAGCAAAAAATGGCCGTGTCGCTGAAATCGCTGATGAGCTCCGTGCTGAGCGCGGTGCCGGGGGCCGCCGGCGTGGGAGCGGGCATCTCGGGCCCGGCGTCGAGCGCGGGGCCGGCGCGGCTGGAGGCGCTGTTTGCGCGGACCGAGGCCGAGGTGGACGGCGACGAGTGCCTGCACGACTGCGAGAGCTGCGCGGTCAAGTACCCGCGCGGGTTCAAGGTTGACGAGGAGGACGTGCTGTATGGGCAGGTCAAGGGATGGAGCACGCATGTGCTTGTGGGCACGGGGAAGACGGACTGGGTGCGGGATGTTGCGGACGAGAGGGGGAGTGTGATGGAGGCGATTGAGAAGGTGGGCGGGGTGACGAATGGGGTGAGTTTTTTGTTTTTTGTTTTCTTGATTTGATTTCTTCTTGTTAGTGATGGGGGGTGAGACGAGGTGAAGTGAGATGAGATGGGAGAAAGTGAGATGAGAAAAGGGGGGAAAAGGAGGATAAGTGAGAATCACATACTGACGTACCACACAGAGACTCATGCTGTCTGCTTCCAACCTCCCTACGCCTCACGACACCACCGACTACTCAGAGCCCACCACCGTTCTCCTCCTGCCCGCCTTTGCCATCGTTCACAACGTCCATCCGCGCAACGTCCCCCAGCTCATCAAAGACGTCGTCAACGTCGCTCCCACCAATTCGTCTCCTCTAGCCCCCTGGCGCTCTACTATCCCCTCTTCCCTCCCCAGCCCAGACGCCTCGCTGGCCGACCTCACCATCAGCGCATCTCCGCACAGCGCCGTCGTGCTCATGTGCAGCCAGAAGACGCGCGACGCACGATGTGGCCAGAGCGCGCCGCTTTTGCGAAAAGAACTGGAGAGACACTTGCGGCCATTGGGATTGTACCGGGATTTGCATGATGAGAGACCCGGCGGGGTGGGCATTTACTTTATCAGCCATGTTGGTGGGCACAAGTATTCTGCCAACGTGATGGTGTACCGACGGCCGAATGCGTTTGGAAAAGATGATGAGCCGTTGCCGGAGGGCGTGGAGGAGGCTGCTGAGGCGAAAGAGGAGGGGGAGAAGGATGGGGAGGGAGAAAAGAGCGATGTGGGAGCTGCGCAGTGTATCTGGCTGGCGAGGGTGCGGCCGGAGGACTGCGAGAATTTGGTGCGGTATACGGTGCTAAAGGGGAAAGTTGTGAAGCCGGAGAGACAGTTGAGGGGAGGGTTTGATAGAGGGAGGGGGTTGATGAGTTGGTGAGGATGGTTTATGGGTTGGGTATTATTTTGCTTGAGTTTTGGTTTATGAAAGGTATACGCATAATTCAGGGAGACGTTAATAAGAAAGGACTGTTGGTATAGTTCTGGTGGAAATCATTTACCACTTGTATGAAGTTGTACATATGTAATACTTGGGCGTGTCGACTGGAGGTTAGACGGATTGTAGCGAGTCTAGGAGGGCTTTTGGATCGGATATTTGCTCGATCTAGCTACATACATCTACTATATGTATCGCCTATATTTCGCCATGTTCACTACCTATCTGTATCTAGTAGAGAGGGCTAGATCTAGTAGAAAGAACTAGATCTAGTAGAAAGAACTAGATCTAGTATAAAGAACTAGATCTAGTAGAAAAAACTAGATCTAGCTACATCTATTAGATCTAGCCATGTCTACTAGGTCTACTAATTCTGTCCAAACTGCCATGCCCTCATCTTTTGGGCACCCAGTTGGCCCATTTTATATGCATTCTTTGAAGTGTTCATCATCTTCATCCCAAGGGTCAATATACTCTTTGTCTAGTCTGTCCATATGTCCTACAGCTCCAGACAGCGCTGCAAGCCGAATCATCGCCCATTGTGTATCAATTACGAGCCTCATCTTGGGCGCCTCTTCAGGAGATACTATAATCTCAAATATCTGTCCTGTTTCGAGGGACTGACCGGATTTTGTCGTACCTCCAGTGAACCCGTCACGGCCTGGAGCTGTACATAACATTCTTTCAACTACATCTTGGTGAATGCTGCATTCCCGCCCATAATCGAGCCCATTACGAGGCATCCAGTAGAACTGGATTTGCACTATAGATTCTATCTCACTCTTTTGGATAGTTTCAAGGTATTTGAGCGCAAAATATCCTTCTGCCCACCAAGCACGGAGCTGCCGATCTAGGCAAACCATATTCCATGCTTTGTCTAACCAACCACGTTGTTCCGCCATAGTCCTGGCAGTCTCGTATTGGTCGGTGCCAAACGAAAAAGCGTACATAAGGAAGCCGCATTTTTTGAAGTAAGCCATGTTTTCCTCTGTAGCACCAATGGAGAAGGGGAGGAAATGACACACTGACACGTCGGGTAGGGTTGATTGCGTGAGAATGCACGTATGGGTATCTCGAGCCCGGCACTATAATATAGTCAATAATAACATAAATTTCCTTGTTTTCTGCTCAGATATACCTTGGTGCGTTCCACAGCATCCCTGTAGGTTGCTTCTGAAGTGCCTTGAGAACCATCTTGATCTGCATCAGATGCAGCAACAGATCCAGGAGTTCTACCTTTCATGACTGTGGATATCGTGCAATGAGTAAAGAAACAACAAAAAGCGTAACATGTATGAAAACTCACAAAAAAATAAACTAGCTTGGATATATTCTACGGAGATGTCATGTTGAAGTGAGCCGGGGAAGCTTTCCTTCAAATTCATCAAAAAGTCGAGAGGCATGAGTAACAAGGCCGAGAATTGCAAATAGGTTAGCTGCGTCTCTGAGCCGTTCCATCTTTCTAGTTTTTCTCGAATCACATCGATTATTCGTAGCCTAACGTCCATCTCTTCCATGGGTAAGAGGCTGGTGGTCGGCGCCCGTTTTGGCCTGTCGCCCAAACACTTCAAGTCTTTCTTATCCTCTTCAGTTCCCATCTTACTGGCTGGGAACTCGCTCAAAGCAGGTGTATGGAGATCCATGGTGGAAAAGCTCAAGCCTTTCCAAAGGAGAGTGTGAATGCTAGAATTTGAGGAGAAAAAACAAAGTTCTATACCTATGGAGGGGATGCAAGATAAAGGGTATCTCCCTGACTACGCTTTTTAAATCTTATTTTGCCACGCGCACTGAAGTTTATTTTACTGCATGCATTTACATCTTATTCAATACATGAACCGAATACAGAAAGCTCACATCTCTACTTCTAAAGCAAAGAGATTTCATAGCTATATCCGGATCCAGCAGACAATTCTATGAAAGCTGCGACGTTCTCCTTTTTCTGGATTTGTTGCTAGAAGGCATCATTTGTAGCTCAATATGTGGTTAAAGTTTCATACTGCCCACTTGCATTGCCTTCCAAGTCATTTTTTATCCAAGAGCTGAATATAGAGCTTCAAGACTAAGATTGAACCAGTTCTCGCAGCTTGCGCTAACCCTAGTATACGCCCTTTGGAATATCAGAAGCACCCAGGGAGCAATGTTTTGCTGGTCTGTTCAACCACGTGCCATGTCTTTAAATGCTTCAATTCCGCGGCTCGTCGTCCGCGGCGATTGTTGATATACTCGTATTTGCATGTCGGAGATTTTATGCTCGTCGGCCATTTTTATCTATTTTCAGCTCATTAATGAGGCATGTGAGTAGCTGAAGCCCCACCGGAGGAATCGCTTATGACGGCTCACTTCTTGCTAATGCAGGCAGCCGATAGTCCATCGTTTTTCAACACTATTGATTAATAGTCAAGCGGCAATATGCTGATCTTCCTATATGTGGTAGAGTGTCTTATGTACAAAAACACTATGGAAAACACAGCTGAGATCTTCAGGTGCTCCGCCTGCAAGACAGCAGCACTGCCTCGATTAAGTTAATATGCTACCCATCTATATAATGCGGCCAGTGTCCCAGTATGAGGGATCCATAATAGAAGAACTTACTGACTACCGCAACTGCTTATTATACCGCTCTCGCTTTAACTATGGCGCAAGTCCTGATACCCATTGTCGGCATCACTCTGGCCGAGGCTGGCAAATCTTTGGGCCTTGCTGGCATCAGCTGGGCCGGAACAAAAGTCTTCCAGGCTGTGGCAGACGCCGTTGTGGAGAAAACAGATCCCAATGAGGCCGTCAAGAGGAAGCTGGAAACAGCACTGGGAGAACTCGGCAAGATCAAGACGTCAATACACGACCTCTCTGTTCAGATCCGCGACCTTCGCATTGAGACCAAAGTCGACCAGCTCCAGACCCAGGTCGATAACATCGAAGCCTTGTATGACCAGTACACCAATGCCGCCGCCGCGCTGGCCAAGGCGGCAGAAACCCACGCTTCGAACCCTCACCAGTACCAGCAGTGCGTCCATCGATGCACTGACGTGGGCAAGCAGGTGATAAAGGACGTCTACCCGGCTCTGAAGCACATCAACACGGCATTGGTAGAGCAGGGCGAGCAAAGCTTACTTCACCTCCTCCACACTGCTCATGTCAACGACAACAAGGACTTCCTGGCGCAGTACTGCATGCTCAAGGCGGCGCTGCTCAAGTACTTCCTCATCGAGGTCAAGGCCATGGTCCTGTTCGATCTGGCCAAGCAGGACGACACAGTCGAGTTTGGGACATACGAGTACGAGGGCACCATGAAAAAGGTCTGGGACATGGTGGAAGCGCAGCAAAACAAGTTTGACAGCCTTTTGCACGTCAACGTGCGACGGCTAGCCGAGTACATGTGCAAGAACGGCAACGAGAAGACATTCATCACTCTCCGCTCCCACAACGGAACCAACATCGGCCGCGGCCTTCTCGTCTGGCAGACCAAAGCCAGCATGCTGAACTGGGTCGTCCGGCCCATCATCAGCCCGGGCTACCGCTGGATTCTCGCCCGGTTCGGTGCTGGCGACGAGCCGCGCGCAGATTACGGCCATCAATCCAGACCCGATCCGCCGCTCGACGATGCCACCATGAGCGGCGAGCACTGGTTCTCCATCACCGCCGACATCCTCGGGCCCGATTGTCGATCCCTGAGCGGCGGAAACGGGGTAGACAATGTGCCGACCAAGAGCTGGTCGGTTAGCGCATGCCGATACAAGCTACATCCCACGCCAGAAGGGCTCTTTCGCCTCGAGTATGGTATGCAATTTGCGTCGGGAGCGGGCGATCATACATTCCTCGAGGTTGGCGACGATGGGCTGCTGCACGACAGGTACCAAGCGAATGTCAATGAGCCTAGGCAGAAGTTCCAGATTGAGCTCTGGGATATGTCCAAGCCATATGATCCCGAGGCCAAGTCTCCGGAGCAACATGACCTGGAGGGCGACAACGGGTACTGGAAGAAGCCCAAGAAGGATGAGGGCGGCTGCATTCTCATGTAGTATTCCAGAACGCTCATAATAAACGACGACAATGAATGACGATAATAATAGACATGGCTGAGGTTCGGCGGCTCGAATCCGACGGCATAATGTTTCGCATTTGAACATGAACATCTTCTCCATAAAGCGCAAAGAAAAGCGTCCTGCTTTTTGCCCCAGAGAATGAGGAAACCATCTGGCTCATGTGGATAGATAGATGTTCGACGCTGGTAGGTGAGCTTTGGGTGATTGGGTCTGCAATGTGTATCAATTGCGAAGCTCATCTTGGGCGCCTTTTCAGGAGATGCTACAATCTCAGATACCAGTCCTAGGCTGACTGAATTTTGTCTTGATACCCTTTGAACCGCCTGGTTGAGATATCAGTTGGGAGAGGTAATCAAATTACATGTAGTTTTTACAGCTTACGCTAAGCCAAGTATATACTATCTGGAATATTAGAAACTGGCCTGTTTAACTATATACTACGTTTCTTAATATTTCAGTTCCGTGGCGGCCGTTGATGTATTCGAGTGTCGGAGATTTCATGCTCGCTGGTCATTTTCGTCCATTTTCGGCTCATCAATGAGGCATGTCAGTAGCTGAAGCCCCACGCAAGACGCTGCAGGACAAGGATCGCAATAAGCCTAAAATGCCAGGCCATGCCCAAGTTTGAGCTCCCATCTACGCAAACAAGATCCGTTGTTGCCGATGAAGAAAAAGAAAGAAAAAAAGAGAAGGGGAAAATGCGCCTGCTCAACACAAAGACCTACAGCATTACCGAGTTCTTCGAAGCCAATGTCCCCAAATATGCCATTCTTTCTCATACCTGGGGGCAGGGAGAGGTGACATATCAGGACATTGTCCAGTCGGTTGAGCAGGCTCGTAAGATGAAGCCTCAGGGATTTGCCAAAGTCGAGGGCGCGTGTGCGCTGGCGTATTCTGAGGGATTCGACTACATATGGATCGATACCTGCTGCATCGACAAGACGAGCAGTGCGGAGCTGTCCGAGGCTATCAATTCGATGTATGCGTGGTATCGGGAATCTTCGGTCTGCTATGCTTATCTGGTAGATGTCCAACGCATCGAATACCCAACTCTGGAGACTGGACATATGAACTTTGATGAGGTTAATTTTGGGGCATCTCGTTGGTTTACGAGGGGATGGACGCTCCAGGAGCTCATTGCGCCGTTTGAAGTCGTCTTCTACTCTGCAGATTGGAAATATCTCGGACGGAAATCCCTCCACAAAGACGTGATATCGAGAATCACGGGTATCGACGTGAGCATCCTTGCTGGCGCTGACCCATCCTTAATCGCCGTAGCGCGCAAAATGTCCTGGGCCTCGCGAAGGACGACAACCAGACTCGAAGACATGGCCTACTGTCTGATGGGCCTATTCTCCGTGTCCATGCCTCTCATCTACGGCGAGGGCAAAAAGGCGTTTCTTCGACTTCAGGAGGAAATCATCAAAACGGTGGATGACCAGTCGATTTTTGCGTGGCAGCTACCGAAAGTGATTCCCTCTGGACAAGACTTTTACGGACTGCTCGCCGAATCTCCGAGTGCTTTCGAGAATACTGGTGGAAACGTCTCGCCATTCGCATCAGGCCACTCCTATAGGCAGACGACACGGATCATAAACAACACCCTGCAGACTACACTGCTGATCCAGGAGAAGGCAACTCCAGTTGCCCATGATCCCAGCTTCGGTCGACTGCCGGCTGGTCCCCTGTCCAACTATCGCCGCGCTGTTCTTGGATGTAGGTATGGCTTCTCTGGGGAGTCTTCGCCTTGCATTGAACTCTGGGCTCTGGACGAGGAAGAGTCCCAGTTTGCGAGAATCCGTCCCTGGAATCTTTTCAGAGAACAAGCGCCTTCCGTTTCTCCCCCTTTGCGAGTGAATTCTTTCTCTAGAATCCCGTCTCTCTTGTACGAGGTGCCGCTCTGTAAGTTTAGGCCTTGATCCACTCTTCTTTTTCATTTGGCAGAGCTAGGCATATTCGTACAGAACTGATTACGAAACATAGATTTTGGCGCAATGTCCTTGGATTTGCTTTTGAATCGTGTGTCCTGGGAGTACCAACGGATCTCTGTTGCTCACAATCCTCGGGAGTTCATACCCTTTGGCTTCCGCCTTCAATATCTAAGCTACAAGATTGGAACTCGTGAAGGCCATCCGGCTGATCGATGGCATGGCAACGATAGGGTACTGCAACGAGCATACCACTACAGGAACAGCCCGCAGCAAAATGCCTTAACTGTCAGGCCGAATGTCGTGTACTACAATGACCCCAAAACGAACGTTCACATCGCTCGTGTCACGGAAGGCGCCGTGCGTGTTATTTTCAAGGAGAAGTCGTTCAAAGGGTGGTGCTTACAGCATGCCCTTATCTTAGGGATGGACATCATTCATGACGAACGGGGGGATTGGCGGCGAAAACCCTGGTGTCGCCTCGTGGAGCTTGAGCCATGGATGCAGCTCGACGAGTTCAAATATGAATTTGACTGGAAGGAAGGAGAGAGTAGCAAGATTAAATGTTCGTCGCACGACGCCTTGTTGCTGGCAAAGATTGTCATGCTGCCGGGTGATGAGCTGTATACCGTTCAGCTGAATGCTGCTTACATGAATGAGCTGACATATTGGTGGCCATGGTGATGGTGAGAACAAACTTTATGAGAACACGAGTGGAGTTAATCAGTAGCAGCTATATAATTTCATCGAGACCAAGGGATAGAAGATAGGAGAAGTTGCAAAGGCATTATCTCTGTTATATGCTCCATCTAAGGCCCAATCATCGCCATTCCCAGCATAGAGCGGCCAACAATAAAACCCCAATGCCCCAACAAGCGCCAAACTATTACTGCTGAGTATATCGAATATGGCCAGCAGGTTTACGGCGAATGATCCCGACAACATTCAGAAAGGCACTGTCCTGAGGATCCACTGCTATTGTCGCCAGTGTTGATACTAGCTTCATCGCCGTTCGGAGACGTGGCAGGCAATGGCCAGTTGAAAAAGGCGCTCATTGTGGCAGAAGCCTTGCCTTTCGAAGATGCCATCGCCTCCACCTCTTGATGGGCGTAATTAAACGCCCTGCGATATTGACCAGCCATGAGATCGCCTCTCTCCAGTGCTGCTGCCTGTTCCCTCAATCCCACTCCCATAATCTCGTCTGCATATTGCATCTGTCCCAGGATCTTGCGCACTCTCTCCTTGGCATCGTGCTCATCGTCTCGCAAATCTCGCAGCCCATCCAGCTTCCGCATCCAATCTTCACTATCGCGAACAGAGCGCCGCTGTGGAACATCGCCGCCCTCGGAGAGAATGGCTCTTGTGGTGGCATCGGTGAGAATGTCCATCTCGTGGCACATAAAGTCCAGGGGACTTTGAAAGAAGAGATCCCATGTTGTTTGCACTGTGAGACGTTGGATACGCGCGAGATTCAGGGTGGCCTCCTCGTGGCGTTGCCGGAGGGTGCGTTGAATATGGCGGAGGATGTTGAGACATGTTGATAGGCGCTGTTCACGAACAAGACGAGCAGAGGATGAGTATTGGCCGAATTCTGGGAGCTTGGAGGAAGATGAGGGTACATCATTGTCAACGCGAGCAGCCTGGTTGTTGTAGCCTCCTTGAAAGTGTTTCTGAATATACCCCCGGGGCTGTATAAAGCCAGTCAGGGGGTTGAAGGAGATATCGGAAGTTGCTTCCTGAACAGGAAAGGGGAAACCTTGCTCGGCAAAAGGTAGAACAGAAGATGGCGAGGCCATGAGATACTCCCGGGGGACTTCGTTGGGGGTATCTGGGAATGCGGACGAAGAAGAGCCCGAAGACGCAGATGGGGGCGTAGAGTTGACGAACTCTTGCTGAGTGAAGCCGTGAGCGTTTGAAGTTGAACTTGCATCCGCCATTATAGAGAGGTGTAAGTGAGTGGTGTTGAAGGGAGCAGATGTTGGCGAGTGTCGAGGCGGATGAAGCTTATAGAAGAGAGAGGAGAAGGGAATGTGGTGTTGGTGGAATCATTTTTATGTTAAGTTACAGAGCAGTGATTCAGAGTGTTTGGGGGAGTCGTGTCTTGTCAATGAAGATGTTCTGTGTTAATCAGAGAAGAAGACGAAGCAGTGAGAAGTGTCTGATTCACACAGAGGAGAAGGACCACGAGTGAGATTCTGTTACTCTTTGAAGAGGAACTCCAGAGCATTTGAAATACAACAGATATATGCATGAGATTCACACGCACATGTATATAAACAGGAGCGCATCTCTATTAAGCGCCTGTGCTGAGTTGTAACACCCAAGTGTCACGGTGTTGATTCACGTAAAAGAGGGCAAGTTTGGCGCGACAAGTTTATCCAATTGCATATAATTTTCATCTTTCTAAACAAAATTCATCTCACGACATGCTGCGATATAGACAAGCCCTCATCCCTCGCATTATCCCACCCTCGTATCTTCATTACACACATTCCATTTCATGTCATCCCATCAAATCCATGTACAAAAACATATCCAAAAAAACGAGCCCCGGGGTCAATTATTCCATAACACTGACCCCCCCTCCCATCCCCAAAGGTGTTCAAAAAAACCAATGCAGAGATGCTCAAAAAGATTCATAAAATACCATTGCTCATACCCAAGACAACAAATTCATGCAGGTCATCCAAAAAAGAAATCCGCTGCGCCACGTATCCCAAAAAATAAAAGGGTAGAAAAAAAAAAAAAAGCAGGGCAGTCATGAGCACAAGAATCCTCCGAGAATACGCCTACCCATTCATTGTATTCGAGAGGATTCTTGGCTTAGTGTTAGTCTGCCAGGCTGTGCGAGTTGCTGCTACTCGACTCTGTCGTGATGGTGAGCTCGCGACGCGCGCCGTGCACCAGCTTGTAGATTCCAAAGGAAATGGCGGCTAGAACGATGAAGAGCACGATGATGATGATGGCGATGACATAGTTGCGCTGCGTCATTGCGGCGGTTTGGTGTTGTTTGGTGGGTGGGTGAGTGTTTGTTTATTTTCCCCCGTTTGCGACAATGTCGGTGAGATTCTGACGGTGTGGTTCGTCTCTCTCTGTTCGTCTGCTCGGCGATTACGAGGCGGGAGAAGAAAAAAATAAGAGTATGTCTGACTGATAGACTGAGACTTGATTAGCATTCAACTCATCCCGATTCAATTCAATACGCAAAGCAGGCCAAGGGAAAAGAAACGAACGAAATCAGACGGGCGAAAACCTACCAAGTACACAAATCTCGTCACCGCAAAATGGCCCAGAAAACAAGCGTCAAGGAAGCCAAGATGAAGAGCCAAACAGCGCGCAAAGTCTCAACTGCAAGTCTCTCCGCTGTATTCAGATAATCCAATCTAAGACACGAAACCAGTGAATAAAGTCGAAATCAATTCAAGCACTCGGCGTTCGTAAGAAAAGGTTCAGGTTTCCCAAAAAAAACAAAACGACTCTCGCAACACGCGAAAAGTGCCACCCCCAGCTATATACTATATACGCCGTTGCCCCGCCACCCGCTTTTTCGTCCTTGTCCCTCGTCTCTAGCCTTTTCCCTCTCTCTCTCTCGCTCTCTCTCTCTTCTGGCTGTCCAAAAAATCGCAAGGCTGGGGAGGACGCGAGCTCTTTTTTAGCACGCTTTGTACCTGGGCTAAGCTGATGTGGCTTACGCTGCCTCACCCCTGTAGCTGCGCTGTAGCTGTGCTGTAGCTCGCTGGACTAACCCCACTATTGCTGTCGTTTGCAGGGGGTCACACAAAGCGCTGAGGCTTTGCTGTTCAGTGGGGCCGATTGCCACAGGACAAGCTTCCCAGCCTCGCCATTTATCAGAAAAGCTGCGCTGGTGGCGCGTCATTGGCTGATCGGCGCCTTGAAGCTGCGAGTTTTTTGAAACACGACACGACATGATACGATACGCTGACTGACTCCTTTGGTGAAGCAACTGACACTACGGAGTACGGTAAGTTACTACTATGTATACAGTTCAACTCTTCTATACGAGTACGGAGAATTCTATCCTTCGTATGCGTCCAACTGATTGAGCAACGACCGAGAGTCAAGTCGAGTCGTCAATGGTGATATTCTTCATCATTCAATAACTTATAAAACTAGAAAGATACTCGCAAGAATACCTGTAGCTGTTGATACACATTTCTCCCCATCTCCCCCATCAAATAGAGGCTAGCCGAGTAACACCTAAGAGGAATAAGACATGCTTCGAGAAATCGGGGCCCGAAAAGCAGGAGGGAAAAAAAAAAAAAAAAAAAAAAAGACGGAAAATGATCAGTGCGGTCCGTATACGCCGGCCGGTTTCCAGACCATCATGGTCATAAATCTCAAGTGCAGAAATCACATATCCACTCATCCGTGCCGCATCCGATCTGGCAGCAATGCCTTCATGAGGCAGTAAGCAACCAAGAGAGCGCCCTCGCTGTCTCTACCCACCCTTACGTGCTTCATCTCTATTCTGTCAATGCCTTGTTCTCCTCCCGTATGATTCGCACATGTCGTTCGTAGAATAGTAGCATCTACGTCAGCGTTAGTGGCAAGTCCACGGACCAGCAGGCGCGGGCGGCTTACCTTTTGGGGGCACTTCTTGTAAATGACCTTCGTGTCATGCTTCGTCTTACGGCCATTCTTCCACACAAGGTAAACAACGAGCCGGCCACTACCTTCGTCCTCGCAGGCGTCAATCGTGTCAATCTCGTCTTCCCACGACCCCGCTGGAGGGCTCCATTTCGCTGCTGTAGCTGGGGGTGCCGAGTCGCCAGGGTGTGTTCCGTTTCTCTTGGAACGCTTCGTAGTAGCAGCTGGTGTTGTGCTGGTCGTTCGATTGCGCTTCTTGCCTCTGGAGGCTTCCTGTGTCTCCTCAAAGATCTTGTCTCGCCCGCCGATGGATTCGAGATAGGCACTGAGAATCTCGCCCGCTGACTCCCTAAATCGCACACAAGTCAGTTGCTTCATCCAGTAATCATGCCTCGCTTGCCCCACGCTCTGTAATCCGTACGTACAGTAGGTTTTCCTCTGGCTCCCAAGTCATATCTGACTTCTTCTCATAGCCCTCCCACTTGACCTGGAATTTCAACGTTCCCTACACAACGTAAGCCATGGCGTAAACAAACGAGACGGAATTGTATCCCACGCACATCTTCATCAATCATGTGCTTCTTGATAGCTTCGACAATGAACCTATAGCAGTTGTTAGGTCTGAAATTTATAGGTCGTGCAGCATCCGGCTGTTTCATACACATCATCGTCGAGGCCGTCATCTTCATCCTCCTCCTCGTCCACATCAACGTCCGCGTCCTCTATCTCCACATCCACATCAACTTCCTTCTCTTCCTTCTTCGAGACTCTTCCGTTTCGTCGGGGCTTTGCGGCCGCTTCGTCTGCCTCGCTGGACGCGGAATTCCGTGACGACTTGACGGGTGGCGCGCTCTCGTAGTCCGAGGCCTCTTCGTCACTGAGTGCTGCTTTGTTCTTAGTAGATGGTCTTCTTTTGTTTCTTCTGGGAGCCATGGCGCAACGACAGAGTGTGACGGCGAGGCGTTATTGCGAAGGCAAAAAGCTTTTAGGTGCAAGTACTGGGCTGGAGCTGGCTCCGGCCACTTGGGGGGTCATAGATGCACTTTTGCACAGGTGCAGTTCGCCAGCCGAGGGAAGGGAGGTGCCAAGTGGCAGCCAGCTGGTGCACGTACCTGGAGGCATTGTCACGATTAGCTGATTTGCCTTGCCGTTGCAGAATTGATTCGCAGTCCCAGACGGCGCAACCTGGTCGCAAGCTTGACGCTGTCCTGTAAGCAAACGCGATAGGCGGCGCGGGCCTCAAGCTTTGGTGTTGGCGAGTGACGCTGGGTCACGTGAGCAAGCTTTTTTTTAATCTTATCGCTATCGATCTCAACAGCTGCCAGCTCTCCACTTTCAACGCCCCAAGTGTGTGATTGAGAGATGGAAATTATCCAAGGGGAGTGACATTCATGGCGAAGCTTGTTGAGCTTTATAAGACACCGGAATTTGATTAACCATTTGCCCACCGCTGTCCTGCTGTTTCTGCTTGCCTTTGATAGATCAAGCATTCTTTGTTGTTTTACTCCCACGTCTGTGCTGACATATACATATTACGGATTATCTGTACGGAGTACTGGGTAGTTGATGACGCCCTATACCCCAAAAAGAAAATAATCATGCGGCCATTGGTTCAGCGCAAACTGCTGCTCATACGCATATCGTAGCTCGTAATTTTGCTGCTTACCGCCGCCATTTATTGAATGTGCAGTAAACCTTGTCAGGCCGCCAGTCAGCATAGTGGCGCTCCCGATATCCAGTCTCCCGGCTGTCGCTGAGTGTATGCTTCCAACTGACATGAGCGATAATGCGTGCTCAAGAAGCGATTGCCATTTAGAGCTCTCTTGCTCCATGTACTTAGCACACATGTTTGCATGCATGCTTCTCTATTGTTTGCCGCCGAATTCCAAATATTGAAGCTGTGGCCACTTCGTGCTCACCCGTCCATTGACAGACGCCCAGCAACAAAGGATGAGACGAACCCAGAAGGAATCGGGATCAACAACAGGCCGAGCTGCGATACGCCGCATATCCTGAAACAAACCAGCCATATAGGCCACTCACAGTTGCGCCGAGTCTTGAGGGACGAGAACTACCGTCGGGGAAATATCAGTTTTGAGTCGGCTGACGCCACACACCACACCATTGCTGCATTCAACTTGGCCTGCATGGATGGCCGGACGGTCGTTGGCGCAGTCAACTTTGCGCCTGTTCCTGCGATGGAAGGCTGTTGGCAGGGCGTCGTATTCATTAATCCACGCATATGCTTTTATGTCCCGCAGGTGGTGCGCCCATCCTTTGTTTGTTCGGCCAGCGCATTGAGCCTTCTTGGCAGACTCTTGGAAGTCTTCTACTGACCTAGTACTGAGTAATTAATATTAATCTTGTCCAGCCCTGTCATGTTCGCTAGTATCATGTAGGTATGATTACTGCAATATCAAATTGGGTTTGGCCAGCCCTCATCGGAATCACATGTCGCCGCCAGCACCCAGCAAGGCAGTAGTACCTGGTAGATCACCCGAAGCGGCTCTTTGCACGCGGCTAAGCAAATTTCTTAGCTAAAATGGGGGTCCAAAACGGCCCAGAGGCCAACGGTCCTTTGTGTAACGGGTCATACAAGTCAACCGGCCGGCGTAACTTCAAAGGGAGCAATTGGCCTCGTGTTGGCAGCGCCAAAAGTGCCACGGTCCGGGGATCCGAGCCCACCATGTCGAAAAAGGACCAACGCGGCAAGATGCGAAACGTTGCCGATTCGAGAAGGCCGGTTGGCATTCCTGTTTGCCCGCTAGAATGCACGCAACCACACTCGCGACCGGCAACAAGGGACCTAGCCAGGGGTAAGATCGCAGAGACTTCCATGGATCTTTGCCGGAATCTTAGTGTGCAATACTACTCTGCTGCGTAGCGACAGCACGACTTGGGCAGAGTAGTATCGTACTTGTAGTGCCTTCCATGGAGGGTACTTAATTAGACGTATGTAATTTGCCTACCTACCCAGCCGGCAGCTCTAATGTCTCGTGTGCCAGACGGTATTCCGCCTCGAGTAACTCCTTACGGGAGCACGGAAATAGATCGACCCAGCTAAGCGTGTATCGAGATGCGATCTCTACAAGAGATAGGGTGCTGAAATGGACCATTTCCAGCTGTACCACACCAAAGAGAAAGCTACACACCCCTAGGCCGTTAGCTCCAAGGTGCTAGTCAGCAAAAACCGTCCATCGTTTATTACCTAGTAGTACTTGTATGCAGCGCAGCACCAAGACAGCAATCTTCGTTTATGCAAGGAGTACTGAACTTCTTGACATTGCATCGTAAAGACGCCTTTGCCGTGAGAATGGCGGCCATCTCCAAAGCAAGTCCAAGACAAAGGTCATATCTTCGGCGATTACGCACCCAATAAGCTCTCATAGCACTCCCCAATAGGCGACTCTGCTCCCCGGCTGAAATCCCTCAGCCGCAGCCATCTAGGGATTGAGAAGCGGCTAAGCAGAGCCAAGCTTTTAGGCCTGTGGCCAGAAAAATGACTTGAGACAATGTTTCAACGCCGGTCCACTGAAGCTTTCCCGGCGAGGTTCAGGGAGCAACGGGGTTTTTTTTTCTTTCTTTCTTTTCCCCCCACCACGGACCAAAGTAAAGTACTTGTAGGAGTAGAAGTACATAGTAGTCGTCGTAGTAGTACGGAGTGCTCCATGCAGCCAAACGGTAGCAGAGAGGCCGTTGGGTGGAATTTTCCATTGGGGCGGCAAATTCTTCTGCAGTGGTCAGGGAGTCCGTGCAGGCATTGCCCTCCTCGGCTACCCAGTACGCCAAGGTGCCATCTTGGGACTGCTGCATACGAGCACATGTACTGTAATACTGCTCGTACGGAGTTGTCGTGCTGGTGGTGAGAACCCATGTTGATAAGTCTCCACCGTCGCTGCGCTAATCGCACAAGGGGCTCTCACTTCGAGCTCTTTCCCACGAGGCAAGAGTCGGACGGCATGCGATGTTCAACCCTGGCTCTTCCGGCTTCGCATGGCGATGATGCTACCAGAACGATAGGCACACAAAGAACCACGAAGCCTTCTACCATAGGAGGCGATGATTTCATCAGTCTTGCTCTTCTATGCGCGGCAAAGGGCCGCAAGATGCTAGTTGGACGAGAGATGACCGAAAAAGGTTGGGTCTGCGACAAGGGGACCCGTCGTCGTATGCGCCATGCGGTAAAGACCAGGCCAGACACGCAGTTAGGCCGTTGACGAACGGTTGAACAGCGGCGGCGCGGAAGTGATATGACAGCTCCCGGGACGGACAAGGGGCAATGCTTCCATGACATGACAGGTGGTGCTCCTTGGCTACCAGCCAGCATTCTGGCTCTTCTGGAGACTCGTCTCATTCTCTGTCATACTTGTATCAACGGAGTAAGCGTCTGACTTTTAGCTTAACCAAGGAGAATGGCTTCGCTTTGGCGTCAAACTTTGACCATAGCGTCCACCCCTGGACGGCCTGGGTGATCTCCCGAAGTAACCCCCCTGAAGCCTCGGATCTTTTTGATCTGGCCTGTGTTCGGAGGGCAGAGAGCCAGTGCATGAGGAGCGCTCGAGTTTTGAATGCTACGAGCACATTGCGCTATCCGTGCGAGGGCATTCATGGGTATTGAATGCGACACTGAAACTTGCCATTCAGGACTTGAGGCTGTAAGCCATACATAGCCTGAAGGTGCAAATAGCCAACAAAGCTATGATGGCATTCCCACTCTCTCAACTTGCCTGAATCACAAACACCCTGCTGCAACAGCAGAGCACGCTAGGCATCCGAGCCTTCTCTCATGCCCACTCCGTTCATTGGCGGTGCTCAGCCGGTCTGGATCTTTTGCAATCCGGCCGGTGCGAAGTAGGGTGGCTGGTACGGGCGCAGGAGAGGTGGGATCGCGTGCAGTTTGGCTGCAAGAATGAAGCGATTGGATTCAAGAACGCCACGAGAAACAGCTGGCGGCCATGCCCTTGGCTCTGGACCAGATGGGACACAGCCTTTGAGTGGCAGGTCCTCGTAGGATCCGTCCACGTTACTCCTGAGATGGCTCCGATCGCTGTCACCCTTGTTGGCGAGTCTTGATCGTGTCCGTCTAGGCTTCGTCTAGCCTCTGTGGCCGGGAGCCTGATGTCTTGTCGTGCGTCTCCATGCTTCTGTACTGGTACATACGAGAGAGAGGATTGTTCGAGTATTCGTACTGTATGTACTATGTACGGAGCATGTCGGTCCTCTGCTGCCGACGGCTGATACTGTGCTGTACTCGTATGTGCTAGGAAGCTGATAACTTGGCAAGGCACCTGGACCGGACAGTGCATACTATCGGTACCCGTACAGTAGCTGTAAGAGAAACTTGAGATACAGACAGACATTGGCACAAGTTGCTGCGTCTCCATCGAGCCGTGATGTGAGTTACTCCGTTGCTACGAACAGCAGCAGCAGGGTCGGAATGATTCCCTGGCGGAGTGGGCAGGTACCATGGCAATCTCCTGCGAGCCTCCTTCCTTCAGCGGCGCCCCATTATGAGTACATGTACGAGTACAGGATACAGGACAGGTTGCAGACGGCCAATACTCCGTTGCTCCTGCATCATACCGACGCTACTGCTGGAGGAGGTGCCTCGACGGAGTAGACTGACATGTACTTGTACCTGTGCTGAGTGGGTTAGAGGTACATTCAATGTTGGCACGCTCGTACTCTCGTACTCGCAGCTGCTTGCCTGCCCTCTTGACTCGAGCAGAAGTACCCAATACCTTGTACTCGTACTTGGCTTTGCCAACCTCAATCCAATGGATGGCAAGTGCGGCACCTTGGGACCTCCCTACAGGTGGTAGCAGCCCATCCTGTTCAGGTGCTAACACGTGCCTGGCATATCTGCCCGGCTACAGTACAGTACTGGGTATGTGTCTCTCAGCCTGGAGTCCGAAACTCGTAGATGCCCGACTCAGCTTCCTCACAACTCAAACCCGGCTTCGGCGGCTGCGCATGCTGGCCTGACCGAACATCTGGACAACTCACTGCAGCCCTGGCCACCGCCAGCAAAACCGCGGTCACGATCGGCACGCCTCTCTCCCGCTATCCGCACCACCAGTGGACGGTCTCTCGGCGTCGCTGACAGCTGGAGCACTAATCTGGGGGGCCGGGTTCTGGCGCTGCGCCGGACAGGGGGGGCTGCCACACTGGCGCCTAGCGGTGGGCTGCTACTGTACAGCGAGTGCCAGCGCCTGAGCTGCCCGCTATGAGCCGCCTATGGCACCTGGGCCCGGTGCGGTGGGGAGGGGGGTTCCTTTTCTCCCATGGGAAGCGTCCCGTTCAAGGTCCCACCCCTGAGCCGGCTCACCACCTAAAAAAAATAATTAAAGGTTTCCCACGGCTTCTCCTGACTTTGAGCTTGTCACGAGGGGAATTGGGTGAGCTGTTTCTGGGCTGTCGTCGAGAGGTCTTGTCCTGCTTCTGCATTGGCCGTTTCCTGCCTGCTTCTAAGCTGCTCTGAGTTGAACAAGCGGCCTTGACATTTGTGAACCGTCTCCCCCTTGAGGGCATTTGCTTCCCACACTCGTTTTCCACATCGCCCCTGGTTCGCTTCACACGCTCCTTATGATCTTCACAGGTCCTGCTCCACGAAAGGAGCTGTTGGCTTTGGTCGTCTTCCACCAGATCACCTGTCTGTCTGTTTCGTAGCACCAGTTCGATATCCCGCCCTCTCCTAGCCGGCCGATCGATCGATCGCTTCTGCCGCCGAGAAAACAACCAACCTGTCCAACTTTTCACCGCCGTACCTCTTCCCTCTTGGCATCCTCTCTCTTCTAGAAATTGCAAGCAATGTCTGAAACGCCGGCGCCCAGTGCCGAGGGCAACCAGCCCAAGGCTGTAAAGGACAAAAACTGCGAGTACTGCGGCCAAGCCTTCACCTCGTCTTCCCTCGGCCGACATCTTGATCTCTATATCAAAGACAAAAACCCCAAGCCCCCGGATGGTGTTCACGACGTTGATGCTATCCGGAAGCTCCGCGGAAACATCACTCGACGCCAGCCTCGAGGCTCGCTTGGTGCTCGGAGGGATAATTCCACCCCCGCCGGTACTCCGAAACCGACGGCCAGGAAGGTATCCCCTGGACAAGAATCAGAAAACTTCAAACCTTCTGCTTTGCCCAAAGATGGTCAGTACCCTGTCGGATCAACAACCATCAAATATCCTTATGCTACCCCATGGGAAGCCACGGGCGTCATAAATGATCTTCCGGGCAAGAATGCCTGGGATGGCAATGCCCCTCAAGATACCAACAAGCGTCCTGGGGTATCAAGGAATGCTAGCAGACAGATGGCCCAGAAGGCTCAGTTCGATGTCAAGCAAAAGCTGACTGACGCTATGGACACTGCTAGAGCTGCAGAGCTGGCGCTCAGAGAACTTCTGAGCTCGTGGCGGGCGGCAAAGTAAGTTATTCTGCCTCTTCCATGATTTCATTAGACGGTGGTATACAACGTGGGGTTGGGCTTGACTAACACCGCAAATAGACAACAGGTTGATGGCAACTCGTCACCTTTTGATTTCGATCCACTTGCTCTGGATTTTCCAGCTCTTACTCTGCAGTGCCTTCTGCCACCGCCAACCCTGTTCTCTTCAACCCAGCATCCTACCTCGACATCCTGGTCTATACAGTCTCCCGGCCAGCGTGAGTATAAAGCACTTCAGGTCTTCTTCCAGGAAGAATTCAAGGCATGGAAGATTACATGCGCTTCAGCCACGACGGCGGTGATGGAGGAGATGGCATATCCCCCGACCGGGGGGCCGTATAGAGACGTGAGAGATGCCGTAAAGAGGGCTGAAAGGGCAGCTGAAACGCTTGAGCAGCATGTCAACGAACACCTGCAGTCTGCGTATGCAGTTTGGGAGCCCTTGCCGAATCAGCGGAAAAGTGAACTTTGGCTTCTTGAGCTGGCACGTGGAGTGGGCCGCAAGCATAAGGAAATGGAGAAGATGAAAGAGCAGCATCATAAGCTCAAACAAGAAAATACTAATCTCAAATCACACATCGACCAACTCAACCGACTACAGCAGCCGAGAGAATACAAGGTGCTCTCGCCCTCTACCATTCCTCTAGAACGAGAAGTTCTTGCGTACGTCTATGAACAGGGCGTTACGGGGACTAAGTTTGTTGGCTATGAGCTCGACGATCGGCACCTGGACTTGAACGCCCTTGTAGCCAAGTCAATAGACCGATGGAAGAATGTGATTGTATCGAGTCGCGTTACCGCTACCGGGATGACTGCACAGCGGCCCCTTGATCAGACAGCGGCCCAGACACCTGCTGTGGGAAACCAAAACAGTCCGTCAGAATCCCCGAGCGCCGTTCAAACACCACAGTTGACCCAGCCGCCGCCGCCGCCGCAGCTCGAACAGAGGCTCTCGACCGCAAGCACGAATGGTCTGGCTAGTGAGCAAAGCGCATCATCTACGACTAACACCGGCCCGCCATCTATCGAAGAAACAAGCGATCAAGATGCCGATGCCGAGATGGAAGATGATGATAGTTTTGCCATGATGAGCCAATCACCTATTAAACCATCGCACCCTCCTATGCAGCAGCAAGCACAGCTTGATGTGTCTCGGACTCGTGGTCCCATGACCCAGCAGCAGCAGCAGCAGCAGCAGCAGCAGGTCCAACAGCAGGTCCAACAGCAGGTCCAACAGCAGGTCCAGCAACAGGTCCAGCAACAGGTCCAACAGCAAGTTCAGCAGCAAGTTCAGCAGCAGGTTCAGCAACAACAGGCTCAACAGCAACAGGCGCAGCAACGCAACGCGGCAGATATGCGTTACATGATGCAAAATGGAGCTGGAAGCCCTGCAAGCAGAGCGGCCATGGCTATAAATCGTGCTATGCCCAACATGAACATGGCGGCGATACAAGCCAGTGCCATGCATGGTGCAGACATGACCATGGCGATGCAAGGGGTACGTGGCGATATGTACTTGGAATAATAATGTCGACGAAAAACAGATATTGGAAGAGGCGTATTTTCGGACGGTTAATAGAAGGGACGTCTCGTTTATTTAACGGTTGTACACTGGCCATCATGGTGCCGGCATTCATTTCGAGCGACGGCCTTGATACAAAATTTTTCTCTTTTTTTTTCTTCTCTCTTTCAATGCGTCATAAAAAATCTCACGATTATTCAACAAAAAAGGAACAATCAGCATTTTCTGTGCGCCTCCATGATGTGTTAATATAGAAACCGCAGCATTTGGCCGGATAAGAAGCATATAGAATGGGGGGAGGATAGGTCTAGGGGACTGGGAGAATATTGTTTTTACTGCCGTGCTCTTTTCATTCTTTTTGCTTTTGGTCTGTTTGTAGAATGGGACAAGAAGAAAGAGTTGTCAAATATTTGTGAAACTACTATTGGGCATTCCAGACTAGAAATCGAAAGTTAGGAGTAGGCGTTAATAGGTGAAATTTAGATGATTTTTTTTTTCTTCAAGAGTCTTCTCCTTGGTTTCGCTCTCTCTATATATGTCTTGAGTTGAGTTTTTAATACATGATTTTCCGTCAAGGTTTTTATTCCCGGTAGGTGTTCTTCCGTGTAGCGTAATGGTACATCTATTTTATACAAAGAAGCGGCCTGCTTCATGGCTTAATCTGCTTCAACTTCTGCTCAATCATTCGCACCGTCGACTTTGGGATGTGAAGTCGGTGAGCGAGTACCAGGGCGCCCGTAAGAACAGCAAGGCTGCCAGCCTGGTGAGTGGCCGCCAAGTGTGTGGGAACCATGTAAATGAGAGTGGAGATACCAAGGGCTGCTTGCAAGGTGACAAGATGGACGAGGCCAGTAGTGCCCTTCTTTGCGTTCCTGGGGAGTGCGGCGGCGACCTTTCCGGTGCGGGCGTATGCGAAGAGGGTCAAGATTGTGCAAAAGGTCGTAATGGCTAGGATTCGGTGGTCAAGCTGGACGAGACTGGGGTTCTCGAGCATGTTGCGCCACCACAGGTCAGAGCCGTCTTCCTTGCGGGAGTAGAACTTGTCCCAGAGCTCGGACTTGGGTGGAGTGAAGCCAAGACCCATCTTGGGGAATTCGTTGTAGATGAGGCCAGCGTCGAGACCGGCAACCAAGCCGCCGGACATGGCAGTCAGGAAAACGAGGCCGGTGACGCCAAGCACTGAGCGCCTGAAAGCGTTGAGCGCGGGGTTCTTGATGGCTTTAATGGCAGCAGAGGCGGCAGCGGGGTCGGCGAGCAGACGGCGGGTACGGAGGATGGTCAGGCCAGACATGAGCATCCAGGAATAGCAGACGAAAGCGGTAGCCAAGTGCGTGGTCAATCGATATTGAGAGACGCGCGGGTGAGAGCCAGGAGCAAAGAGATCGTCCTTGAGACCAGACTTGACCATCCACCAGCCAATGAAGCCCTGGAAGCCGATCAAGCTGGAGATGCCGAGCAGGTTGACGGCCATTCTGGGAGAGACTCGGCGGCGCGCGACAAAGTATAGCGAGGGGAGGACAAACGAAAGACCGATGAAGCGGCCCCAGAGACGATGAGTCCATTCCATAAAGTAAATCTTCTTGAACTCCTCGAGCGTCATGTGAGGGTTGAGCAGCTTGAATTCCGGAGACGCACGGTATTTTTCGAATTCAGACTCCCAGTCGGCAAGCGACATGGGAGGCAAAGAGCCGGTGACAGGTCTCCATTCCGTTATGCTGAGTCTATATACAGGACACATCATCGTTAGCGACTAGTTCTTGCATCGTTCCTTTGCTCATCCAGAGTGAGTTTTGAATCGTACCCAGACTCGGTCAATCTTGTTAGTCCACCAAAGACGACAATGCCGAAGCAGCTAGCAGCGCTGCCAATGAGCCATAATGCGACTGCCTTGGAGGTGGTTTTCTTAGGGAATGCCTTTGAAGCTTGGCCCTGCGCCTGAGATGCCGCAGCCGCAGCACTTTGGGCCGCCAGGCTCTCCAATGGCTTCGCATCCGCATATCCTCGCGATCGTACGATGTTCAGGATAGGCGAGGGAGAGCGTCTGGGCGCCTGTCGAAGGCATTGATTGCAGACAAAGAATCTGGAGGGCATCTGGAGGGCGGCCCTCCGAAGCCCAGCTGCAAAAACGGCCATTGTGTGCTGCTTTGCGCAATGGCGCTCAATGTGAAGACGGAAGAGCTTTGAATCGCACGATGTTTCGGGCTCGAATTATAGCATGTCGTCGGAGCTTACAGAGCGCCGAGGCGGGCGGGCCACAGCGGAGTCGGGAAAGAATTAGAGGGGCCCTGATAGGTGGGATGTCGCCGGGGGTCCCCGCCAAACTACGCTCACCGCCAAATTTTTTACATGGCAGAAAAAAAGCAAGCAAGGCAAAGTTGAGCAGCAGCAGAAAAAAAAAAGTAAAGGTCAAAGGCAGAGAGAGGCTCTTGGACAGCTTGGGGTCGCGAAACACCTGGCCATAACGTCCTTTAATTTCGAATTCAGAGAGTTTGTCAAGATGCCAGGTCGACAGGCACATGGACGGCCGCTGTTGAACCAGCCAAAGGCCAAGTCTGGCCCCAAGAAATCCAAGTCGAGGGCGCAGACGAATGCGCTGAATGCCTTCAACATTGCGCAGGAGAGATTTCCCACAAAGGAGAAGAAGACGCCGCGAGCACGAGAACTAGATGCCGAAATTGAGAAGAAGCATGCGCGAGAGGACGAGGATGAGGATGAGGAGGACGAAGAAGAAGGTCCCAAGCGGAAGAAGGTCAAGGCTCCCCAGCGGACGACAGGTGGCGACGTAGAGTTTGGCAGCGACAGCGAGGGAAACGAGTGGCAGCTCGGTGGAATGGCAGACGACGATGAAGATTCCGAAATCGAGAGTGACGATGCGTTTGGCGACAGCGACAATGAGATGTTTCAGGGCTATGCCTTCCGTGGTTCCAAGTCCGGCCAGCGAAAGGTGAGAAATTGCAGTCGGTGGAAGTGCTTATCTATAATGCTAACAAACAGGAAAACAGGACGACGACTCAGAAGGCTCTGACGATGGGAATGACGATGAAGGAGAAACGCTTGGCGAAGATGCCATTGATCTGGCTACGGCTCTAGATCAGTTCGAGGAAGAATCTGAAGAAGAACCAGAGGGTGAAGAAGGATCTGAAGAGGAAGAATCAGAAGACGAAGAGGACTCTGACGAGTCCGATGGCTCTGATGAGGATGAGGACGAGAGTGACGAGGAGGCTGATCCTGAGAGATTGAAAGAGCTAAGAGGCCTGATATCTGGGTTTGGTGGCGACGAAGATGACGACGAGAAAGATGCGCCGGTCTCCAAGAACCAGAAAATCGATCTTGGCGACCTCGGACTCTCTGGACTGAACGACCCTTTTATGAAGCAATCAGTAAAACTCCTGAAAAAGGAATCGAAAGAAACACGGCCCGGAGCGTCAAAGAAGCTAGACGTGCCGCTATCGAGAAGAGAACAGGGGCGTATCGACCGAGCAGCTGCCTACGAAAAAACAAACGAGACACTTGATCGATGGACGGAGACCGTTAAGCAGAACCGCAGAGCCGAACACCTGATATTCCCTCTTCCTGAGAACTCAGAGTCAGCTGGACTCGATCGGACAGAGCTTCAACCTCTCACTTTGAAGAGCGCTGCTAATGAATTGGAGTCTACAATCATGGGCATCATGGAACAGAGCGGTCTATCCCTGGAAAAGGAGAAGAAGCCCAAGAAGCAGGAATTCGACGAGGAGGGCAACCTGCTTACTCGCAAGCAAGTTCTGGAAAGGAAGCGCCTCGAGCGCGAGATCAATTCCAGAGAAGCAAAGCGCGCAAAGCGTATCAAGAAGATCAAGAGCAAGGCCTATCACCGAGTGCACCGAAAACAAAGGGAGCGCGACGAGATGGCTACTAGGGAGGCCATGGCCGAGGCTGGCGAAATCGATTCCGAAGAGGAGAGGGAAGCTCAGGATCGCCGTCGCGCCCTGGAACGAGTGGGACAGCGTCACAAGGACAGCAAATGGGCCAAAATGGGATCCAAGGCGAAGCGCGCCGTCTGGGACGATGATTTCCGCTCTGGTTTGACAGAAATGGCTCGCAAGGATGAGGAGCTGCGTCAGAGAAAAGAGGGCAAGAGCTCAAGGGCAGTAGGAGATGATTCAGATGAGACCAGCAGCTCTGGATCTGATGACGACGACGATGCGGACTTGAGGCGACAGCTCGATGAGCTCGAACAAGAGGACGACGAGCCCCAGTCGAAGTTGATGAAGATGAAGTTTATGCAAAAGGCGGAGGCGGCGAAGAAGAAGGCAAACGACGAACTCATCAAGGAAATTCGCAGAGAGTTGGACGGAGAAGAAGCTCAAGTGTCTGATGAAGAGGAAAAAGGAGGCGAGATTGGCCGAAGGCAGTACGGCAACGGAGCGGCCAACCCGTTCGCCATGCCGCAGAACATCTCAGCCCGAGAGGCCAAGAAGAATCGCGTCAAGGACTCTAGAGAAGAGGAACAAGACGTGAGCTTCGCAAACGGGGACGGAGCTCCTCACATCACCAACGGCTCGGTTAACCACGCCTGGTCGACCCCCGCCGAGACAACGTCTTCTGTAGCGGGAGCCTGGTCCCAGGGCGAGTCGCGCAGAAAGAAGTCCTCCTCGGCACGCGCCGACGACCTCGATCTCAACGCCAACATCCTCACCGCCTCTCAGCCGTCCAAGCCGAAAACCAAGGCCTCTGCCGCCAAGAAGTCAAAGTCTCAAGACCAAGACGACGACGAATTCGAGGGATTCGATTCCGAGTCTGATGCCGAGTCGGAGAACCGCCTGCCCCTGGCCATCCGGGACAAGGCCCTCGTGGCGCGCGCCTTTGCAGGCGAAGACGTCGTCGCCGAGTTCGAGCGCGAAAAGGACGAGATTGCCGAGGCGGACGACGACAAGGTCGTTGACAACACCCTCCCCGGATGGGGCTCCTGGGTCGGCGAAGGAATCAGCGCCCGCGAGAAGAAGAGGCACCAGGGCCGCTTCCTGACAAAGGTCGAGGGCATCAAGAAGAAGGACCGCAAGGACGCCAAGCTGGACAAAGTAATCATTAACGAAAAACGCATCAAAAAGGTTCGTCTTCAACCCCCCCTCCCTTTCCAATATCAAGACCGTAAATCTTGTCACCCCCAAGCTTAACTTTGCTAACACTCCGTATTTTCCCCTTACAGAACGACCGCTACCTTGCCTCCCAGCTTCCCTTCCCATTCGAGTCGAGACAGCAGTACGAGCGTGCCTTGCGTCTGCCTGTTGGCCCCGAATGGATGACCAAGGAGACATTCCAGGACAACACGAAGCCGAGGGTTATTATCAAGCAAGGCATTATTACGCCCATGTCGAAGCCTTCTGCATAAAATTTTTCTTAATGCTGTCAAAATGAAGAATAGAATACTCGGGTTGAATCCGGTTGTTTTTGGGTCATGTATATACAATATTTGGGGTGATTTTTCATATGGCCTGAGTAATTCGCGGTTGTTAAAAAGTCAAATTCATGTGGAATGTTTATCACTGTTCTGTTAGAAATATCATGGCAGACGTCAAGTGCACAAAACTCGATACTTTTTTCAGAGGTATCATTAGAATTATCAATACAAACACGATTCAACGCCATCATTTTGTCCGTTTGTTTCCCCATAAATCTGACAGAAAGAAAAGGAAAGCAGCAAAAGAAAAAATCAAAGCGACCACCGCTACCTTGGGACCCACATTTTGATCCTACGCATCTAGCAATGCTCTCTGATTCTCAGTCTTCCCCTGCAATGTCTTCAAATTTGTGATCCTCGGAATTCAGTACAACACATGAAATAATAGTACAAGGATAGGAAAAAGGCTGGCTTAGCCAGTGGTGATCTCGATCCGAGGGTTCTTGTTTCAGTCAACAAGGCCCGCACTCGTCCATAACATAAGAGAGAGGGATGCTATCGAGTTGTTCATAGTGTCAATGCTATGTTCGTACTTTTATGGTCGAATCAATGTCATCTTCGACCAGAGGTAGAGTTCGACTCGTGTAATCATCGTCGGCGTCATTCAGCCGTACTTAGTTGCTGCCACTGATGAGGTCCGTCGCCTTATCCAAGAAGTCGCCTGGCGTAGCGAAGAAAGCAACAGCAATGATGATGTAGAGGCCGAGAAGCATAGCACCTTCGAGATAGTTCGATTTGCCATCCTGAACAGTATAAGTGACAACCAAAACGGAGACGGCAAAGGCAACAGTCTCGACTATACGATGGTTAGTTTCAATTTTTTTTACAAAAGTTTTTGGGCAAAATGAAACTCACAAGTCTCGAAGTGGAGCGTCATGTCACGTCCAATAATCCACCCGACAATAACGAGGAATGGAGTGACGCCCAACGCAATCTGAATGCTGGAGCCAATTGCCACGCCCATGGCCAAGTCCATCTTGTTGCGTAGAGCGACGACTACAGCAGTAACGTGCTCCGCAGCATTTCCAACAATGGGGATTAGGATCAAACCGATAAATGCTTTGCTGATATTTGCGCTTTCGACGAGATCATCGATGCTTCCAACCAAGTAATCGGCACAGACGGCGACAAGAATGGTTACAACGACAAGAACTGCAGTAGCAGCAATTGGACCCAGAGTAGGCTCTTCGGGCTCTTCATCCTCCCCAACTTGGCTTTCGGCATCGAAAAGATTGCTGTGCGTACGAAGCTGGAAAATGAGGTACATGGCGTACAGAACTAGCAGGATGATGGCAGTGCCACGAGAAAGAACCAGAATACTGCGGTCTTTGTCGCCGTTATCAGTCTGCTTCTGGTCGAGAACGCCGTACAGCTATTGATAAAGTCAGACAAAGCTTATCACACCTACTGCGCGACAGAGGATAACTTACCGCAGCGGGAATTACCAGGGAAGCAGAGGAGAGAGCCATGAGAGAGCAGGTAGTCTGCGCAACAGCGGACGAGAAAGTCTGTTCCGTACCAGCTCCCGTTGAACCACGGTGTCGAAGACCACCAAATAAGAAGCACATTCCCATGACCAGCAACAAGTTTGAAAGAATGGATCCGAGCATAGACGACTGCACAACCTCGATCTGATTGTCTCGAAGAGCCACAATGCTGACCTGCATAGAGTCAGTATCTACCACCAAACGGGGAATATTGCGTCATAACGCACAATCAACTCAACAGCATTTCCAAAAGTAGCGTTTAGCAGTCCACCTAGAGTCTCACCGAGCTTGAGAGATATTTCCTCAGTCGCAAAGGACAAGACGGCAGCAAGCGGAATGATGGCAAAGAAGTTGATGGTGAAAACGGCGGTTGAGTTCCAGCCAAGGCGACCAGCAGCAATACCGATAGGGACCATGATGAGTAGGAAGTTGACATAGTCTAATTGCGTGAGGAAGCACCAAAATGTTAGCATATAGCTGCCTATGCAGAGAAGCGGGCAATGTTGTCATTCTCGCGCAAACTTACTGCTAAGGAGAGTCACCTTGGTGACATGCCAGGTATAGGCGAGGCTGCGGACGACGAAGTTGTCGCTGTCATTGCCTGGCGTGTGTTTCGAATCGAAGAAGAACTGGAAGGCCGCTGAGCGCTCGCGGCCACGATCAAGAATGTGATTATGGTTGCCATTGGAGCTCTCGCCGTTGAGGCCGTTGAGCAGCGGCGTGCGCTCGTTGTTGTTTGGTTTGTTACTCATGGTGCGTCGAATGCCTCTGGTCCAATTCACGTTTACTGTAGTTGACGAAACCAATTGAATACGGTTAGTTGACGAGATATCGCAACGAGCGGAATCGGATGTTTAAAAAGAGAGGAACCGGCGGCGCAATGACAAAAGGGAAGAGTGAGTAGTAAAGGATCGTGCGCGAGAGGTAAGGGAGAGTCGCAAGTTGGAGCTATTCGCGGCGAAGGCAGCCGTGTCGTAGGAAGCAGGAACAGGAATAGGAACAGGAATAGCGATGACAGCCACGATTCCAGTTCTCACTGCTCATTGAAAGTTGAAATTATGGAGGCACTATTGTGTAGTGCAGGATGGAGATACAAAGGCGACGAGGCAGGGATAAGTAATAAAAGTGACAGCAGCAAGGCTGGGTGGGTGGAGAGTGGAGGAAGATTGAGGGTTTAAGAGTTGCGCGTGGCGTTTTTGTTTTAGTTTGGGAGCAAGGTATGTCATGGAGCTAGGGTGAAGGAAAGGGAAACGAAGGGTGTTTTGATTTGATTTGAGCAGCTTCGAAAGAAGGCTCTCGATCAGATGGCAACGCCTGGCCAGCAAAAAAACGCATCCATGTCACTTACACAGACCCAGGAACATGGCTGGAAGCTCCGGAAGAGCCACAGAATACGGCGCAGACGGTATTTACCCGGGCACGGCGGAAATGGCGAGGAGGTTGCGAGGAGATAGCGACTCGATTGAAAGCCGCGGTCGAGTCGGTCGAAGGCGATTCGAGAGCAAGCGAGAGAATGGAGCAGGAGGGAAGAGAAGTGCGACTCGACGGTCGTCTGCTCCGCGAATGGGTTTGCCAGGACGAGGCTAGCGCAGCCCACAGGGGTCTGGTCCGGGTACGTGCGTGTCAGAATTCAAGGTACCGGTACCTTGCGAGAGCGGCGGTGATGCAATTGGGCGTGGTGGCTGAGATTGGAATATACTCGTACTGCAGAGCCGATAGTACTGTGCTGCTGCGCCTGGGGGGGGATGGTGATGACTGATGACTGCTGATTTGATGCTGTGATTGTTGATTGTCGAGAGATGGTGATGGACGATGGGCGCAAGGCACGCAGAAAAGTCTTGGCACGCGACGTTGCCGGGAGGCCTCCTTCCCCTCCAGGAGCCCCTCTTGCGCACGCCTGCAGATTGTATGACCGCCCTTGGCTTGGAGAAGATGTGCCTAGCCGGTGTTTGCGTCCTTCACCGTAAGTACAAGTATCGTATTGTCGCGTCGACTGCCAGCAGCGGCTTGGCATTCAGCTAGCATGTCGATTCAAGGCAAATCCAAGTGCGGAGAAGACATTCGCAGTCCTGGCCGGGCGCCTCTTGGTGCAGCAAAAGCCTGCAGCGAATCCGATTTAGCGCTTCCCGCGTCCCAAACGTGCGCATGGATCCAGTCGAGCCCACAAAAGCTTCGCCAGTCTAAAAAAGCTTGTTGGGTCATGGAATGGAACTGTACAGCGAGCCAAGTACCGGCACAGCTGAAACTGGAGTGGGGAGAAACCACTAGGTACCGTCTGAATCGACGACGTCATGCATGATTCAGCAGCAACGCTTCTTGCTGGTCTTTGTTCTGGGAACGGCGGCGGCAAGGAACGGAGAATGCCGTTTCTTTCATCCGAGTTGTCTGCGAAGAAATTTACTACTGCCCACAATAGGTAACCTCGGTAAAGGAAACACAAGAAGAAGAAAAAAGAAAAGGAGAAAGAAAGGAATCAGCCACAGACCTTACTCGTAGTATTACTCGTAGTATACTAGTACATTCAATCATAATCATCCACCCGAGTAATAGTACCTTGGCATCCTCTGTACTCGGTAATACAGCATGCAATTATTTCTCAAAAAGGCTCTCTGCCTACCTTGTACTTACCCAAATGAAATAAAGCCAAGACAAAGTCCTCGCCTATACCATATAACACGTGCTCCCCTACTTTGACTAGGTATTATCCTATTCATTTCATTTCAAATGCATTCTTCCAAAACACACTCTCTTACAAGTACACACACACAAAAACCGTTTCTCACGCCCCCCGTACAATGACCACTCCTCTTGCATCGCCTCTTTTCATCAGCACAGCCTCCCAAACCCACCTTTCAACGTGAATATTGCAAATTAAGCTTAATTTTCCCCCCTCACTCGTGACTCCATTCGACAAATCGCCTCGCTCTAGACTCATTTTCTTTTGATTTTGATTTTTCATGCTTGGTTTTGAAGTTACCTGGCACTTAATTTTACCCGGCCGCTTCTAGAATTGAATTTACCCCGCCGCCCCGACCCATCACCGAAGAGTCCCCGGCTCTTGCAATCTATCTACCCGTCAACCTCATGTTTCCGATGGACGACGCGCGTGTCTCAGCCTCTGGCCAAGACTCAGGCCAAGACTCTGGCGCAGTGCCCCTTGCAAGTCGGATCTTATCGATAACCGTTAGCATCGCCAAGCGCCCACGTGGAGATCTCCTGTTGCTTGCTGTTACATCGCACGACGGAAGCACCTCGATCTAGGGAAAGCCGACCATCAAACAACGCATGACAAATGAAGCATCTACCTAGGTACTCTGCGAAAATGTACATGTATCATTCGAGCCGAAACGCAAAGAGTGTCAAATGACGGACCATTGCGGCCAGCGCAATTTGCGGCGTGAGCGATCCCGAACCTCCCGCCAGCATGTCCGACGACGTCACGGCGTTGGATCTCAAATCGGCCTTAGTAAGCGCCGGCCACAAACGCCTCACAGGAACAACCCGGAACAGGCCAGGCAATTGCCAGTGCCACCACAATTCTGCTCAGAATCCCGCTCGTGATGCCAACTTGCCGCATCTGTCCTGCTGCCGACATGCTCAGCCTCGCATCACCTCCCGCATCGGCAAAGGCACGGCGAGATTCATACCAAGAAATGCCCGGTCCCGGCCGCATGACAAGCCAAGCAGCCAAGACGATCTAGAAGGCTTCAACGCCTAGCTCGCCACGCCTCCCTTCCAAGCCTCCAACCGATACCTGCCATGTAGCAGAAGATCAGAGATCATACTTCCCCAAGCGCTGTTGCTGCCTTGTTAGCATCGTATTTTCAAAGCTCTGACAGATAGAGACACCCTAGACTTACCCGCAGAATAAGCCATAAACCACGTCAGCGATGCTCCGCCATCCAGCCACTGGGGGCTAAACGAGCGTGAGCTAAAGAATTCCCATGCCTTCCTTGGCTCTACCGACGCATAGCTGGCCCAAATGATGCCCTTCCAAGCATTGCTAATGTCGTCAATACGCCCGTCGCTGAAAAAGGCATCCCATTCTTCCTGGACGAAATCCTTGTTCCTCACAAACGGTGTCGAGGGCAAGATAGGGATCATGTGGATCCCCTGAATTGCCTCGATGTTAGGATCAAAATACGTCGTGTGGTCCACCTTGTTCTCGAATAGGATGCCCGCAACCTTGTTGCCAATAAACTGCTTTGGCTGTACCTTGTTGTCGCTCTTGTACAGGTAATAGTTCTGCAGGCTGCGTGCGATGATGGAGAGCTGCAGATTACCCCTATTACATCCTTGGCATCAGCTAGTCTGAATTTCGTTTTTAAGGGGGAGAGGAGTGAAGCAAGGGAAACAAGAAACAAGGTTTGGGATCATCAGAGCATGAGCATGGAGAATCTCGCTTCTTACCTTGCCTCCAAATCAGCATTCTTGCTGACCTTGCCCCACATCTTGATGGCATAGGCGTGCATCATATCTTCTGAGCTCGATTCTTGGTCCTGCTGCCGTTAGCAAATAGGTAAGCGCTGCCATCTCGAGAATCCATCTTCACCTTGCCGTCCATAGCAGCATAGAGACCATGAGCCCAGCTGTGGCCGTGGTACCAATCAAAATTCCTCCACATGGGAAACAACTTGTCTTTGGCGCTGGGGTTAGCCACATCTCGAACCAGCACATTGATATAGTCCTTGTTCTGCTTCAGCCAGTCTGAGTCGAGATGGCCAATGATTGCACCGGCGAGGATATGATAACCGTAGTGGAAGTGATGGTCATTGTAGTACGTGTTTCCAAAGTCGGCACCAGAGTTTCCGGTAACATAGCTTGCCGACGACACAATCCCACCCCAAGCAGCTGCCAGTCGTAGTATTAGCATCTCACAACGGGTTTGAAAACGTGGCGGCAGCAACAGGCTTCTACTTACTTTCGTAGATGAGAGGAAACTTTTGTTCATTGGCCGCAAACGTGGCAAACGCCGCCTTGAGCTGCCCCAAGCCAGTATGTGCCAGGGCTCCGTCTCTCAGCATCCACTTAACCACATAGAGAATGATTGCAAACTTGGCCAAGGCCTAGAGAGCAGTTTGTTAGTTGAATTCCCATGCCACAGCCTCAGGGAGACGAGGGAAAAAAACAAAGGGGTGTTATATACCTTTCCGCTAAAGTACATGGAATCTAGATTGCTCTGCGCAATCATGTTCTGTGCGACTTCCTTCGCAGCCGCCGCGTGGATGATATTCTTCGCGTGATCTGATAGCTTATCAACGCTTCCTTTTTCGGGATCCCAAGGAGCAAACGTCATGTCTACCGGCATTGAGGGTTCGATCATGGTCCAGTGATTCCCCTTGACCAAGGTGGCAAGGCCCTTGGTGGTAGATTGCAGCTGCGCTTCATTTTGTATGCGCCTCTCCGTCTCCCGATCGAAGGAGTCAACATGATGAGGGAGAGCGTACATATAAAGGTTGCCATGCTGATGCCCGTCTATCTCAAAATTGAACGAGTAGCTGCCTTCATAACCGCGAGCTGTACCTGTCAACTCAAGAGAAACAGGGTAAATGCCAGCGCCATCGTCCAAGATGCTCTCAGCATCCTGGTTCTTTGGGCACTTGCAGACCTGGATGATACCGTAAAACGGCCTCTTCGATTCAGCTAGGCCATTGTTGACAACCCTTAGTTCAAACGGTGGCCCCTTTGTATTCCAAGCATACATCAGCCAAGTGGCTCCATCCTCGAGATGAAACGTAAACTTGGCCAGGTTTTGCTTGAGGTCTCGTGTCACCCGAGTCATAGTCTTGAAGAACACACCAGTTTGAATGACGGGGGTCGCGCCGTTGTACTGTGCCGTGATGTACGCCATTCCCTGTACCAGGGGAAACGATATGTCTGGTGGAGAGTCGTCGTCTCTGCTGAGGTGAACCCGTGCCGAGAATGCCGTCATGCTGTCAATGGAAAGAGTCGTTTCTTTTCCAAGCTCCTTGGCAGAAAGAACCAGAGAATGTATGCCCACCGGGTTGAGGTAGAAAGATGAAGCACCGTTAAACTTCTCCTTACCAAAAACCCTCTGGCTAGCCTCAACGTGAGAGCATGCCATGCCCCAGCTAGCCGTCACGCCCTTTCCTCCAGCCCAGGCCAACGAGTAGGGAAACGTAAAGGTCGGGCATCGCTGGTCGTCCAAGAAGAAATTGGAGTAGAACTTGTTTGTCTGAAGCGGAGCATTCTCTGAGATTCCTTTTCTTGGAACGGGGTGATCCTCTCGAACCGGGATTTGGGAGGGCGGCCGCTTGACGTCGATGGGCTCTGCGAAAATGTTCCTTGACACCATGGTGTTATCTGTTTCAGCAGTAGCTTCCTCCATAAGGCCTATCCGTGTGTTGAATTGGGCCGTGGTCTTTGCAGTTGGACTTTGACGCAGTTTGGTTGGATCGTGGGTGATGTCACTTTTGCTTCCGTTTATCGAACTGGTATGCGATTGGAGTGATTTTCTTGTCTCAATTGGAAGAGAGCTCGCAGTTACAGTGACTGTCGTTGTGAAGCTGTTCTGAATACAAGAGGAAGTCTCAGTGCAAGTGGCCTTGGAGACAGTCGTGCTAGAAGCCAGTGTTTCATTCAACCAGAAGCCTCCAAAGGGAGCATGCAACCGAGTCCTAATCGGGCGTTTCGATTTGACGGTCTTTTCCGTAGGAACAAAGCGGCCCTGACCAGTATCCAGACCGGGTAAAGCGATAATCCTTTGAACAAGTGTTAGCCAACAAATCCATGATATGATACGATATAAAGCCATGATATTGGTGATGATTTGAGTATATCCACGTATACATGGCTCAAAGTGCGTTTCCAACTTGATTCCCTCAAGAGAAGTACTTTAGGTGTCCGAGAGAAACATGATATTGGATTCAAAAACGGTGCTTCCAACGTGGTAATTAAAATATCCATCGTCACGGAGGAATGGGTGCCCAGAATATGTTTTGTGGGGGAAATGATTCACATCCACGCATGACTCCGAATCCCAGGGTGCTTGGAATGCAGACCGGCCACAAAGGGGAGGAAGACAATCAGTGGTAGTTTGTTGTTTTGGACATACCTGTGTCTGACGATTCGGAGCTGAAGTGCCGGCCTCAGAGGTGTTGAGCGGTACGGATGGAGTAATGGCGATGGTGATTGTGGTACAAGCGCGATATCAAGGAAGTTTAATAGACAGACAAAAGATGAAGGTATAACCAAAAAGGGAAAATATACAGTGATGCTGAATAGTGGTGGTTTGTAGGATAAAAGGACGTGCCAAAGGAGCTCAGAGATGAGGACTATGAGGTATGAGTCTGCGAATGCTGAAGAGGAAGAAAGGCAGTTCGCGTCCACGCAATAGATACTTTCGGTTCCTCTACCCTACAAAAACCGAGCTAGCTTTGGCAAGAAGACTTGAGAGGATGAGCCCTTCTAATTCCGTCCTCGTCGCCTTTACCAGGTATCTCTTGAGTCAGCTGCCACCGGAGCGTATCCTGGTGATAGTTGCATAGAAGCGCTCTCCCAATGAAGCTCGGTGTTACCCCTGCGGGCGTGTGCTGGAAACGTCCGCAAGTGGGTCACGGGCCGTGGTTTGTCTTTCCTCAATACGCAGTTTGAATGTCTCTCTCTCTCTCTTTTTGTGGAATTGGTTGTTTTGGGGCTGACTGCTATGGTGTTTGGTGTTGCCCCGGCGCTGGTACGAGCTGGCGTGAGACTTTTTGAGTAAACAAACATCCATGCGCTGTTTGAGGGGAAAGGCAATGCTTTTGTTGTGGAGCAGCTAAGCTCAGTGCTTGGCTACAGCTGCATGGGCTGGAGAATAGCAATTGGGCCGTGTGATGGTGTCGCTTTGAATTGTTTGGGCGGGCAATTTGCTTGCCTTTTGCGAATTACATGGTATCGTGAGGCATCGTTGCATCGGCGTGCTCATGATGCGTGCCGGGAGATGGTGACGCTGCACAAGTACTGTTGGAATTCCAGAGTTATTTGGTTTGTACTACGAAATACACATTATTTCCAATCCAACCCAATGCTATGTTATAATCCAAGAGCATTGTATTTCCCCGTTGATGCGCCTTCCCGAATGATCCTCTCTACTCTCTTCGTCACGCTGTCATCACGCGAGCTTTTGCTCTTTGAATCCCTTGTAGGCAGCTTCGCATCCCTATGTTTTGTGTCCTTGGCCCTGGCTTGCTTCTTCGCCTTCTTCCTTGCTGCTTCAGCCTCTGACCGCTCTGCATCTCGGCGGCATCGGCGAACGTCTTTGTCTCGCAGCCGCCAGGGCACCTCCAGGACCTCGCGACGGAACTTTGCTCGCTTTTCCCATAGCACTACTTCCTGAGCTGTGCTTTTAACAATGGTCATCCTCTCAATGTTGATCTGGTGCTCGTTGCGGAACGAAGACACTCCTCCCTTCACATCAACTACTGTGCCAACATCGACGTCTGCATATGGATCAACCTGTTGTGCATCTGCATCTTTCTCCGTCCGTTGCTCGCTGGCGGTCGATTCGGCTGTTGGCTTTGTGGGGGCTGGCGACGTAACCACGGCGAGAATGTTTCTGCCGCTGCTGTCATCTATGGTGTAGATCCGTCGGTTGAAGAATTGTTCGATGGCCACGACGATGCCAACCACTCGCACCCATTTTATCGGGAGGTTTCTGTAGAAGAAGAAGTTTTCCCCTTGAAGAATTGTAAGCTTCAGCTGCCGTAATTCAGGCTGATGCCAGCGGACGCGTACCTTCAAAGCCAGCATGCTGATCTAGAGCATGAATCTCGACAGCACGTAGCAGACACCACGTATTCACGGTAGGCGATAGGTGGAAGCAGTATCGCGGATAGAGGGCAGCTTCGGTAGCCTCTGTCATGGAATGCGCGTCCTGATGCCTTGATTCACTGGCGAATCAAGCGCATGCACCCAGACCCGCGCAATTGACTTTGTGCTCATCGTCTGGTATATCGTTGAAGGAGAAGAAAATCCAGGGTTGGTGCAGATGCGTTGTGGGAAAGGCTGTTGGTTGCTGTGGCGCGTCACAGCTCAAGCCCCGCTATCTCACGGAAGCTTGCATACTACCTAGTATTCATGTAAACTGCATATGTGAATTTGACTTGTAGTAAATATCAGTGCAAGACGATGCAATTTATCATCAACATATTGTTTTATGCATGTTATTTATCATCTACTACTGGTATAGAAGATCTATCCAGGCATACCCAGCACCCGACTGAGGTTGTAAATTACCAAAATGTTCCGAATAGCATGTGCTGTGTGATTCGACAGACGCCTTAAACCCAGATCCCGATTCCTTTCCCCCTTGCCCTATGAAATAAAACAGTCCGACTTGTATCCCATTCTCAAAAACATACACTCCATTGGCTCTACCGGCGAGACCTCGTCGATCGACGGCCCGCGTTTGAAGCAGGCTTCTCCTCCTTTGCAGCAGTCTTGGCCTTTTTAAGTCTCGCTGCCGCGGCTTGAAACGCCTCCTCTGATGGCTCCTCTTCGTCTTCTTCCACAGCACGCTTCTTTCCTTTGCCCTTCTTGCCGGCAGCGCTCTTCGCACCATACTTTTCCTCGAGGTGACTGAAAAAGTCCCCAGCGCGGTCCTTTTGCCGTTTCTGAATCAAAGCAGCCAAGTCGTCCTCTGAGCTCCCCTTGCCCTTCTTGCCCTTTGACTTGCCACCGAAGATTTTGTCGTGCACACCAAGTTCCTTGGCTAGTTCCTCTGCTTCTGCTTCTTCAGCCTTTGCTGCCTTGGCACGAGCGGCGCGCTTCCGCTTGTTTTCTTTCTTGTAGGCCGGGAAGCTGGGGACGTCGCCTGTCTCGATTGCTTCGTCAATGATCTTGCGGAATCGTTCGTCATCCTCGACAACATCGCTCAGCATTACTCGCTCGTACACCTGATCCATATCGCCTTCGCACTCTTCGTAGGCAATGAGGAGGTCATCCTTCTCTTCGTCGGACCGCTTGTATTTCTCGGCAAATTTCCTGATGGCGTCTTCGGAGATTGCATCCTTGTATTGCTCCCGGTAGTATTCGCTCCAGTCGAAGCCCTCTGAGTCGACAATCGACTCGGATGTTGATCCAGTGGTGTCGTATCGCTTTCGTCGCGCGGGGTCTGACAGGACGGCGTAGGCGAATGCGATGCTCTGGAAGGTCTCATGAGCCTCTTCTTTCTGAGACTCGGGAACTTTGTCTGCAGCGCTCAGTGTCAGCAATGGCAAGTGATGACGCCTTCAGCCCTCTCCGCAATCTCTGCAACCCACCTGGATGATTCTTGAGCGCTGCCTTGCGGTATGCGCTCTTGACCTGGTCAGCAGTTGCGGTGCGCTCGAGCCCCAGGACCTCATACGGGTCGATTGCGGGCGGCTCGCCATCGACGACGTCTTCGTGGTCCGACATTTTCGAAGCTCGATGGAACGCTGCAGGTTTGTGTTGTGTTGCAGAGTCTCAGAGGAGGGTAGGCTGATCACACTGAAGCTCTTTAGCTGGGTCACGCGTCGCAACGCGCTCAGGAACCCGTTAAGCTTAATGGAGTTGGCAGCCGGGATCCACTAACTGCCGCGCTATATCCGGAGGTTGCTGGCCTAAGCTCACTAATACAGAATGCTGCAACTTGAACTCGTCAGAAGCAACCAGCATTGAGCACAGCCGCATTTGCTGTATACAAGACGTGATGGATTCCCCAGAAAGCCAAGATCACAAGACGTCAATGCAACATGCATTGGAGCTGGCAAAGAAATCCCCGCCAAAGCCGACAAACTTCCGTGTCGGAGCCATCCTGGTGAGGCTGGAAGACGGCCATATCTCTGCTGAAGGCTACACCCTGGAGCTTCCGGGAAACACACATGCCGAGGAGTGCTGTCTTTTGAAGCTTGCAGAAGAGCATTCTACTACAGAAGAGGGCCTTGAGGCTGTCATGAAGAGCCCGCATGCCCTTTACACCACCGTTGAACCCTGCTTCAAGAGGCTCAGCGGCAAGCTGCCCTGCGTCGAGCGCGTTCTTCGCCAGAGGTCGTGGATCAAGAAGGTTTATGTGGGGGTTCTTGAGCCCGAGACTTTTGTCGGGAAGAATCCCGGCCGCCAGCTGCTCGAGGAGGGCGGTGTTGAAGTTCACTATGTCCCCGGGTTTGAGGAAGAGATCCTTGCGGTGGCGGCTGCTGGTCACACATCATGATGATACTGGTCGACCTTGTTCATCTATCACGGTTGGCCAGCTGACTTGCTGCCCGTGATCCATGGAAAGCTTTCCGGATCAGAAACACCAAACACGACGAAGACTAGGATACGGTTCTTTCGCAACAATCACTTTGGAAGCACGAGCCACCTTAGATATTTGTCTACGCCATCCCTTACAGCGAGTACATGCATTTGTACAAGTAAGCTTTGCGCTCAAATATTAGACGACAGCTACATATGGTAGGGAAAAGGAAATGCCGGGCAGTATCATATTTTATAGCCAGGCAATGAATAAAGACGCCATTGTATATTTCCAAGCTGAATTATCATACGACGTAAAGCAATTAATTGAATACTGCATGTGATGGAGCGGCACGTACCTGTTGGTGACAAAAATAGCGACGGATCGAGATGGTGTGGGCGCCGCAAACGCGGGGTTGCACTGCGGATGAACCTTGTGGCTGAGATGCTGTAAGAGCTTGAGGTCTCCTCTCTTTGCCTCAGTTTCAGAGACGCATCATTTATCAATTGAACAGCAGTAGAAACAAAACATGAGAGTTTGCGGTCAAGCGTATCGATACATGACTCGAACGACTGCTGGCATCTAAAGCCCAGCGTCTGATAGAAGCCAAAGCGCAGGCCCAAAGCTTCACTTACGCCTCTCCTCCCGCCATCTTGATCGTCATCCCTGGTTAGTGGATCAGAAGCCCAGGCCCCAGTCAATATAATATCCGGCCTCCCATCGGGTCTCCAGCCGATCCCGTGGCGCCCGGCAAATGAGGAGAAGCCCATCGTATTACCCGACAGGATAATCCATGTCCGCGTGACGTCGTCACGGAGAGAAGCTGTTTATGAGCTGATGCTCGATGTATTTGGCTGAGACGATCGTTTCGCATAGTGCCTCACCGGTTACAAATAGCCTTTATTTCTCTCCGCTGCTGCCTCCAAGTTCTTGGGTCATCTCACTCGTTCAGACACTTATAACCAGTCACAAACATGCTTGAGCAAAAGGTCGTGAATTTTGAGCCGGGAGACGGCTTCAGCATCGTCGGCGCCGAGATCTTTGTCGACGAGCAAGACTACACTGGTGTCCACATTGCGGCAAATAATCTGTCGGAAGATTTTACCAAGGTCACCGGGCAGCGCTGCAATCCCATTGTCAAGACTCGCCCTTCGGCTCCGCCGGCTAGATCATGTATCGTCATCGGCTCTCTCACTAAATCGCCCACGATCCAGCTCCTAAAAGAGCAAGGCAAGATTGACCCTAGTCAAATTGAGGGCAAATGGGAATCTTGGATCACAACGGTTGTACATGAGCCCTTTGAGGGCTATGATGATGCCCTTGTCATCGCTGGGAGCGATAAACGAGGAACCATCTTTGGAATCTACTCCCTCTCGGAGCAAATTGGCGTGTCACCGTAAGCATATTCTCAAACCACGTATTAAAAGTGAATTCTGACAAAGTATCAAACAATAGATGGCATTGGTGGGCTGATGTGCCTCCGAAAAAGCAGCAGCAAATCTATGCTTTGCCTGTGACCACAAGCAATGGCGAGCCCAGTGTCAAATATCGTGGAATCTTCATTAACGATGAATGTCCTGGAATGGACAGCTGGGTACACGAAAAATTTGGTCCCACGTTTGACGCCAACTTGTATCATTACATCTTCGAGCTTCTCTTGCGCCTCAAGGCCAATTTCATGTGGCCCGCAATGTGGAGAGGATATCCATATCCCGGGCGGTCTTTCTTCGTAGACGACCCCAAGAACCAGGAGCTTGCAGATACTTATGGTATTGTCATGGGAACTTCGCACCATGAGCCGATGCAGAGGGCCATGAACGAGTGGTCTACGACTCAACCAGGCGGCACTTGGAATTGGGACACAAACAAGGAAAAGGTTACGCAATACTTTGAAGAGGGAGCCGAGAGAGCTGTACCATATGAGTCCTACTTCACCATGGGGATGAGAGGCGAAGGTGATGTACCAATGACTGGAGGAGATCCTGTCAAGATCCTCACCGAAGTGCTGAGTGTACAAAGAAACATCATCAAGAAGAATTATGGCAAGGAAGATGGCGTCTTGCAGCTCATGGCACTCTACAAAGAAGTGCAGGGATACTATGAAAAGGGACTCGTGATCCCTGATGACGTGACCCTCTTATTCGGCGACGACAATTTTGGGAACCTTCGTCGTCTTCCAACGGAGGAGGAGAATAAGAGGTCTGGTGGCTCGGGTTTCTACTACCATTTCCAATACACGGGATACCCGCGCTGCTATAGGTGGATTAACAGCAATACTCTAGGCAAGGCCCTTCATCAGCTCCAGCTGGCTCATCACCGAGGCGCCAATCGTATTTGGGTCTTCAATGTTGGAGATTTGAAGCCTGTTGAGATTCCCATGAGTTTTGCGTTTGATTTGGCTTGGGATATCAATTCCATCACGGCCACTACTCTGCCGCAATATTTTGAGCATCTTGCTACTCGGGAGTTTGGCGAAAAGTATGCAAGTCGGATTGCAAAATCCTGGTATGACTTCAACAAGCTTGTGGCGATTCGCAAGCAGGACCACATTGATGCATCTACCTTTGTCATTCAGAAATACCACGAATCTGACAACATCATTGCGCGATGGCGAGAACTCATGGGAGAGACTCAAGCCATCTACTCATACATCGACGAGGAACACAAATCTGCCTTCTTCCAGCTCGTGCTTCATCCCGTCAAAGCTACATACATTTTCACTCAAGTACGCGTGGCCCAATACACGAATCAGCTTTTTGCCAAGCAGCGCCGAAATACGACCAATGCCCTGCTGAAAAAGTGCATCAGTCTCATGGATGCCGATCATGATTTGTTTGAAGAGTATAATTCTATTTCAGATGGTAAATGGAACCTCATGCTTCGCCAACCTCATTATGGCTACGGCGATACTGGCGCAGAACCATCACGCAACATGATTGATGGACTTTGTTATGTGCAGACAAGAGAAGATTCGAACCCGAGCGTTGGTCATATGGGAATAGCAGTGGAAGGCATCGAAGGCATTAATCCCGGCCATATCAATGAGGATTCTGACAGAACCCATCCATCCCGCGGTGGCCTCGAGCCTGGAGTGACTCTGCCTTTCATCACTCCTTATGGAGAGCAGACTCGCTACTTTGAGGTCTTCCATCGCGGTACACAGGAGTTTTCCTGGGAGGCTCGGCCACAGTATAAGTGGATCAAGCTTTCTCAGTATCAAGGCCATCTGAACCCCCGAGATGACGATATCAGGGTTATCATCACCATTGACTGGGCGGAGGTACCCACTGATTTTGACGCCAAAGTCATGATCGAAATCATTGGTACTCGTGATGGATACGAGCAAGTCCACATGACTGTGCGTAACAGCCGAGTCCCTGCAGACTTTGAAGGGTTTGTCGAAGAGAGTGGGCACTTGGCCATCGATGCCGGCAATTGGGTTACGGCACCATATATTCAGCTTCCTGCTCTCGGGCGGCCTATTGCCGGAGCTGTCACTCTTCCACTTGATACCGACTTTAGCAAGCCAGATGATATCCCGTTCCTTAAATATCCGATTTATGTCTTCTCACAACATGACAACACCAATCTCGAGCTTCAGTTCAACATCACTCTTGAGACTGAAAAGGCGAGCAGAATGCAGTACGACGTGCGCTTCGATGGAGGGGCCATCAAAACATTCCGTCTGACTGAAGATGAATCGAATGCTGATAACCTTCCCAAGAATTGGGCCACGGCTGTCATGGACTGTGTCTGGAAGAAGGGTCATAACTTGGGCACAGTGAAGAAAGGTAGTCACACGATTGAGGTGCGATTCCGGAGCCAGAATATCTGTTTAGAGAAGCTGCTTATTGATCTTGGGGATTTGCGGTACACGTACCTGGGGCCGCCGCAGAGTGCCTTTGTCAAGAAGGGGGAGAGCCAGGCTGTGAATGTTATAGGGCAATTGGATAGCCTGAAGATTGATTTGGGATTTTAAAGGTAATTTTTTTATAAGTTGTCACTGAGGGGACCTATCAGTTGCTTAATTCTCTCAAGAGCTCTTCTATATTTGCGTATTTATGGCTTCATTATCCAGCTGCCAAAACTTATTCATTGAATTACACAGCGATACTTTTGAAGCATCAAGTAGCTCGTTTCGCTGGACAAGGTGGATTTACAGGTCGTCTCCGATGCTATTACATGCAATTAGTTCGCGAGCCTGCCAGACACCTTTGACATTGATCAACTTACCGTGCAACAAGCTTCTTCGCGCTGACTTTCCGGTCATACAGCGCCTGCACACCACTTACTATGCCATTCAAGCCGTCTGGAAGCACTTCCACTGGGTGAGGCTTGATTTTGCCATCTGCCAGCAAGTGGCTGAGATACTTGTAGAACCAATATGCAAACTCCTGGTCCACCTTTGCTTGGTCCTCAGTGACACGGCCCCAAGTATCGCCATGAGCTGAACCAACCATTGTGCCGGAAAGCTTCACGTTGTCAGGGAATTTCCAATTCGAGCCTTGGACGGGATCGACCATGTTGATGGTGCCGCCGCCAGATGCGACAAGCACTTTGGTGATGGGCTCGTAGCTGACAGGGTCGGACACAGAGTCAAACGCAAGCTTGATCTTGGCCGATCCTGCGGCGTCAATGATTTTCTGGACTACATCTCCTGTTCGGTAGTCGATGATGTGGTCTGCTACGTTGAGCGACTTGACAAAGTCGATTCCGTTGCCAGCAACGGTGATGATGGGGCTGAGATTGCTCAGCTTGGCGAGTTGAAGAGCGAAAGCTCCGACAGCCGTGGCGCCGCCCCAGATCAAGATGGGAGTCTTTTCGGCAGCAGGATCTTGGAGGGTTGTTGGAAGTGGTACTTTTAGGCACTGGTATAAGGCGATGGCGGCTGTCATAAAGGCCAAAGGAAATGAAGCGCCAGACTCGAAAGAGATGTTGGGGGGCAGGTGAAACGTTGTGGACGCCTTGACAATGGTATATTCGGCGTAGGTGCCGTGGGGATGGAGCATCTGGTGAAAGCCTGCAACGCGGTCTCCTGGCTTGAACTCGAACACTTCTGAGCCTACCGCTTCGACAACACCAGCGACATCGTCTCCAGCGTTGAATGCTTGTGATTCATCATATCCTTTGGTAGCCTAAGGACAGAAGACCGTAAACATCATGAGTCGGACCATTTGGGGAGTTAATTTGTATTATCATACCTTCCAATCTTTTGGATTCAACCCCGCATATGCAACCTTGATGAGAACGTCCTTTGGTCCTGGTTTCCTGCTAGTATGTTAGTGAGAGTTTGAACTAAGCTTAGAAGATAACTCACGGGATATCTGTTTCCTTGATAATGCCACCATACTTGGGTTTGGCGTAGATGAAGAGTTCCTTCATATTGGCGGCTCTGGTTTATTGAGAAGAGATGGTGACTGGGATAAGAATCGTAGAGGCGATAATTTGTGCACGTATGCTAGGACAATTAGGAGAATGAAAAGGGCTCTTATAAAAGACTTGGCGACCAAGATGAGTTTTGAGATTTTATTGAGTCCGCTGTGAAATTATTGAGTGTCTAGCTACTATTGAGTGCTTCTCCTTCAGCTCAATCGTTCCGACCAGTCAAACCCCGCCTCGGAATTAAGGCTGGTGGACATGGATAGGGTGGTATTCTTTGGGTAACCAGCATTACAATATACAGGGCCTATTACAGACAACTGCCGCTAAACAAGATTTGAAGCAGCAATAGTAAGGAGGAATGGGATAATTTACAAGATTGCTATGTCTAAGCCGGCTTGTTTGATCTCCCGACTACGCTATATCGCAAGTTGAGAAAGATCGCGCCTCCACACATTTGTGATCGCGTGATATGGTGCCATGTCAATGAGCATCGTTAAAAATTTGTCAGCGACAAAGGCCAATTCCGACGTTTTTATATCCACAGTAAATCCATGGAGTGTTGCGGAGTTTGAGAGGGAAATGTTATCCACTCTTCGGAGTATTGTTCGAGATCTTGGATTACTATCTTTTGTGGAATAGCTGGTCATCATCTTGTAATATTCAAGGCAGGACTTATTCTGACCAAAAAAATGGGTAGTCAGGTGGCTATGCTTTCATTTCTTATAGCTAATGGATGAAACCAAAGAGATTAGCCTTGTCCGAGTAAACAGAATAGTATTGAGTCCAAAATAGCAGTAGTATCGTTGATATAAACCAAGCTATCGTCGCAACTTTAATCGTTCATGCACAATAGAATCGGTTGTCCCTCAAAATATGATCATTCCGAAAATGAAGGATGTTGAGTTGAGATATCTGTGCTGTCGAAAACTTGCCCAACGATAAATCTTCTCCTATAGCTCATTGACATTCTTTTTTACACTTGTCACAAATTTCCGATGCTGTTGTCTTGATATTTTCCCAGGCAAGGTTCTGGCACTGCGGCACGGCGAAACTGTTCAAGACAAGCTCTGGAGGGCCATTGACAAACCACCAAGTGCAGTAGTCCCACACTGCTCGGCTGGTAGTATCAACATCAATGATGTGGCCGAGTCCATTGCAGAGATCGCCGTAGTCAACGCAGGCGGCATTCCTGCAGGGACAAATGAGGAATATTCGTGTTCTGGTACACATTGAAGTAGAGGCTTTGCGTTCAGAGGAACGGGTGAGAGCTTTGTCTGTTTGGCGGAGACACGGCATCGGACAGCATAAGAGGACGATTGCTCAGTTTAATATTTTCTTAGATTCTCTGAATGATGATCATTCATCCGGGCATAACACTGCTTCACTCATTGCTCCTGTTCATATGAACATGAACAATGAGCAGTTGGTGCTCTATATCGTGAATCGTATGATGGCATCCATTTTTTAACGCTCATTATAAAATACTGATGAGCTGTCATCTGAACTTGTGCGACAGAGGCGTTCTTACTGTGATTATAGACTAGGTAAGTTCCGACGTCGGTGGGGAGATGGATGGTAACACAATGACCAATTAAGCATGGGTCAGTAATACGCTCCTTACAATACGTAGTATCAATAGCAGTAAGTATGACAGAAGTGAAATTAAGTAATCGAATCATCATAATGGACAACATTTATATCGGCACATAACAAAAGATGTGCTATTGGTCATATCAACATCTACAAAACTCCGACAAAGTAATCTAATACGAAAGCGTAAACCCACGATAATCGTTGTCCACCACATCTTGAAGAGCCTTCCTGTAATGAACCAGGCCCCCTACCCAGAACAGAATTTGGGGTGTCTTTCCTTCAACGTTGGCGCCAAAAACATAAGACTTCTCTTTTCTAAAGAGGTTCTTTGTTCCAAGCACGCGACACGCTTCCACATAGTCATTCTCAGCTTGCTGAGTAGCCTCGACGAGAACTAACTTATCGGAGGCGTCTTCCTTTCTCTTTGATTCGGCCTTCAATATTAATCCAGAGATGAACTCGACCTGAGCCTCGATTGTCGGCGGGAAGTTGTTGAATGGCGATAGAGGTCCCACGACCAAGAACATGTTGGGGAATCCTGCTTCGGACACACCCAAGTATGAAGTCGTTCTTTCAGCCCAATGCTCTTTCAAAGATTGCTGGCGACCATTAATAGTGAGAGTGGTGTAATTGCCATCAGCAACCTCGAATCCAGTCGCAAAAATGATGACGTCCAGCTCGTGCAGCTTCTCATTAGTGCGGATACCTTGCTCAGTGATTTCCGTAATGGGGGTCTCTCGCAGATCAACAATATCCACATGCTTCTTATTAAATGTCTCATAGTAATCGGGCGCAGTAATAGGACGTCTGGCATAGTATCCATCCGGAGACAGCTTTCGAGCCTTCACGGGATCTTCCACGATCTGGGAGATCTTCTTTCGAATAAACTTGCAGGCTTCCTCATTGGCCTCTTCACTAGTTAAGATATCGGAAAAGGCAGAAAACATGAATCGGAATCCGTTGCCTTGCTCCCAAAGGGACTCGAAGACACGCTCGCGCTCTTCCGCGCTGACGCTCATGGCCGGCACGGTACTCTCTTTCACGTTATGCGCAGCCCAGCTGTTCCGGACACCGTTCCAAATCTCGTCGTAATTCTTGTTGATGTTGTCTCTGAATTCAGCAGAGACTGGTCCATCACCGTTGGGAACGACATATTGTGGTGTGCGTTGGAAAGATACGAGCTGCTTCACTTCATCGGCAATTGCAATCGTAATTTGGACTCCTGTTGAGCCGCTGCCAATGACACCGACTCGTTTGCCCTTGAAATCGTAGTTTTCTGGCCAGTTTCTGCAAAATTTGTAAGAACCTCTCCTCAGCCTATCATGCAGAAAAAAGCGTACCCTGTGTGATATTTTTCGCCAGCAAATTTCTCGATTCCAGGAATAGCCGGATAATTGATCTTGGAATAAGTTCCCAAGGCAGTAATCAAGTATCTAGACTGAATAGTCTCTCCAGAAGAGAATCGAGCAGTCCACAGAGATGAATCACTGTCGAATGATGCGGATTCTAATTCGGTGCTGAATTGCATGTACTTTCTCAAGTCATGACGCTTCACCACGTGTTTTAGATAATCCAAAATCTCCTTCTGAGATACATAGTGCTTTGGCCATGGGTATGTCAATAGATCCTCCTTATCCCAGCTATATCTGTAAACTTCACTGAGAGAATCACTATTGGCTCCAGGATACCTGTTCCAGTACCATGTACCGCCAACGTCGGAAGCCTTGTCAATTAATTTCACCGAAAGTCCTATCTCCTGGAGCTTATAGAGCTGGTAGATTCCTGCGAATCCAGCTCCAACGACTAGGGCATCGATTGACTGCATTGTAGATTAAGAATGATTGGGTGAGTTTTGTAGAATGGGTAGATGATTCGATGGTTTGTTTGAGAATTGTGACTGAGAAGTATCCGTTTTATAGTAGAAGTGTATCCACGTAGTATCGTAAGAAAGTGATATTATTAATATTAGCATTTATCAGTATATTTTTAAACACATACCCACGTAGTATTGCAAGAAAGTGATATTATTAATGTTTAGCATTTGTCAGTAGATTTTGAACGAGTATCTATATAGCATCACGAGAATGTGATATCATTATCATTAGCATTTGTCAGTAGATTTTTGAACATACATCCACTCAAACCTTTCTCGGATGGCTAATGGTCTCTCAATTGGAGATATCTACCGGCATATTACACAATATCTCACGCATGTAGAGCCATTTCCATTCTTGGTAATACATCTTGGCCAGAATCCTTCTCCTTTCACCGCGTTGGTGGAATTGGCTATCTGCGGAGCCAACGGCACACGCCGTTTAGGCATTAATCAAATTACTGGATGCATTCGTTTCGGCGTTAGCCAAGAGGATCAGGGATCGGGTGATATCCAGTAATTCCGCATGGTACCCCCATATCCACATAGCTGATTAATCGTAGTCACTGTGCTATTCAACCTGTTATTGGTGCAATAATAGAGAACTGAAGAAGATACACGGGCTAATGAATGTCAGATATGGGTTACAAGATACTACGAGATGAGGATGCATAGTCTAATAGAACAAAAATATCGCAGCACCTCACTAAAATAGTGTTTACTCATGGTACAATGCTTTATAATATCCAAAATGATAACACGTTGATTTTGTTGCCTCATAAGTTATCATTAGAAACAATGGTATATTTATGTAATTTATGCTCATTTCTTGTGTCCTCTCGGGTTCTTCCCAGAGATACCACGAGTCTCGGCCGTGTAGCTCCCCATTTCTTTTTGTTCAATTAAGAAAGGCAATATTATGGCACTTTTGCTTCTCCATTTATCTGAACTAGTACTGGCAACGCCGTATATATCATGTTTGAGTCCAATTTCACCTTAAATTGATTGGAAAGCATAGAGTTAAATGTAACGTATTGAAGTCATTTCATTTGGATTCGATAATTCTTGGAAATATTAGGAGAATTGGCATGAAATGACATTCCGCAGTAAATAGGCATAGTCTAACCCATTTTGGAAAACGATTTGGCACATTTCTTCCCCAAATGGGAAAATCCATATTATTCAATATCTGGCCCAGGCAGCCCACATAACGACCTGGAGTAAGCTGATATTTTGAATAACAGACGGAATCAGTGTTTGTAACCATCGCGGCACTGAAGGAGATCCAAGTAACATAATAGTACTTGAAATATACGTCAACTCATCGTGGCTTAAGATACCAAAGACCACTACGTACCTTGAAAGAACTCTCAAACGAGAATCTGATCTAATTAAGAGCAGACGATGAACATATCCCGACAGATCTGATGAAATCATTATTTTCCCAGAGAGCCTCTGTGCCAGGCACCCTCCTAATCACCGAATCTAATCTCACATCAAAGAAAAACGATGATCTGCGAAATATGCCGGGGCTTTCCACTCGTAAACAAACAGCTGCTTGGAAAACGATTGTCGAAGAAATCCACCTGAGAGCAAGCTTCATCTTTGCACAACTACGCGTTATAAATGGCGAAATGGTTGAAAAGGAGGGAGCCGATATGAGAAGTACCAGCACTCTGGCCTTGGAAACAGGTCTCCATACATCAAAAGATATGACTACTAAATAAATCAAGGATACCGTACAGGATTTTTACAAGCTTCTAAGAATGTAGTCGGCGCGAGTTTTGAAGGTGTGGAACTTCTTGGTGAAAATGGCGACTTTATCGACACTCTATTCAACGGGATACCGATCAAAGTGAAAGCCAATACAGTGGCAGCGTTGAGAGTCGGGCTCGCTTCGTACATGAGGCCATGAAAGCTGTCGCTCATGCAATAAGGATTAAGCACGTTGGGCTTTGCGTGAGCCCAGAGGGCACTTTCTAGGACATACGATTGAGGGAGATTGCCACTCTCTAGTTTACAAATGTTATGAAAAGGGTGGATAGCTTGGGTATCGCGTATATTCACTTGAATGAACTACACTTCGCAGATCAGAATGGTGTTCGGGAAAATGAACGGTTGGGATTTGCGTACAACGCTTTCAGAGGGCCGATCCTTGTAGAAGGTGGTTATACGTCAAAGCTAGCCCAGAAGCTTGTCGATGAACGACATCCTGATAAAGATATTGTGCGTATGTTTGGAAGATATTCCACATCAAATCCAGATCTTGTTTTCAGTATGGATATTGATATAAGTTGACTCTTCAGAATTTCCCCTTCAGACACCATGCTATGTTGTTTTCTGCTAGTGAAAAGGCTCTTTCGAGTTATGAGAATCTTCTCCAAATGACAAGATTGGCGGCAAAAAATCACCCGTTTTTCGATACAGAACTTACATATGTTTGCTCACATGTGCCCCAAGGACTTGTAGTCTGCTACGTTTTCCTACTTCCGAAATAGGAAATAAGATGATCTGTGGTATTTTCCAAGACGGGAAAGACTCTTTGTTAGCTCACGGCGATGCGGGGCTCCCGCGAAGTTCCGAGATGCGCGTATTCTGCCCTTGTTAGCAATTCTACTAACCGCGCTGCCCGGGCGAGGGGGCAAATTGAAGGTAAGATGGAAGCGATTCCGAGCTAGAACCAATGAACTCGGGCACCGCCTGCGAGTAAACTTCCGCTCTTTTGAGGTTCTCAACGGAGATGAGGAGCTAAAATTGGTTCGATAATATCCCAAAGACGGCTCATCAGATCACTGGGACGAAAAATGGTGGATGTGTTTGTAAGGGATAAGTGGTATTCATTAATAAATACAAGAGAAATATGGCAAGATATTGCGAGGTTACACTAGAGCTTTGAAAGAATTATATACGTCATTAATACGTGCGCTAGAAACTTGTGCGCTCTATCTATAGTGTCTATGTGCCATTGCATCACTTTTTGCAGAAGTTCTCCTGGTCAGCCTGCATCCCCTTAAATACCCAATCCGCATGATGCTTCTGGTACTTTGCGGCGCCTTCTGGGTCATCGCTCTTAATGCCCAACACCTTAGGAATGTGGAACCCTTTAGTGATAGCAGATCTTGCACTCAACATCGCTTCCCACTTCTGCAGATTTGGGAAAAGGTCCAGTGGAACGTCCACATAGGGACCAAAGATTACCCAAGACAAGGCCGCAATGTCTGCAATCGAGATGTGGTCTCCGACTAAAAATCCAGACTTGGATTTCGAAAGTTGAACATCAAGGACATTATAGAGCCGCTTTGTTTCAGTGACATATCGGTCAATTCCATACTGAATCTTGGTAGGAGCATAGCGGAGAAAATGAGATGCCTGGCCTTGCATGGGACCAATGCCTAAAGAGCGACAAAATGGTTAGTTGGCCGGCCAGATATTGTAATTGCAAATTAGAGAGAGGGGTGCCAGAGGGGCTCACCTCCATGCTGGAAAAATAGCCAGTTGTTACATTCATAGTACTCTCTGCTGCCTTTGGGAAATGAGAGTTTATGCTCGGGATCATAGCGATCAGTCAGATATTGCAAGATGCTTCCACCTTCAAATACTCTAATTGACTGGCCATCGTCGAATGTGTCTACAATGGCAGGAATGCGGCCATTGGGATTAATTTCCAGATACCACGGTTCTTTTTGGCGAAGAGTACTGATGTCAACATGCTCTAGTTCATAATGCAGTCCGAGCTCTTCTAGTGCCGTGGTGATCTTAATTCCATTGGGGGTTGAGTCTGTGTACAGCTTGATATGTGGTTGGGGTGCCATGTTGGAAGAACTGTGAGGACCTAAGTGGTTGATGTGAAGAAGTGAATGCTTTTGGATCAAACCGCTATTTCGAAAGTTGTTGGAAATAATACGGTATTTAAGGATGAGAGCCTAGCATATATATACCTATCTTAGGCGAGTTTGATGGGATCCAAGAGTGCCAGCAAACAGCTGCTTAGAAATACGCGCAGCAAGTCGTATTGTACGTATGTTATGGTCATTAGTCAATATAAAAGAGCTAACTCATTTCTAATTGCCTGAGATATAATGCGAGAAGTTTAGTACGTTCCATCATTTAACATGCGATGATCTCATAATCGGGACAGCTCATGTTCTTTCAGGCAATTCTTTGCACACACATCCTATTTCGGACAAGAGCACCTGAATTAGTTACAAATCCACACAAGAAGGTATGTATTTCAGGCAAGCAAGCAATAAAGGAGCTGAATAATAGACTACTATTTGGCTAGTGAAGTATATCCTTTATCGCTTCCTTTCTCAATTTATAATTACTGCTGTTGAATTGGCTTTACTGTGGCTTTATTAAGCAGCTACAGCAGAGAAAGTATTTCCACTGGAAGCAAAAGTAACGCACACAACTTAGACGGTAAGTAACATAATAATTAATATCTAAAAGCATCATATATCGTCATCTTATCGGTGATATGATCTTTGCCAATACCCTCGTTAACTGTCTTCATCAGTCTAATAGCGACGACCCTGATTGTGGTCACTAGTGAATTAGTTCTAGCGCCTCAGTTTGGATTTAAATACTCGCCTTTCCTACTGAAAAAGCTTCCAGCTGAGGTGGTACCCTTCTGGTAAATGACTTTGTCCCATAAACATGCATGATTCTGAGTATTAAGGCATCATTGCATTTGGATGATAGGATACTTAATCCGTGAGGGCGCCCGCTTGGAAGCAGATAACCCAAAGGCATCGTGCCAATAGGATACCCTATGTGAAGTTTTAGTATAGCTTTTCCAAAAGACATGCCTTTGTATCTCCATACCTGAAAAGGATGCAGTTTTATGGAAATCACTCTCGGTCGGTGCTATGATAACATCGATGCCGTATTCCTCCAGTACGCGATCTATGCCATCGGGTCCGGCAGCCTGGCGGACATCCTTGACGGCATCGTCTACTACAGAAGCCGGAATGTCGCACTTCAATGCATTAATCAAGGAGTTTTGATTCGGGCAAACTAACTAACATGTTAGACTTCGCACTATACCAAATGACTGGATGGGACTTACGACCTTCAGAAAATTCCAGGTCAGGATGCTTTTCGCTGAACTCCACGATATCTTCGAGCGAATGGACTTCTGTCTCGGCTAGATCACGTAGATAATCGTCAGCGAGGCGCTTCCATCCGCCATCTTCATTGGGATTGGCATTAATTTTACGGCGTGATCTTCCTGATTCGACTGAGACTTACATCGAATTACATTGTAGCTGCTTTGGCCTTGGAAAGTATACTCCGAAGGTTTTTTTATCTCAATAGGAAAAACAATTTTTGCTCCTAGGAGGCTTAACTCGCTCATAGCGTAATTCCAATGGTCTCGCTGCAGGTGGTTGGCTTCTCTGGTCCTTGTCAAGGGCGTGGGTAGATATACTCGCTGCTGCAGGTACAAATCGTCCGGTTTGAGACATTCTGGCGAATACAGCCAATCACTGACGTCGACAAATCCTATACGAACGCCATTAAGAGAGTCTGAAAAAATTGCTGTTAAACTCTTTCCAGCCAATGGACTGTCAGGTACAGTCAGAAAAAGGATCTCGGTCAGTGCTGCAAGATCTTGGGCTGTTTTGGCCATTCCACCGAGGCTGTCAAAAGCATTTGTCAATTTAAAGACACCATCACCCGAAACCATATCTATTGTCGGCTTCAAAGCATACAAAGATGCTCGAGCCGCTGGAGTTTGGAGAGATCCATCTGTTTCCGCCCCAATCGACCAAGGGGTAAAACCGGCTGCGACGGAGACTGCGGAACCGCTAGATAAGCCTCCTGGTTTCTATCAAAACGTAATTGGTGAGTAATAGCAAGAATATACTAGACAATGAATACTGACACTATGTCAGAGCGAAGTTTCACCGGATATGACTCCCCCAACGATGTAAGGAGATTGGGTCTGGCCGCCAATTGGGGACCAAACTGTGGGACATGGTCCCCTGCATCCAACAGGTTAGACATTTTGATAAAGTATTTTATGAAATGGTGACAGGTGTTTAATTATTGGTTCAGAATTCCTATGACATCAATTAGATATATTAGAGCTTGCCGTGCGAGAATTGACTACTCACCGATAGATTTGCTTTTTGCCAGAACGATGATTCCATGTTTAAGAAGCTACAAAATGTATCAGTTACTCAAATACGTATATGGTAAGTTGAAATCCATATGACACGTCAAGGCACTAATATGTGTAGTGACATGGCGCTATGTTGGGCCCTTTGGTGAATAGGCATTGCAACACTTGTGACCTCCAGTTAAACTGGAGTAGAAGAATCCATATAGCGCTCTGAAACAATGGGTTTGAACTCGTTTCGCCTTACCACGTCAACTACCAATGCGTTTCTTGCTGGCCTAGCCTTTGCCATGGCGTATGATCCTAGCGTAGTCCTCATCCCAAGCGATGGGTCGGTATTTATCGTATCCTTCACATGTGTAAAATGTTCAACTCCATTCAATTAACAACACGAGAGAACTAAGGGTTGGTAATACCTTAATAACGATGGGAATTCCATGATAGTCTCCGCGGAGATTGCCAGCTGCTCTCTCGGCATCCAACGTGTCTGCAAGTCCCAGGAGCACCTCTTCAGGAGCGACGTCAATGAGCGCATTGAGCACCATTCCCTGCGCGTTATGTCGCTTTATTTGACGCAAGTAAGCCTGGCAAATAGCTCGAGAAGTGATGAGCGCTTTGTCAAGCATGTTTTTGAGGTCCGTCACAGTTATCTTCAGAACATCAATATCTCCTAGAGCTCTAATTGAGGGGTCCAAAGGCATATCGCTGCCAACATATCCCGGAGGTTTAGGCAGATGCACATCTCTATTCGCACGCAGCTTGTGTGGTGACTGGCTTGCCTCTGTCTTGGTGCGAGTTAATCCCAGCCATTGAAACCAGCGCGAGATGATTTGAAGCTTGTGGTTGGCCATTTTGGTCTACTCTGTATAGATGGAAGTACTAAGGCTGCAGTTCTTATGTCTCCTGGAAGAAATGTAGTCGAAGTATCTTTTGCTGCAAATTCTTTCGCAGTGGTCGTAGCTAGCTACCGAACAAAACAGACCCAACTCCGACTTCTGCCAAGTCAATTACATACGTAAGCCCAGATATGGTCAACTAATCATTGCATTAATTTGTTGGATGATACGTAGTCCACGTATGGAAACTGCCTATGTTATGGGCAAGCCTGCAGAGCTACGAGCGCATTGTGGCCTAATCTCAGGTTCTTGCATGCCTGACACAAACAAACAACCTGAAGATCGAGCACAGCCCACTAACCTCGCAACATAATTATGGATCTGAGAATACCTTTAAACTGTATGCATTTACGTACCTGTTCAAAGTCCATGAGTGTATTTCTTGTAACGTACGCCCAGAGCGTAGGGCCACCGCACTACGTAAAAATTGAACAACTCCTTTCTGTTTGGGGTCATCTCAGAACCAACTTAGAATTAATGCCAACAAAACCGAGATACTGAATCACAGGCTACATGATGGTGTGATGATCAGTCGAAATCGTAGTATATATATTGCCATCTAGCTTGATGATGTGCCCCCCACCATTACACAACTTGCAATCAACGAATTATGGCACAAACAAGCGAATCAAGAAAGGCTTCCGTGATCCCGTTTGACTCATCTTGCTTTGGCCTGAGTGTCCGTACAACTTCCCGAACTTTATTCTCTAACCCGCGTATCTCATCTTCACTGGTATCATCCGTTAATTTTAGAGCTTCACCTAGCATGAAGCAAATTCGCCCTATTTGAGGACTCTGTGGGTCAGTTTGCTCAAGTATCTGAAGTGCCTCTCGAAATTGTTGACTGAGGGGGCCGTCAGTATCCATACTTGCATTATTGACCACTGGGGAGGGGGCTCACATCGCATCCTTCATATTTTTTTCCGCAAACGCAACGCGTCCCAGCTTGTAGAGACAAGCTACAGCTTCTGGGTGATATTTGACTTTACCAATTTCTTCGTACTGCTTGAGAGCATGCGAAAACTTCTCATGGCCAGATTGAAAGTCTTCCTTGGCAAAGTAGTAATTCCCCCAAACAATCGATAGACTGATAGCAAAACTTAGTAGATCTTCAGCAGGCTTTATATTTGTACCAACACTTACTGTCCGATAAGTAACCAGCTCTCAATATTTTTGAAGTATTCCAGTAGTCCAGGAAATAATATTTGTGCTTCCTCGAGTTTATTCGTCGCTACCAGAATCCTCGCTAATGTCAAAAGTCTCTTTTTAATTTTTGTCTCCCGAGACTTCGATTCTGCGTGCTTCAAGCAGACTTCTAGGGATTGTTCTCTGTATTCAAGCGCCTTATCGAATTGCATGTTGCTTTCGTATGCCAAACTCAAGTTATTAAGAACGCCTGAAATTTCTTCGTCATCTTCGGGAAGTTTCGACATCCGTATTTCCCTGACCTTGTGGAGTTTTTCAATCTGTGAGTCAAAGGAACACCGGATTCCATCTAGAATAGCACTGGTGTTTAACATATGGGCATATATGACTTCGACTTCAACTAATTTAAGAATTCTTGATCTCTCACACGCGTCAATGCCACCGACTAATATTTCTTGTGCCTTTGAATAGAGCCCTTTCTCGAATAGAAACCTAATCTTGTCAGTCATATCTGATATCTAGTGCCAGCTCTAGCGGCTAGACTATGGCTAGTGGAACGTACCATGCACAGTTGCTAAGAAGCCTGATATAGTTTAAAGATGGCTTGAGCCGGCAAAACGTGGAGGTATCAACATAATGTCTGTTTAGCGTGACGATGTGATCAACTAAGGGCTCCGCTTGCTCCCAATTTTCGTGCATGTACTGGCCTTTGTCCTGTTTAGGAAATGCCTGATGCAAACAAAATGTTACTTGATCAAAAGCAAGCTGTCGTTGGCTGTTACTTAGAAAGTGTTGAAACTCTTTTTGAACGAGTCTGTGAAGCGAGAGACTTTGTCTTTCAGGATCCCTTTCTATCAAGGCCCACTCCAGCAGGGGAGCTTCCGCTAACCGCAACCTAAATTTCAGGCATCAGTAAACAAGAGTGAGAAACTGGGGAACGTTTGTTGACACACTCAATATCGTATGGCCAAAACAACGTATCAGATAGGCGTTCGGATTTTGCGATTTCTGGTGCAAGTAGTGCCTCAGGAACTTCCTCCGCAGTCAGATAGGATAGCATTCCAAGTAAAGCTATTGCTCTGGGTGTCTCAGAGAGCTTCTCAAACGGAATGCCCCATACTTTTTGCATGTCTTTGAGATAACCCCCACATTCTCCAATAAGTAACGTATCTCTTGATTTCTCCCAAGTAAGTTCAACCAGTCTAGCACATTGTTCAATGGGAAGTTTGCATGAGCGAATAAAGGTAGCCACGCGTACAATGGCAAGTGGATGGCCTCCAAGGAACTGGTTGAGCTTTGCGGCGGAGATATTATTCAATTCGACCGTCTTGTCAAGAGAGATATGATCAAGCAAACAACCTATTGCCTCTGTTTCGGGAAATACTGGCACCCTTATTGCATAAGGCACATAGTTGAAGCCGTGATGTCGAAAAACAGATGTGTAAATGATAGACCCAGATCCTTCATAAGGCAAGAAATCGTGGGGAAGTAATACATCATATACGTTATCAAATATAAGGAGCCATGGTGTATCTGTAATATCATATCTCAGTATTTTACATTGTATACATGAAAGGTGGATTTGTGACAAGAAGAGGTAGGGGCACATTTTACCGGACTGCCCTAATTTTTTTCGCACAGCTGTTTTATTTTGGAAGCTATCCGTTTGCAACACGTCGCATAGTTTCAACCTTGCTGCTGCTTCACGAATACTTTGGTTGGCAGAACGTTCTGTTTCGGACGAGATCCAGAGTATGATTCCATATTGCTTTCGGTATCGGTGTGCGTACTCGAGGGCAATTTGGGATTTTCCATTCCCACCCATGCCATAGAGAGCCAGTATATTAGTCTCATCGGGCTCTCGTCTTTTTCGAAACCACCTTTCAATCTTTTGCAATATGCGTTCACGACCGACGAATTTGGTGTTTTGAGGCGGTAACATGATGACGGGGTCGAAATCTGAAGAGTCAGAAGACGTGTCGCTGTAAAGGGAGCTCGTCTCGGGCGGATACATATCCATATTTTCGTCTTTTAATGGTTTGTGTGGTGGAATTATCTCTTTCTCTCTGCAGCATAATCCAGGAGATTGAAGGTATCCTGACATGGTTCCAGGTTTCAAGTTACTCATATTCGTCTCCTCTGTGCTAAGAGAATCAATATTTGTCGGGAGATAGTTATCTATAGATGAAAAACGTCGGAATTGATGCTGAAGCTCAGCTATATATAGCCTCGCTCATGGATAACGAGGCGGTTGCTGTGGCATGCTGCTAAGTACAATGGCGTTGGCTTGCATCAACCATCTTTGACATGGGGGGGTGGCGATGCCAATATTGTACTCGTACGCTTTGAGTTTCTTTGATCCAGTCATCGAGCGCCCCTTGGTCTTATTGCCAACAAACTCATTAGACCAACAAATCTACCGCACGGACTTCAAGCTTACCCCCGCCGCATTCGATTTGGAATCTCCTCTTCCAGAGAGTCCTTTGTTCCAAAAAGTAACATTGCCACCAGTTACCGAAATACAACTTGACTTCGGTCCATAGGTACTAGTCACAGGTATATTTCTGCTGCAGCAGAATGCATATCGGCGCTTAAGGCTCTCCGCTAATAGAGGTACCACGGTATGTATGGGGAGGTACCTAGATTTGTAGCATTTTTAGCATCGTTGGGCTGGATGTTACGGAGCATTCCATTGCTATTGCTATGGGGTGCAATGTGGAGTGCCAGGAGCAACTACGCCTGGGTCTCAAAAATCACTTGTGAAGTGTCTTAATTTATCCCTCATAAAATCATGCAAGATGGCTACATTTTTGAAACTCAAAGCATTAAAACTGCGAACGGCAAGTAATACAGTGATTACTCGGGCACACGCCGCATACAAAGCAAATGAACTTTGGGTTCCTTTGATATGGAGTCATATGATGTTGCTGCCTAACGGCGAGCAAATGCCTAAGCGACGCAGGATTGAATATAGTCAAAGAAGTTTTATCAATGGAATTCATATGCATGTCCATTGCCAGTAGCTGAGCCGTGCATAACCCACCTCGATTAGTTGCCCCATCTCAAAACATGATTCAAATGTGTCACAGCCAGTGACCAATCCCTTTGACATCTTTGATAACTCTTCATTCAAACAGAAAAAATGGTGCTACAAAATCCAACTGTCCTCATTACGGGAGCAAACCGTGGTATTGGGTTACATCTTTGCAAAGAGTTCATTGTCAAAGGATATACCGTCTTCGGATCGGTGCGCCCGGCGAGTCGTGATGATGCAAGTGTAGAAGAGGTAATGTTCATCCTGCTGGTTTGATTGCATGAATGCTGATCAGGCTATGCAGTTGAAAAATACCGGAGCGAGCATCATTGAGTTAGATGTCACGGATGAAGACAGTATTGCTGCTGCCTTTGACTCCTGGGGTGATAAAACTCTAGACATCTTGATCAACAACGCCGGTAACTTTCCCACAACAAAATATTACTGGCAAACCTGGAGCCAGCTAAGTCTTTAACTAGGAGCTCCTCCGCCTCCCAGAATGTGGAATGAGGTCACATCTGAGGCTTTGATCGACAAATTTCGTGTCAATACCGTGGTAAGTAGTAAATCATCGGTTACGGCAATGTTTAAACAGCCGCCGCTCACAATTTTCGTCGCCAGGGGCCTTTCTTAGTCTCTAAGGCCTTCATGCCAGCTCTTCAAATGAGTACAAACCCGAAAATTGTCAACATAGCCTCAAATTCAGGCCAGATTGCTGGTAAGTAATAACACGATTAGAATGCTCATGCAATGAGAGATTCTAAGGCGTCGAGTTATATCATGACAAACTACTTCCAACTACACATTGTGAACGGGGGCTTAGATAGCTAACTCGCATTCTAGCAAAGACTGACGGAAAGTATATGGCGTACAGTGTCTCCAAAACCGCTCTCAACCAAGTCACCAAGTCTCTGGGTATGCAGATGGAGATGATTGGGAGCAAAGTCTTAGTTGTTGGTATTCACCCTGGGTATATTCCAACAAGACTCACCAAACATGTTGGGCCAGATAAGATGGAGGTGCAAATTCCCAAGATTGTTAACACAATCAGAAGTTTAGACTCCTCACAGAATGGTGGATTCATGGACGCCGAAGGAAATCCTATGGAGTATTGATTCACTAGGAAATGGAGCTGGAAGCAAGGTATAAGGTATCATAGGGTAGTTGCGAATCGCAGCTGCATATCCCCTGGACGATCAAGGCTTACTTTGCTTGATCATCCCAGTGAATTTGATCATTCTATTTGTACCAGCCAGAATTTGACCAAATGCCCCTTCTCTACCTCAATCTAACTTTTTAGCCATTTAATGACTAGTCATACAAAGATTCAGCCGCCACTCTCCTCGTTTTGAAGAGAGAGTAGATTATTATTGATACGAGCGCATATTTATTACCCAATGTAACACAACTCAAGACTGATTAAGAACCAGTGAGTAACGGAGGGGTGTGAGTAACAGAAGAGTGAAGTGTTGAAACTCCACCTAGAGAGGAATTTATTTTCTTTGTATTTGGGTGAGAAAGACGACCATTATTACTCCGATGTCTCGTATTATACCTTCATCAATAACCTTGGTGTTAGTATGGTGCAGTTCTGGGAACTACTTTGGAAAAGATAGGCACACAAAGGGCTCTATACAGTTGATCTAGGCGTCCGCGTTCACCGTCAAATCTACCCAGGTAAAGTACTCCATATATCTTCAGCCCCTCCAGCCTTCCACAAGCGGATTCTCCTTGTGACCATCTACCCCCGGCCGCGCCCTGTAAACTAAGCGAGAGCAGGCTTTTTGAGGGGAAACATTATCTAGATGGAGCAAACTCGTCCGGATAGCTACGGAACGTACTGCTGCGATAGTTTTCCGCACGCACCGGGGCGGCCGAAAAACTTCGACGGTGACTTCAAATAAGAAGAGGTGTCAATATCCTAGATATATTAGCAGAGAGAGCGCATAATTTAGGTAGTGAGTGAGTGACTCTATCATCACCTTGACTGTATGTAAGAAAAGAGTGGCTCTAATCAAGATGCATAAATTGCAGTGATGCTGGAAGTGAAAATACCCACTATCTCAGGTCAAGAAACCCACTAGCTACGACTCTAAATTATGGATGTCTTATGGCCCACTGAAATATCCGCACTGTTACCCTTTGCCCAATAGACTGCTGCATGCTTTCATTGCATTTCTTAATCATCTCTCACGCCATACCGCAAAGCTGATATTTTTCATTCCTTGACCTTAATGAGATCCTTGGATAAATAAAAAGCTTAGACACGTCGGACAAGTCCAGATTTAACATCGTAAAGATAGCCGCTCGCATGCTCCCTCAACTCACGGCGAATAATTCTCGATGCCTTCAGTAAACTGACATCGTCACGAACGCTTTGTTCCAGACTGTGGCTATTAGGTGACTATTTCCGACCAATGTTTGATAGGAGAGCTCACTCTGTAATGACCGGAAACACCAACTGATTTACATCCTCGACAGAAACCCCATCTTCCTTCAAGACGTGGTCATGAATCTGTTTCTTATCCATATAAGTAGCTCCGCAATCTGGGTTATATAACGAGTTGAAAGATATTTAGTTCGCGCTCAATATAAATTCTGGGTTTCTGCGTACCTGTATGGTGGATCACCATGATCTCTTTGAGGCTACCGAGAAAGCAGTCTAAGGAGGTAACTTGGGTGATTATGGGAGCCACTCTACCACCCCCGACTCGGAACACGGCAGCATCTATGAGTATGTTAGCGATCAAGTACATAATAGAGTCCCAGAAATCCATTGTACCTCCTGGTAAAAGACGCAAGAACTCTTCAGGGTTGCATCTTGGGTCAAGACAAGTTACTTGAGATCATGTGAGTAACGTGGCCGTGATTACATTACATATCATGAATCTTACTTATCAGTATTGAAGGTCGTTTCTGACCTAAATTTTCAGAGAAGAATTGGTACGGCCTGTGGGTCACGGCAAAATCTCTGTAGCCAAGGGTTGAGCAGATTTTCACGATGAAAATATAGGATCCTCATACCTATTTCGCTCAAGGATTTCGTCAATCAGAGAGTCGGCCATTGTTTAATATGAATAAGATAGAATGGAATATTTTGTTTTAACTTGATTGCCAATGTAGTTGTATATCCTCATATGTTATTAGACATCTAGGTATGTAGTCAACCTTTATATATTCCGACTTTGTTGCTTCGGACTACCCCTAAAGAAGGGGTATCTCTAGTCACTCCATAGAGTTTTTAGCGCGGGTATCAATTGGATTGCCGGATTCTTACATTCACTGCTTTGTGTGTTTACTAAACGTATAATCGAAGCATCAACGGTTCAGAGCTGATGTGGCGCCGGCAATCAACGTGCAATATTACTTGCGACTTACATTGGGCTTCATTGTCGTAGGTGGGGTTTAACCAAAACAGGAAACCGGTGCCCTGGCAGATCTATGAAGCTTCTATCCACAGGCATGGAAATCAAAGAACTGGAATCATTCGTAAAACATGTATATGGCTCAGGAGAGGGTCAGATTCTTTTATTTCGTTGATTTTTTTATTTTCCCCTTTTCCATAAACGAAAAGGTTGGCTTCCTATTACCTACGAGCCCATCTACCTGTGTAAGAGCATCAACTCTTTAAGGCGGACGTGTTTGAGAAAAGGATAGAGTAAATACAATACATGAAAATAAGCGCAGTGAAAATTCCAAGAAGCTTTGAATGAGAAAAAGTATCGAATAGCAATTGCAAATTATTTCAGTCTTAAAGTTTGGATTCTTGGGATTACTTGTCTCCATCCCGCGCCAGTCTAGAAGAAGAAGAGTATGCGAACATGGCTGAGGCAAGAACGATTTTCTGGGAGAAGAAGGACAGCGTTCCGTTCATATATTTCCAATCTCATGTATTCGACATTTGGTGTTGTCCGTGAATGTATTGTGCAACGCACACGTTCGGTAACTTCCGAAACATGAATTCCCCTTCGTCAAATACACCGCACTACTTCGTACTAATTATTCATGATTCCTGTACATTCGCATCACCATCTCTTTATGGGTTTATGGTCCCCTGGTACGCTGCAATTTGGATACCCCAGTGTAGGATCAAATAGCCTATTCACAACGTGCAGCAGAGGATCATTTGGAATCTTTTTTCCTAGGAGGTAGCAGTTGGTACTTCTATATATCAAGAGCAGCAGACGTCAAAAAGGTGAAGGCATATACTACTTCAGTTTAAATCACCAGATAGAAAACAATCATGTCAGACAAGCCAAAGATCCTCATCGCGGGTGCCGCAGGCCGTACCGGTAGCATTGCTACCAGGATGCTTCTTGAAAGAAGGTATCCTGTTCGTGCCATGGTCCGCAAGGAGGACGAGCGTTCCCGCAAACTCGCAGACTTGGGCGCTGAGATCTTCGTCGGTGACTACCTCGATCTCCGCTCTGTGCGACGTGCATTTGAAGGAGTAAAACGCGCCTACTTTGTTTACCCCATGCAACCCGGCCTCGTGGAAGCGACAGCAAACTACTCCATGGCAGCTATAGAAGCCAAGGCTGAGTTTATCCTCAACATCTCGCAGCGGACATCGCGCCCAGATGCTACCAGTGATTCAGCGATGCATCACTGGCTTGCGGAACGGGTTTTTGACTGGGCACCCATTCCAGTGACTCATCTTCAGCCAACGGCCTTCAATGAGTGGTTGACCGTTATGCAAAAGCTCATTCTTCAAGGCCGTTATGCGGTTCCATTTGGTCCGAAAGGCCGCTTTGCCCCGATCTCGTGCGAGGACCAAGGAGCTGTTATCACGGAGATTCTAGCCGACCCCTGGTCTCATGTGGGACAGACTTATCGACTCCTCGGACCCGTAGAGCTGACACCTCCAGAGATCGCCGAGATTGTTAGCAAGACTCTTGGCAAAGAGATTCGCTACGAGCAAATCACCGGGGAGCAATGGGTCCGAGAAGTGACGGGCCAGGACATACCGTACTTGTCTCAGCATGTCCAGGGTATTGTCCCGATGCATGAAAAGGGGCTTATGGATGGGACAAACGACGTCGTGGAGAGGATTACTGGACGCCGTCCGGAGACAGTGGAGGACTTTGTCAAGAGATATCGCGAAGTCTTCGGAGGATAAATGTACCCGGGAAACCCGAATATGCTTGATATGTTGCCACTGGCTTTTGTACTGAAAACTTCTACATGCTTTGGTGTATATGTATCTTCCTCTATGAAGACTTTTATGGATGCATCAGAAACTGTACATTTCGTTGTATAGATAGCAGTACCTAGACATGAGATAGCTAGAGATGTATACTCATGTATCACCAAGTAGCAGCATTATCTTATAGTATACAGTAAATAATACGTGTTGATCAGTGTCTTTCACACGCAATACACTACCAGCTCTACTGGCTCTCCAATTGTTTCGACATCGCATCCCCCAAACTCAAGGTCTATATGCTAATAATAAGTTGAATGATTTGAAGCCAAGGCATTCCGTACAGAACTACGGTAAGATATGCATTTATTTTATTTGCCCATGTACATGTGGTTGAAGTGAAGTTGCAACGATGTTAATGAGGGGCGGTATTCGGAATCCCGAACATGAAGGCGAGACGAGATACATCGTTAAATGCCGGCCACCGGTGATTCTTACCTAACAATAGACACGCTGGACACAATCAACGGCCACATGTGACGCTAAGAGAAAGCTTTGTCGTCAAATGTATACATGTTTGCTCAAACTTGTAGCATTTTCAAGCTTTCACCGTGCGCCAGCTAGTCTTATATAAGTTAAGTTTATTCCATTCGTAGGCATCAAACAAGCATATCCGACGTGGTGTAGTGGCTAGCATACCGCGCTTTCACTAGAAAGTCCCGCGGCGATCCGGGTTCGACTCCCGGCGCCGGAATTGAATTTCTTTTTTGCTCGTTCTTTAAGCCTTTTCCTTTTACTTTCTCGTCTTTTTCTTTTTCCTTTTTCTTTTTTTTCCCCTCGGTGTGGGATGTGATCGTCTAGTATGCAGTTTGTTCGTTCAAGAACTGATTGGCATCATTTCAAGGACGAGCCGGTGTGGTGACTTGGGGCGTTATACAGAGCATGTAGATGCTCTGGCCTGATACATTTTACGTATGTAATTGATTCAATACCCTTGAATACCACTGCTTTGCGCAGTGTGATAAACACGGCCGTAAATAGACGCACGAATGAACGATGCCTCGGAGGAAAACTCCCGAGGGGACATGCAAGGAGCATGCCGTATTTGGTGGGTGTCGAGTGGGCGTCGTGTAAAAGCCTCGACACCCACTGGCTTTGAGGTGGGTATTGATGCACGTATCTACTCATGAGTAAAGACACCAAAGTGCTGGGCATTAACACGTACACCAAATGTATAAAGAGGAAGCGCCCCGCAGTGCCAAGTTGAAACCTGGCATCTGCATATCTACAGGTGCTTTGCATGTAACGCTGTGATGAAAGAACATGGCCGCCTCGTCACCGCGATCTCCAGACACCGCCAATCTCCATGGAAGCTACTCATGGAGAGAAAACAACACATCATTTTTATTCACCACCACTGCAGGTTTGCGGTCCGCGTGCCGCGTCAGAAGCGGGAGGCCCGCCGTGATGATGCCGCCGCAACCGTCAGATTCTCGACAACAGGAGTAGCACAACATGAATAGCTGTCATGGCCTGACGCACCGTGAGGTGGCGTGAAGCGCAGATGCAACCGACGGCCGCATGTTGATTTTTAGGACTCAGGCCCTTCTTGGTCTAGATGCCGTTGAAGGTGAGGCTGAGTGTCTGGATCGCCGTCAACGGAGCTGGTTGCGGATGCTACAGAATGCTGCAGAATGCTGCAGGCCGATGATGCGAGCCAGGCAGAAAAGAGGCGCCCTGTCTCTCGCTCTCTGGGAGCGAATCAGCCTCGACCTGTGCTGGCGGTAGCGGGAATGATGCGCGGTGACTCCCTGGGAGGCGGCCAAGTGAATGAGGCCCATGTCGGGAGGCCGACATGAGCAAGGGTGGGAGGAAAAGGATTCTGTTGGCTGCTGCTATCCGTCTGATGATGGAGTGGGTGTGTACAGTAGCAGCGAGGACGGGCATCTAGCTGCAGACATATAATAGATGCGACACGCGAGATCCTGCAGGCTTTACACCAACGTATTACTCACGTACTCCCAGTTGCATCTCAACGGTCGATTGCCATTCATAGCTATCCATCTAGCTCTGTGTGTGTCTATATATGTAGGCATACTGTACACACATATATATAACCACAGCCAGCAGTTGCTTTTTGGATCTCGGCAGAACGGCAGATTCTGTGCAAGGCAATAAACGAAGTACAAGTACTCGTACTACACACGCACAGTGCCGTGATCCTCGCGGTTCCCACAACAGCACAACCAACAGAGAGTTGCAGGTATGCGATATCTTGCATTAGGAGCCGTCAGAGCCCAGGCTGACTAGACAACTAGAGCTGCTCGGTATTAACCCCCGCAGAATCCGATAAGCGCCGGGCTGTCAAAAAGCCCAGTGGGGAGCTGCCAGACTGGCGTCATTCCTCGCCCCCAAACCTCACACTTCAACCCTTCAGCTCTTGCTTAAATCCCTTCCAAACTCACGGCGAAAGAGCTGCCGCGCAGTTCACGCAGCTTCTACCAGCTGTTACGCCTAACGACCTTCCGCATTGGCCGGCTGCTGTTCCCCATTGATTAGTTTTTGGCACGCCCCTCTTGCCTTTCAGAGATACTTCTAGCACGGCCTATTTATCCGCATTTCCTCTTCTTTGTTTGTTTCTTCTCACACAACCCACCTTTTGCTCAACCCACAACATTGCTTTTTGCTGGAATCTCTATACCCTTGCTTCAGACTATCACATTCTTGGGAGTAGCTTTATTTCTACGATAGCGCTTTTGCTTTTGCTTCATCTTTATCATCAGCCTCTTATACCCATCTTTGATTCATATCTGGCGTCCTTCAAACTGCCCCACGCTCTCTCATGGCTGATAGAGGCAACCGTGGGAATCGCGGTGGTGACCGTGGTTGGGGTGGTGATCGAGGAAGGGGAGGTGATCGGGGCGGCCGTGGCGGTGATCGGGGCCGGGGTCGAGGCGGTGGTGACCGAGGTGGTAGCAGTGATCGGGGCGGTGGCCGCGGACGAGGAGGCTATGATCGCGGAGACTATGGTGGCAGCCGTGGTAGAGGAGGAGATCGTGGTGACTACGGTGGAGGTCGTGGTAGAGGGGGAGATCGTGGAGACTACGGCGGCCGTGGCAGAGGGGGAGATCGCGGTGGCTATCATGGTAGCTTCAGCGGCGTCCGAAGAGGCGGCGGAGGCGGCGACCGAGGTCGGGGTGGACGACGCCAGGCCTCTCCTGGCATTTCCAGGGCTTTCGGGTAAGTCTTCGTCTCAGCATCAATATCAGCTTCTGTCTAACCTGTCTATTAGTTACGGTGATGTGATTCCAATTCCCGATGCAGAAGTCGCTCAACTCGAAACACAGATTGTCGCACGACAATCCGCCTCCCTTGCTTCCCTTACCTCTCAGATGGGCAGCATGAGCGTCAAAGGGAAAAAGAGAGGCGGCGGCAATGTTGGCGGCAAGCCCGCGCCCCCAATGAACGAACATCTCCCCGCCAGACCAGCTTTTGGCTCACAAGGCAGACGTGTCATTCTTTGGGCAAATTATTTCAAAGTCAATGTCACCCGTGATGTCTTCTTCAAGTATACACTGGAGGTTAAACAGAAGGTCAACAAGCCGGCAGCCCCAAAGAAGGCGTCCAAACGAGGTGGCAAAGCTTCCTCAAAGCCAACTCGCGAAACAGAGGGGCCTGAGGAAGGCGAGCAGACCAGAGATGTCCGGGGGAGGGACCTGTTCCTCGTTATCAAGGCAACACTTGCAAAGCTCTTGGAGCAAGACAAGAGTTTTGTTGCTGCCTCGGAGTTCAAGAGCCAGCTCATCACGCTCAAGGAAATCAACTTGGTTGAGAACCCCATGATCATCCAGATGGCCAAAAGTGAGGGCGACGAATTCATGGAAACGTATTCTGTTCAGTTTCATGGCCCCCATGAGATTGATGTTGGCAGCATGAAGTCGTATTTGACGTCCTTGGCTGATGAGCCGGTTGCCAATGGAGAGGTCGCCTTCCCACGCTTCCCCGAAGCCGTCGATGCGCTCAATACCATTTTGGGCCACAAGCCAAGGAGCGATTTTGACAAAACCGCTACCATTGGGTCACACCGTTTCTTCCCCTTTGGTGATGACAAGGTTATCGAGAGGCTCACCCATAATTGGCGTGCTCTGACGGCAGCCCGCGGGTACTTTCAATCCACCCGTCTAGGAACGGGCCGCATCCTGCTAAACGTCAACGTGACCCACGGTGTCTTCAGGATCTCGGGCCCCATGACGACTCTATTCGACAATCTAGGCTTGAGGGCCGTTCCACGGAGGGACTATCAAGCCACGAAGAAGCTCAAGGCCTTTGCTAAATTCTTGCCCAAGGCGCGCGCCTGGAGAACTATGATCATCGATGGCAAACGTATTCGTCGATCCAAGGCTATACTAAGCCTGGCATCTTCAGACGGCTCCCGCAAATCACATAGGATGGCCAATCCGCCAAGGTTCGACCGTGATTGGGAATTTGCGGGACCAAAGAATGTCCAGTTTTGGAGGGATGGCGATAAAGGTGGTCGCTACATCACAGTCTTTGACCACTACCTCGAGTGTAAGCATTCCCTCCCCTTCTCCTACCTGCTTTCGACGTTCGTTTGTTTTCAAAAGTTAGAGCTAACATGAGTCAAAGCATATGGCATTACATTGGCGGATTATCCGTTGCTCGACATGGGTTCTGACCAAAAGCCAACATACATTCCGGCCGAGCTGGTGGAGATCCAGCCAGGACAGGCAATCAGAGCCACTCTAACCATGGAAGAGACAACGGCAATGCTGGAATTTGCATGCCGGTCGCCATATTCCAATGCCCTGTCGATTAGCGCAGCCAGCCGTCAAGCTCTCGATCTTGACGACGACGACTCACTAGGCAGATTTGGCCTCTCTGTCGACAAGAGGATGCTGACTGTAGATGGAAGAATCCTTAACGCGCCAGTTGTGAGCTATATTTCTAACGGCAAAAGAGCCGATGTGGCTCCGTCAAAGGGCTCGTGGAACATGAGATCAGTCAAAGTCGTCAAGCCAGGCAAGAAGTTTGAGCGCTGGTCCTGGGTCAATCTCATGGCAAGTCATCAGACCAGGAAAATGGTCGACAAATCGGTGGTGCTAAGTTTCGGAGAGTGGCTGGTCGCCATGGGCATTGCCATCAACAAAACCCCAATTGATCCGATCAATCCTGTGGTCGATCCCGAACAAATCGTAAGTTTCTTTGAGTGGTTGAAGAAGAATGACATCCAGCTCTGCGTCATGGTTCTGCCCGAAAAGGATTCTACCGGCCTATATAGCAAGATCAAGACACTGGGCGACTGTACGTACGGAATCCATACGAGCTGCTTGGTGTCTGCACAGTTTTCAAAAGCAAACCCAGCCTATTTTGCCAACGTTGGGCTCAAGATCAATCTGAAAGCTGGCGGTACCAACCACAAGCTGCGAGACGACTTTGGCATTCTGAGTGATGGCAAAGCCATGATTGTGGGCTACGACGTAACTCACCCTACGAACATGGCCCAGCAGAAGAAGGGCTACGAGGCCCCCAGTCTGGCAGGGTTTGTATCCAGCATCGATAAAGACCTCGCCCAGTGGCCTGCCATAGCGTGGGAGCAACCTCCAAAGCAAGAAATGCTTAGCGATAAGCTACTGGATGCATTCATGACACGGCTGGGTACCTGGAGCAGACACAGTGGGAACCGTTACCCTGAAAACATTGTCATCTACCGAGATGGCGTCTCTGAGGGTCAATTTTCTCAGGTGCTCGACAAGGAGCTCCCGATTATCAGAGAAGCCTGTCTGAAGAAGTATCCCGCCAATCAGCCTCAGCCAAAGCTCACAATTTTGGTCGCGGTGAAGCGGCACCAGACTCGTTTTTACCCTACTTCAGCAGACGACATGTCCAAGTCCGGCAACACCATCAATGGAACGGTTGTGGATCGAGGCGTGACCCAGGCTAGGTACTGGGACTTCTTCATGACGGCCCATGAGGCGCTCCAGGGCACCGCTCGGCCAGCGCACTACACTGTCCTTCTTGACGAGATCTTCCGCTCAAAATTCGGTGACAAGGCCGCCGACGAATTGGAGCGGCTGACGCACGAGCTGTGCTACCTCTTTGGCCGCGCCACCAAGGCCGTCAGCATCTGTCCGCCAGCGTATTATGCAGACATTGTCTGCGAACGGGCTCGCGCACACCGACCCGAGCATTATGGGCCGGGTGACGACGCGGAGAGTGTTTCGACTGTATCAGGAGCTGGAGGAGCCACAGCGGGGAGACAGGTTCATGACAATCTCAGGGACAGTATGTATTATATCTAAGCGAGGAGGGTGAGTGTGATGGGCAAATTTGGGTTAAGCAGAGATTGTTCTTGGTAAGCCCATGACACAGCGAATTTTTTTGTACGGCAGCCTTTTGATAGAATTTGAATGCAAGCATGGTTTTAAAAGCGGCATCTAACTGAGTGTCGGATATCCTTATGAATGCTAGTTGGGTAATGAAGCATCTTAGTTGTAAGTAGATGACATGCTACAAGATGTGAGCATTGCATTTCATCGTGGTAAAGCAGCTTTTATGGGTAAATGAAAGGCAAGCATGTCATTAAAGGGGATAGCACCAAGGTGTATATCGAATATCTGTATTCAGCACGCCATTTCTAGTGGATATGCAACTCTCAATGGCAACTCCAGTTATTTGTAGAGCTGTCCATCTAAAATGCATAGCTTGTACATTGGAAAGAAGAAAGAGAAATTAAACAGCATCGGTAACTGAATGAACATATATATGCTGATAACACGCCACGCACACAAAAAAAATCTCAGCAAAGGGGTGAGGCAAAAACATGTCTACTCTAATGTCTACAAATTCGCTTTCGTCTTGTCGCTCTTACGATTCGGTGCTCCAAGGCGCTTCATAAACTCGTCGTCTACCGTCGCCTTCTCTTCCAAAGGCTTCTTCGCCCATTCTTCATACTCTTTCTCCTCCTCCCACCACTTGTCCATCTCCGTCTTGGTCCATTCGGCGGCAGCCTTTGCGCAGAACACGGGCTCCTCTAGGGGAACGAGGTGACCACTCTCAGGGTGCGTGACCCCCTTTACGCGGCCGGCTTTGGCGCCTCCACTGCCGCCGACGCCGGTACCCGTCTTTTCGAGCTTCTCGCGGATTAGATGAGCAGGAGAGACGTTGCTTTTAGCGCCGAAGATGTAGAGGACTGGGGGGCGGATATTGGGGAGACGGGCTACAGTGTTGTTCCCCTCGGAGCGGTAGAAGGGGAATTGAGTAGGAGTCTCTGGGTCGAGGTCGCTATCGGGGGCGCGAGATTTGTGGGTGATGAGTTTGCTGACTGGATCGAGGGCGGGCCAGATGGGTCGGACAAAGGTGAAGACTTCTTGGTGCTTGGTTGTGGTGAGACGAACAGGGGTTTGGGATTCGTCCTGCTGAGAATTGGAGGTAGATGGGACCTCGCGCAGGCCATAGCGGATGAAGAGATCAAGCACTCGTGGATCCCAGGCCTGATAGAAGGGCTTAGAGCGGAACGAGGCGGCGGCGGCAGCACGCGAAGGCCAGGTGTCGCGGCGCGTAGCACTGAGGGACGCGGGCCCATAGTACGTTTGTGGCGAGCTGGGGAGCGGTTTGGGGGATGTGAAGCGAGCAATAACGGGGTCGAGCATGACCATTCCGGTGAAGAGGCGCGGGTGCATGAGGGCGACGTTTGTGAGGGCGTTTGCGCCAAAGGAGTGGCCCATGGCGATGATGGGCCGGGGCATGCGGAAGGTGTTGATGAGGTGGAGGATGTCACGGGAATAGTCGAGCCAGTTGGCTGTATTCGCAGGTTAGTATGCGGTGTTTATTGCAGGATGAAATGAATGAGATGGAACCATGTGAGATGAGATGAGATGTGAGAAAGACAGAGAGAGAGAGCCGTACGATCATTGCCCAGGTTCGCGACATTGAGGACGCCACTCTGGCCTTGGTGAGCAGTATCAGCGATCCAGATGGCACGCAATCGAAGACCCTGCTTTTCCAGCTCTTTCAAGAATTCCTCGTAGAGAGGTTCATAGAGTTCCTATGTCTAATTAGCACCGTTGATCACATCATCTCCAGGCTGGATAAGACGTGTACCTACCTTTGGAAAGCCATTTGCGTGCGCACCCACAATGGTAATGTCACCTTTGCGCGGAGGACCACCGTTTTTGGGCGTGTATTGCTTGACGTGAAGCAGAAGCGGTTCGTCCTGTGAGACCGCCGTTGCGCGCGGGTATTCCCGAATGTGCGACGCCTGGATGGTATGCTCGCGGATGTCAAAGACGGAGGATGAGGGTGACGAGGAAGCCATTCTGATGTCGATCTATACGGGTGTATATACGGGGATTAGATTCTAGCTATAACAGGACAAATGAAGAGGGGTCCTGATGGCGGCTGTGCTATTTGTATCAGCAACGAGAAAGGGGGGAGAGGCTGTTTGTATCGCGTTGGGCTATTCCGGTAGACGAAGAGTTGCCACAATACTTGGTCTATACGTCGCCAACTCAGCCAGGATCTGCAAGTTTATCGCTGAATCTTAGCAAGCTGACTTTGTGAAGAGGATTGTCCGAGATAGCAACAGCTCCATTCCTTAAAGCAAACTGCAAGCCGCAATGCAAGATGCTCCTCATGGGCTCTGCTCGGCATGGCTGGGTTTCCTGGGGTTCAGGCGGAGACTGAGCCTCGGCAAGACTATTGGGCTTGCCGGTTCCTGAATCGCCGGGCGCCTACAAACACGCCGACAGCGAATCTGAACCCCAATTAGTGGCGTTATGGCTGCGGCTGATGCCCATTTAGGTGCTGACTAGTGTAATACGCAGTGGCTTCAGCTTCTGTTGTCAGTACGGGGAAGTGTCTTAGGTAATAACGGGGTTTAAGGGACACGTGAAGCGGAGTTTTTGTTCAATGAACTGAACCTTTTTGACATCTACAAGTACATAGATACTCCCCCCTTTATGAGATGCCTCACACCAATGCCTAACGAATCGCATCTCTCTTGCATCAACATCTTCTAGAGCAGCAAGCAATCAATAGTACAAACCGTCCAGGTGTACGGAGTACAGGTTACATGTACATGGCCACATGCTTCCTGAATCTGGGGCATGACAGGGGTCTTTTGTGGAGGCGGCTGGTTGGTGCAACAGCTTTGCAGTGAGAGATAACCTCCTCTGAATCTGGTTCACACAAGACGAATACAAAGGGCAGGGTGCAACATCAGTTCTTTGCTGTATCTTCATCATCGAAATACACCACAGATATGCCTGCACCAGCACCAACACCAGCACCGAGCATCATCCTCTTCGCCGGAGCCCCGTCTCCAAACTCCGTGAATCATCAATCCTGCACTCTCAACAGTTTCGAGGAGGCATTCCACATCTTACTTGGCCCACTTGATAGCAAAGACCACCTACAGAAACATACGAGTACAGACCCAAACTCAGGCGTTGAAATTGCATCACAACCACACGCCGTTTGGCGGTCTGTGCCGCTCAACCGGCGTCCTCTTCACACCGGCCTGAGCCAAAACCACAGCATCCTAGACGTCTCCTTTCAAGCCCACCGTGACTTCTTCACCACGGCGGATGCTTTTCCTGGAGATGACACCCTGTCTTTTGGCGGTGCTGAAGATGGAGGTGCGCTGCTTACGCAGTTTGTTGAGGAGTCGCTGGTCGCTCACAACTTGATACCATCCAGTCAGCTGGGCAGTTTCAGCATAAACACAACTGAGGACACCACGATATCGTTCACCACAAATTCTTCAAACAATGCTTCCCTACAAGAGTCCGCCCGCCCACTGCCAACACCTGTGCCTTCGCATCTCTCAGACTTGGAAGACGTTCCTTCAGCGGCCCGCATCATCGCTTTGAGCCCCCAAACAGTGACACTGAATTTGATCGTTGCAGTCATCTCTATCGCCCAACCGCGAACTGTCACAACGCGTTGGGGCACAACTTTATCTCTGGTCGAGGTTCTGGTCGGCGATGAGACCAAGTCAGGCTTTGGGGTAACCTTTTGGCTATCCAGCGACCAGGTCACAACTAGCCAAGTGAGCAAACTACGCCGGCAGGATGTTGTGTTGATGGAAAATGTGGCACTACACGTCTTCCGCGGAAAGGTGTATGGCCAAAGTCTACGCAAGAACCTGACTCGAGTGAGCCTCCTATGGCGGAACGAAGGTGGTGGGTACTATCATAATAAAGACATCACCAAGCGAGCGGCCGCGAAGCATCCTCAGCGGGAGAAGACGAGGCTTGTCAAAGATTGGGTTATTCACTTTGTCGGGCGAGATGTGGGAGCAACCACACGAAAGAGGGCCAGTCAAAGGTCGTGGGACCAGCCACCCGAGGATACACAATAATGTGAGTCTTTCATGCTTCTATTAGTATTTGCCAAGGATCTATATATGATTCCTAATTAATTACACTATGCAGCTCAAAGTATATGGTACTGTCTGTACATGTCCAAATTCCATGGGTATAGAAAAATACAAAGCTCGAAAATAATGAGTCAGGAGAGCGGAGTGGTAATTTCAACAAAGTAATTATACAATGGCCGGCGCCATCTCGCTCTTCTTACCGTCCACGCCCTTCTTGACGGATCTCCATTCCAATGCTACACAGGACAAGAATGCGCATCCGGCACATGCAACGGAAATGTAGTAGGTGTGGCGTAATCCTAGCATGTATGCATTTAGGACGGCATCGAAAGCATCTAGACGGTGGATGCTGGTAAGCACGGATTTGATCTCAGAAGCACCGCTGTTGATGAAGATCTGAGGGTTGATTCCAATGTTGTCCTTTTCAAGCTGGTCGATGAGTCCGTTTTGGAAGAGGGTCTGGGCAACGGCAACAAAGACTGCGCCTCCCAGGACCTGGAAAAACTGGACACAGGCAGTGCCGATAGGGACCCAATCCTGAGTGAGGACGGTCTGCACAACCAAAACAGAAATCTGAAAGCCAGCTCCGATACCCAACCCGGCAATGACCTGGTAACCAAACCACTCCTTGAGAGGACTGTGGACGTCAAGAGTCGTAAGCATACCCGTTCCGACGGTATATAGAATCATGCATGGAATGATGACGTAGTTGTAGTAACCAATGACGGAGATGAGGCCACCCGAGATGATAGAGGTGAGCACAGTAGAAAGGAGCAGGGGCAAGATCTTGATACCGGCCGTGACGGCGCTGACGCCTTGGATAGCTTGGAAGTAGAGAGCTGTTGACTCGGTTAGCACATACTCAGAATGAGCAACCAGTTGCTTGGATCGCAATCATGGACGTTGCGGAGAGGCCACTCACAAAGATAATAGATAAGGGGGAAGAAACCAGATCCGAAAAAGAGACTGAAGAACATGGCAGGGAGCACATTGCGGTCCTTGAACAGGCGCGGCGGAAGAGTTCCCTTGTCGCCCTTCCAGAACTGGATTCCAATGAAGATGCCAATCATGAGACCGAAGCCGACAAAGAGGCCAATGATCTTTGAATCGTTCCAAGCGTATTCCGAACCGCCCCACTGCAGAGCCAACAGGAGACACACAATGGCGGGAATGAAGATGGCCGTGCCCAGGATATCGATCTCGAGGATACGGGACAAGACGGTCATGTTGAGCGTATCTTCCGAGTTGCGGTTGACATTCAGGATGAGGACAACGATGAGCATGGCGAGGCCACCGATGGGGAGATTGATGTAGAAGCACCATCTCCAGGAGACGTTTTCGGTAAAGGCACCACCGAGAAGAGGGCCGGCGACGGAGGCGATTCCCCACATGCCGCCGATGAGACCAAAGGCAAGGGAACGCTTTTCAAGAGGCACTACAGAAACAATCAAGTTTAGCAAGATGCTAGTTTATTAATGATGGGGAGGAGTTTGAGGGTCATACTAGATAGAGAGATGATGACAATGGAGCCAGAGAATAAGCCCGCCGTTCCAATCTGTCCGTCTCAGTTAGCACCTTGATATTAAGCTATGAATGTATGTTTCTGAGAAACAACTTACTCCTGCAATAGCTCGTCCAACAATAAGTGCCTTGGATGATGGCGCCACAGCCGAGAGCAAACTGCCAATCTCAAAGATGAAGATGGCGGCAAGGTAGGTCCACTTGACGTTGAAGTACTTGTATATGGCACCATACATTGGCTGCAGGGCCGTGGTTGTGAGAAGATAGGAAGAACCATACCAGCCCTGATTCAATAGGTTAGTTTTATCCCTGTTACTTCCTACACAAAATGCAAAGGCCATTTGATGGGACATCTCAAAGACGCAAGCACAAGAAGAAAAGCGAAAGGGGGCAACACTCACAATGTCCTTCACACTCTGGAACCTCGCAGTGATTGTTCCCAGCGCAGGCGCAATAATAGTCTGATCCAGAGCAACCAGGAAAATAGCCATGCACAAGGCAAAGATGATGGAGACGAGCTTCAGGCCCTTGGGATAGCTGGCTGCGGGATCCGTCGCCGTCGTTGCAGTCTTGGTGACATCCTCCAGCATGACGCCTCCATCCTTTACCGCGTCCTCTCCCGAAACGGCAATTTCCTTTTCGACATCGTCGTGACTCGTAGGCGGCGGCAGCGACCCGCGCTCTGTTTTGTCTGATGAAAGACGCGGAGTTGGCGATGTTGAAGCCATGGTTTCCCCCTTTTTGTATATGAAACAATGGGATTATGTCTTGGGGGGGAGGAAAGACGGAAGAAGGAAAAAACGAAGCTGTCTTTCGTCACGGTTTTTTTTTTTTTTTCTCCCTCTGATCTAACCGAAGTTTTAATTTGGCGTTGGGGTCCTCCAACAATAGCTGAAGCCTGGCGAGAAACCTAGGCTGAAAACCGACACTGCTAGCGCTGCAACCTCTCGATCGGCTGCCTTTTCGCTATGCTTGTTCTGTCTTGTGTCGTTTTACTTCCCTGGTCTTTCGACTGCCGCCGACCAATGCAAGATGCAAAAGAGGACGGGTATCAAGTAAATAAGAATCAAGAATGTGGTACACCTTTTCAGCCTTATACCGCACATCACATCACATCATCACACACGCCCCCTGGACAAATCATCGTATCATCTTTCTAACCCCCCATCGCTGCTGACCCGCCCCGAGACAAACCCTTCTCGGCCATCGGGAATGACTCAAACCCATGACACCAAATGCAGCCATTGCCGGCAAATTAGTACGAGTACAATCAAGTAAGGGATTTTATCAAGCGTAGATCTTAAATCCGGAAAAATCCATCCACCGCAGCCAAATAACCCCACAAAGGATGGCAAGGGAGGATGCAAAAAGACGTGGCGAATCTCCTCACGATACAAGGAGCATCTCCTCCAAACCAGAACCTCTAAGAAGAAAAACACAATAAGAAAAAACTCCACTCCTGAAATCCTCCATGCACGGAAATTAAAGGCCAAGAAGGATTTTTTTATTATGGGCGTTATTGTTTTTAACCTTTCGTACCGCCTCGTAGGAAGAGCCAATCACCCAACTTACATCTTTTTTAGTCCCAGAATCCTGCCCATGACTCAAGGGCGAATGCCTCCTGAAGCGGCCTAGTCGCCCTAAAGAGCCAGCTGACCCTGGAAAAGCAAGGTAAGACCCGGACTTGGAGCTTGACCGATGTCCGAGGATCGAGAGATTTGCTGGGGGGATGGTGCGAAGGGAAATAATTTAGCTGCCGTCGATGTGGAGGAGGCGGAGGGGGTCTTTGTTACAGTAAGGAGGACGGTTATTTTCGGTGTTCAAAAAACAACACGATATGAAATAGTTGGTGTTGAGTCTCTTGGTGTAACAGCAAAGCATCACTTCACTTCCTCTTAAAGAACGTGGCAGTACAAGTGTAACATCAAAAAAGAGGCATCAATACAAGTCGAGCCGCAACTTCACATGCCAAGATCCTTCCAAACCCATACATACGCGTACACACACATCGATCCTCACTCAAGCTTCGTAAACCCGCTAGACCTGAATCCACATTCTTACAAGGACGCATACCCACCCGAGAAGCTTAGCCCAACCTCCCAATCTAGATCTCAGGCACCCTCTCGGCCTTCTGTGAGTCCCGGGTGTCGGCATCAGATTGGACGAAAAGAACTTGGCATTGTCCGTGCCCAACCACTTCGCAAATCACTGGTTGTGCGAGCCAAATCCCAAGGATTGCAAGGGGCCAAGATATCGGGTGTCTATTTCTGATACACCTCTTCACCACGTCACGGTTATTTCCTCTAGCCTGTTCGTGAAGCGCCAAAGTCCAGCCTACGGGCGCAAGCTTCATGCATCTACTCTCAGACAAAGGGGGAGGGGAATTTTGGAGTCAGATGGCGTGAAATCATATCCCCTATCTAGTCTAAACGAATTACATTGTAAATCATTTGCGTGTTCCTCGGGTACCCATCCCTCCGACTACTCTTCAGCTTCTGGCGCTGGAGGAATCCATACCAGCAACCCGTCCTTGTCAATCTTCATCCCCTCCGTCGGAATTACTCTCAGCACCTTCTGGAAATACTTGTCTCTCACTACCAAGCCCGGCCGTATGTAGACACCTCGTGTAAGTGGCAGCAGGCGGTATGTCTTTGTACGTCTTGACATAGGGAGTAGGTGCACCGTCGTCTGCTTCGATCCAGAGAAGGCGAATGCATCGCTTGGCTCCATCGCCAGTCCAAATGTCAGGAAATGGCTGGACGGATTTTCAATCGTGATATCGAGTCGCACCAGACCAGACTGCTCTTGTGAGCTGTGAAGTACTGATGCCAACACTCTAGGCTCTGTTCCAAGCACCATGTACTGCCCTACCGTCATCGTCGTGGCATTGATTGCGTTGCTCTCGCCATCTGCCACTTGTCGTCGTCGTCGCCAGCGGACTACAAATGCCAAGTCAATCGCGACCGGATGCCTATCATCCAACGTAACCTTCTGCGCCACCAGACCAAATCGAGCTTCATACATCGTCTTGGGAGCCACAATCATGCCATCTGCAGAGAGCTCGGGTTGGCTGACAACCCGGCACCGTCCGCCAGGCGTCACAGCCGTAACCACCATATCCAGACCAACTACATCCAAATCCTCTGTGGCGAATGATGCATAGTGACAGACTAGACACCATTGCTGGGCAAGACCCCTGGCCTGGATCACATCGCCGTCAGACACATCTTGTAGGTCCTCGTAGTCGAATAGGCTTGGCCAGGGATCCGGATGAAGCCGCGGCATCAAATCATAATTTGCTTCAAATGCGTTCACCACATTTAGGTGAATGGGCAACACTTGGACGATCGGGGTTGCTGCGTCAGATTCCAAGTGGTAATCAGCTCGGATCTGTATTTCGTACACTGTAGGGGCTGGCGCAGGGTCGAGATGAATCGACAACTCCAACGACGAAGAGCTGCCTATATTGCCGAGAGCGAGCCCCGTCACTTGCGACTCTTCTTCAGCAGCATCTACCTCTCGTTTGTGTTCACCAGCGTCCACCCGGAATCGAGGAATGATCTTTCCAACAATGCGAATGTCCAGTTTCACATTAGCTGAGTCGTCCTCTTCGTTGTGTAGGCCAATCTTCAGGGGTATCGGCTCATTGGCGTAGAACTGGCCGAGAGGCTCTACCAGCCTCAGCTTCATCTTGGGAGGCCGTGGTTGTATGTGTAAAATGTGTCCGTCGGGTCTCGACAGTCGTGGTTTTGCCGCGCCTCGAACGAACCATCCTGTAACTTTGCCTAAATCTGACAGCGATAGTGTGTAATCCAACTCAAAAGTTTCGGTTTTGTAAGTCAAAATCACACGAGATGCCGACGCCTGTCCCGGTTCTCGCAAGGGTATGTTCATCTCCAAAACCTGTCTGTGGCCGGGTCTAAGCGTAATATTGCATTTGCCAGTCAGTTGACCCTCCTTTTCATCCTCTTCGTCTTTGGTTTCGCTTTCGTCCTTGGCCTTATCTTCATCTTCGCCTTCGCCATCTTTTTCCTCCTTTTCACTTTCATCATTTTCCTTGGCATCTCCTCCAAGCTGCTCTGTCAACGCTACGGCGGTTACAGAGACAGGCTCTTTAGAAGAATTTGTCGGCAAGTCAGAGTCGTGTACAAGCGTGATCGGTTTCAGGTGTCCCTCGAACTCGACCCGGATCGAAGACAAAGTAACTGGCGCAGCTACTTGAAGCGCCTCAGACTTCAGTGACAGCTGAGCCAAGCATGTCTCACCAGCCCGGCCCTCCTTAGTACGGAAAGCAAAAGATGCCGAGATAAATGATGAAGCCAAGTCATCGGAGATGGTAATGAATGGCTTGGATGTCAATGATACGCCATCTAATGACTTGGCAAGGTCATAGTGCCAGTTTTGTCTTCGAGTAAACCCTGAATATCAAGCATTAGCCCAGCGCCAACCACATATATCAACGTCATCAGATGAAACCTACGTTCATTCATTAGTTCCCAGTCAATTGCGACCACAATGTCTGCCCGCCCAGTCTCCGCCGCCGCCCGCCTCATTACCCATAGGATATCTTCAGAGATGTCTAACCACCACTCCGAGCGAAAGGATTTATCTTCCCACAGTGGTCTAAGCATCGCCAACACTTCGTTCCAGCTCCCCAGTGTCGCCATCTCTCTTGCGCACTCTAGAGATATCTCTGCCGCAATTCGGTGCTGCTTCCGCGCTTGAAACTGCCCCCTTGCGTTGAGAAGACAGTCTATCATTAGCTGTGCGTGATTGACTCCATTTCCGCTCAACGGGTACTCTTCGTGAGGTGGGGGACACATGTATGTATCGTAGCGGATGGCCTTGCTCGCCACCCTCGACGCGGGCGAAGCGTCCGGTGCTCCTCTATCATCGTCAGGTATCCTATGGGCCAATGATCTTCGAGCTCCAAGGTGGCGCGCAGCTATCCGATACCAGTAGCCTGTGTGATGCAATAGTTCCCAGGGCTGCAGTCGCTCTCCAAAAAGAGCTTTCTCCGGCTGAAGGAAGATGGTCATGGTTGAAGGCCCGAAGCCTGGAACTTCGACCAGCTCAATCATGTTGGCCATCACCATTGCCCACCGGGCTTCCCAGGCTTGCCAGCCATAATTGTTGGTCCCTCTTCCTCGGCGGTCAACAAAGTCGCTGATGCGGTCGCGGTGAGTCTGCCATCTCCTAACTGCCAGGCTCGTTTGTCCCATCCACAGATGCAGCCGCAAACAGCGAATAGATATGATGTCTGCCAGAAGCCGCGCCTCATTCCAGCGAGGGCTCCAGCTAGGGATGATATCAAGCACGTCTTGGCCAAGCAAGATCTCATACGCTTGCTCAAAAGATCGAATCGCCGCGTCAATCTCTTGGCGAAACTCGGCAAAAATAGCAGACTTGAAATCATAGCGGAAATTCCAATCCGGCAGCGACAATGTTTGCGATGTTCCAGAAGTAGGCGGTAACGTCGGCTGGGGGACAATTCCTCGGGATCTCTTCTTCCTAGCATGTCTCCCAAGATCTCGATAATACTCGATGGCCGTGTTATACAGTAGAGCGAGAATACTATCCATCACCCTCCTCAATTCCGACGTCGATTCCTGTGGAGGGATATAGAAAATCGATTTAGGGTCCAGACCTGTTCCCCTTCGAACACCCTCCAGTCGGTCTTGTATAATTTCAGCAGTCAAATTGGTCCTGGCCAGCTCATCGCCGAGGATGATAACGACCAGGCGTGTCTTGTATCCCGATTCCACCAAAGTCGCCCTCATACCATTAAGAGCAGACTTTAACCGATTGTCTTGTTGCACGGCAATCTTTGGATCGCTAATCAAAGTATAGAAGCACACGAATATGCTGGGTATCTCTTCCTGGTGCTTCTTGATCCACTGCGCATTCATCAATCCATCAGGGTACAGAGCCGACGAAGGACTAAGCGGCGAGAAGGGCGAGTGTAGAATCGGGGGGGTTGTCAACGGTTCGATGGTCTCAGGCAGCGTTGCTCGTCGGGATGGAAGTACAAGAGACTATATTCAATCAGAAATGCGCTGCGCAACCGGCTTAGGTCCCATGCAAACTCGTCTTACCCTACCGACGGTCTTGACGCGAACCCTGTAGTGCTCTTCCCTCGTAACCGCCGTCCATGACTTCCCGCGCTCGTCCACTTCCTCAAAGTACGATTCCAAGAAGGTCGCTTCGTTTCCATCGAGAGGCGGCAGATCAGACCGAAGAAGCACCTGGCCCTTGGCCTTGGGAGGCTGCTCTGGCGGATCGGACCTCAACCCCGACACCACAATCAGCGGCACATTATGATCGAGGCTTCCCAAAGGGTAGCCATCCATGGTGATTAAGTCGGCGTCGAGAAGACATAGGCCAAGCGTCTGGTTCGTGCCGAGGAGCTTCGCATTCAAGTCGGATTGCGCAACTGATTCACTTGCTTAGAGGTGGTGGAGCAGCGTTAGCATCACTCAATACAGGTCGCAAAAGCTGCCCCTCGTTGCGGCGTAAAGCAGCCCACCTTACAGCCTTGAAGACGGGGATGTCTGGGGCTTTCTCAAGCAAACGCTGACGGAAAAAAATTATAAAGAAATATACAAAAAATTGCGACTAAATTGTCAATCGACAGTGCATTTTGACTCGCAGCACCTCGATGAATCGGCACTATCTCACAGGCATCAGAATTGAAGCTCAGAAGGGGACGCCGCTCTGTATGTCGACCTGCTATTAGCGGCAACGGTAGAGCTCCAGTTATTGGGCGGCACAAACGACCGGCGCCGGAAGAACGCCGGATGCCGAGCAAGCGCACCCTCTACCCAAAAATTCATGATGGCAATGGAATGATGCGAAACCACCTACCAGAGCGCAACATCTCCCGCCACGAAAACCACCAAATCCCAAGCCGCCTAGCGGTGCAATTTCGCATCTCGAATTCACGACTCCTCGCCTCCTCCCGCAAACATGAGACCTACGCAAATCCTCAGCGTGGGCAAGTACCGCCACCTCAAGCTCACAACCAAGGATGTCGGCCGCGGCTTCTACAAGGGCAACCGAACGGGAGCCATGGGTCGCCACACCAAGTACGGAGGATACATTGTCGAATGGAGCAAAGTCCGCACATACGTCGTGCCCCAGAATCTCAGCGAGTCCAAGGTAGGAAACAAAATCGGGGTGCAGAGGCGGACAATTGGTGGCGGCAGAAAGAGCAAGATGGATGGTAGCTAACCTTGTGGTTTGTTTAGCTCACTCCCTTCGTGAGCAGAGAAGTTCGCTCAGAGCCTGGTGATTACAAGGGCCTGAATAAGGGTCCTCAGGATCCTTACTTTTACGTCGAGCAATGGAAGCGATACAACGGTGTTGACTAAGTGTTCTCTACGGATCATACGATAAAGAGACGAAGAAAGAAGAGCACATCTACGAATAAACCCACAGCAGAAGTCAAGGGTATTCTGCTGGAGTTGTATATATACACCCTACGAATATTGTACCACCACCATGCATGATGGAGTCAAACGGTGAATGGGGAGAGAAAAAAAGATACCATCATGGGATTGTATGATTAAACTACGGTATCTAAACATACAACATACAAGAGAGAAAGCAAAAAGAAATTCGAATTTAAATTCAACTAAATAAATGCGCCACCATTGATGTGGATAGGATATCGCTAGTTATATGCTTGCTTGCTGGTTTTCCTGTCTTCGTTCTTCTCCCATTATTTCCAAACGTTGATGAAATCCTTCATAGCCACACCGAGCCTTTGTATATTACCTCCCATCTCTTTCACATCTCTACCTTGACCTGTGGTAACTCCTCTTTAGCTGTCGAAAATGTCTCAATGGCCCGACGCTGCACCTCTACTTTCTCATTGTCCTCATCCACACCATTTGCAGAAGGCTTCTCTTCGTCTAGGTCTCCCTTTGAATCCGTCACGCCAAGAAGTCCCGATCCAGGCGAAGGACTCATTGGCCGAGATCCAGGCGTCATTGTTGAATTTAGCGTAATCATGCTCGCTGTCTCCGCGTCATTTCTAATGCTAAACGGCAAGGCAATGCCGTCAAGGAATGGCCTCTTTCCGGCGACGCCCGTTTCAGGAGAATAATCCGGGCTGAGGAGGCCATCGTGAGCCGCCTCCTGCTCCCGGCGCATGGCAATCAACTGCTCAACAGCAGTTTCCCCTTCCGTCTCTTCGCTGCCGGTTTGATGCTCATCTCGCACAATCCGCTGATGAGAAGGTCTGCGGCTATGCCCAGGCTTGTTGGCTCCAGAGGGTGACGAGACGCCATTACTCAGATCTGGAGTAACGGCCTGCATCTCGGGCTCGTAATTAGCTTTCTGCTCCCTTTCTACCGTCATCTCGTCGTGTTTTGATCCCCAGAGGGACCAGATGGCTAGGCCAAAACTCCTCCTTCTCTTCCCTGATTGCAACTCGGCACCCACGGGTATTCGCCCAGCCAGTGCAGTTGGCGGCGGACGCTCATCCACGCCAAAATCTTTATACCCCTCAACCATTTCCTTGATAATCTTTTTATGCGTTTTGGCCCTTGCGCTGGCGTATTTGTGGTCCCATGTGCGCTTGGTTTCCAGCCACTTCCTCACAGGACCTTCTTTAATAACTCCAATTTCCTCGGGCTTCATGGTGCATCCAGGCAGCTCTTCCTCCCGAGGAAGAGGCAAAATGGCGCCATTCCGGGCTATTCGCTGTCGAATCATGTAATTCTTGAATGGCGGAAGTGGATCTCCTGCTCTTCCAACCTCTGCAGGCGTTGAGTCGTCCGCTGTTTGTTTATCTTTATTCAGATCTTGTTCTACCTGGCCCCCAGCTTCCGTATCAGAGCCAGAGCTAGTAATGACCGAAATCGCATCGTCATCCATAATCTCAATGTCTCTGTTCTGCGCACGCGCTAGGGCCCAGGCTCCAAACTGCGCAATCGATCTGTACATGTACTTGGCCGGGCTTGTAAAGCTGAGAGTCGGGGCAACGTGGCATAGATCGTCCCACACTTGAAGTTGCACATAAGTAGGCTTGTACTTGGCAAGCAATTCCCTTCCGTGGTCCGTCAAGTCTGCGTCCGGCGGTGCGTATTTTGTCGGGTTGGCACACTTGTGGGCCAAGTAAATCTGCTCGTCACGAAGAAGCTCGCCGCCTCCGACAGTAATCAGAAGAGGCGGCAGCCCACCAAGCGTTGGCTGCTTGACAGGGCTCACCAGTGGGTGTGATAGAAGAGCATTCGTTGTATACATCTAGCAGACGTTAGACCCCAATTCCATCCGAGTTGGTAAATTAGTTGTACTCACTTGAATTTGGTCCTTCATGGTAATCAGCTCCCCATCGATTGTAACGGTTAGAAATTTTTCCGTCTCGGTGTAAAGGCCACTGCTGTCAATATGAACACCTGCTTCGCCATCACTTGCCGGAACCACGGGATCCTGTTGTTTCTGCTCTAGTTCAGCCGTAGACGGAGCCCCTTTCTTATCGCCCTTCTTGCGCTTCTCCGCCTCTGCGTGGAGCATATTCACATCATCATCATTGGGCGGCGGCCATGCCCTTGATGGCTTGTGGTGAAAGCCTGACTGTGGTATATAATCCAGCGGCGTCTCAAGGCCAAGGCTTGGAAACGAGTGCGTCAAGTCAACCCAAGGACTAATAAGGATGCCCCCGGCGGGCAATGGAATTCCTTGGTCTCGAAGAAGGCATAGCATGGACGTCACCATGCCACCACCTGCCGAGTCTCCAGCAAAGATAATCGTGCTTGGGTCTTGCGTTGTAAGCAGATATAAATAAGCTGCCAAACAGTCCTGAAGGCCACATGGGAATGGGAATTGAGGAGCCAGACGGTACCGCGGTGCAAAGACTCTAGCTTTTAGTTTTCTCGCGTGTCGTTGCATCTGGTAGCGATGTTCGTCGACACTCCCGAAATAATACGCACCCCCGTGTATGTAAAGCATCACACGACGCAGTGGTTCGTTGTTCTTTTTCCGCTCATTGGCATCCGCCCGCATCTCGATCCACTCAGCCTCCAACGGGCCTTTCGGTCCTCGCCAGTGCCACCATTTCCTGCCGCCAATCTGACGGATGCCATCAGGCCCCAGCTCTCCCTCTATCAATTCTGCTGCTCGGCGGAGGTGCTCGTCAGGAATCGTGACGCTTTCAAGCTTGACCCATTGCGGGTGCGGGACCCATTGAGCCGTGAATCCCTGGATCTCTTCGACAGTGTGCTGCGAGGCATATTCGAGGAACGACCGAATGAGATGTAGTCCCTCGTCGTACGACAGATGCGTGGTCGGGTGCTCTTTCAAGCTCTTCTTATTCAGGTACTACAAGATTCCGCCCCAGCAGAGCGCGAGTTAGCAAACTGGACTGATGGAGGGGAAATAAGAAACGATCCCTTCCAGTCTTTGAAAGCAAACGCCTTCGCAATTGACTTTTTACATACATGTGAAAACAAGGTGGTTACAACCGTCGGCGTAACGGCCAATGAGACCGACGTCGTGTTAAGCCTGTTCATAGCGATCTCGTTTGCCCTCCAGATTCCATCGATACGTGCGGATCGCTAATTTATAGAGAGTCTGAAAGGGACACGGTCTAATTAAGAGACGGGAAAATACGAACACCGAGACACCCGCATAAAAGGGCAACAGGTCAGAGCATCTTGAGATTGGCATCAGGGGCCCCCATGATGTCATGCCTTATATTGTAAGGGATGATCTTGGCTCCCAATCCTCGAATGTCGGTTGGGAAAAGAGTATTACTGTATTAGTACTAGCCTACAAAGCTTGTTCAGCGTCATGCTAGTGGTCCGTGCACGGCCAATCCAGCACAGAACTCGTGGGCGGGAAGGAAAAAAAAACACCAAAAATTTTGTGCAGACTTATGGCCGTTTGAATTTGAGCCCCTCCATATCCCCGCTTAATACATTCAAACCCAGCATCAGCATCATGGCGTCTACAGAGACAGCTCAGTTGCCGCCGGCGGGTAAGTGGGAACAAACACAAGAATCAGGTCATGGGACATTGGTATATTAACTCTGCATACTACAGCACTCCGACAGTCCAACTTCGAACAAGCAGTGGCATGCGCCCTGCACCTATGGCCGGCCCTGACCCTCGCGGTGCAGAATAACTGGGGAGGACCCGACTCTGCAGACAAACGGGACTGGTTTGCAGGTGCCGTCGTCGATCTGTTTTCAGAATTTGCCGATGCGCAGCCCGGAGAGACTGCAAAGACCAGCGCCGCTGAGGAGCCAGATATGGAAGATGTCGAGACGGTGCTGCTACAAGTAATGATCGACGAGTTTGAGGTCAACATCGACGACGATTCTGCTTTGGATGTTGCTAGATCCATTGTCAAAGCGAGATCCGAATGCGCCATCGGCGAATTCAATGACGAGGTCAAGAAGCTGAGCGAGCGGTTCGCGAATCGCAAGGGCACCAAGGTGGATCAGATGTTCAAGCAAGCCGAGGACCAGGACCAGGATACCGACTGGGAGTCTGGCGACAGTGGCGAGGACGATGAGGACAACGAAGGCGATGTGGACATGGACGAGGCGCCACCTCTGGCACCCGTCCCCAAGGAAAAGCCTGCTCCTGAGATTGACGAGGACGGCTTCATCAAGGTCACCAAGAAGAAGAGGTAAACCTTGAATAGCACAGAAAACATGGGGGGAGCAAGCTATCGCTGTGGGGGAGCATCCAAATCGGCATAATCCAAAACACAAAATACACGCCGCTGCGACGACTCGACTTGCTGAAGAGGCGATAGCAATTCCAAACGCCAAACTGCCCAAGCTCTAAGAAACAAATTATACCCGAAGACGCACAGAGTAAACGTGGTGCAAAATTACTCCCAATCCTCGTCACTGTCATCCTCGTCACTGCCGTTCTCCCCTTTTTTCTTGGGCTCCTTTGGGCTGTTTGGTGTCTGACTAGGTAGCTGGCTCGTTTTTCCCGAGGCCGCTCCAACAACATCATAGCTAGCATCAGTTTCCGCCTCGGACTTTTCATCATTGGATTTCCTGGACTCATCGGGCTTTGTGTCTTTGGCCTGGATCGTGGTTGATGAAGCAATAGAGTCGGGCTTCTTTCCCTTGGCATCGGGAGTGGCGGATTTCTCAGCAGGAGTGGGCTTTGTTGACTTTTCGTCCTCCTCCGAGTCGTCCTCGGAGTCATCCTCTTCCTCTTCCTCTTCCTCTTCCTCCTCCGAGTCATCATCCCAGCCAACCTCATCTTCCGTAGACGCAGCTAGAAAAGAGCGTGTCAGCCACAAAAGATTTATAGATAGAATCAGGATAATGAAGCAAAAATAGCATCATCAGATTAGTATGTTACCTTTGAGAAGATCCCGTCGTCGTGACTCAGCGGTCTCAATGCCATGGCGCAAGAAATAGTATCTCTTCCAGAAGTCGGCATAAGGAATTTGGTCAGGAACTAGCTTCTCCATAGTCGCTCGCAATTCGGGGTATTTTGCCAGGTCGCCGCTGATTTCATCCGTCTGCTTGTCAATATCAAAACCTTTGGTCCATTGTTCGTATTCCGTGGCAGACGGGTCCTTGGTGAAGCTCTCCGGCGACGTGTGGATGACGTGCAGCTGTGCCTCGAATCTTGAAGTATGGATCACTCTCTTTCCTTGAGCATCCTTGCTCTCAAACATGACTTGGCTACCCTCGGATGATTCATCCGGAGGCGCGACGCTAATCGCATCTCGTAAAAAGTCCCGAATATTGCTTCCGAATCTGAGTAGAGCTTCGTCGGCGGCATCCTCGGCTTGCTGCAAGTCCTTCAAGCGCTTTGCGGCCTCGGTTCTTAGGCGTGACAGCACAGTTTCGGAGTCTTGGGTGGAGGTGCCATCTCCAGCCGCTGGAGTCGTTGCATTGGTCGGGGTCCTCTGGCTATCGTCGGCGTCGGCGTTGGACAAGTCGGGGATGATGGTGGTAAGGGAAAGCGAGCGGGTTCGATTTGCGATAGTTTCTCGCAGACTGGTAAATCCCTTCTGTGCATCTTCCCCGACCTCTGCAATCTCCTTGGAAGCTTGAGTGTAGACGGATTCGCCCTACACCAAATGAGCCTCAGCCACGAATGGCGGTGATACGGCGGCAGCCTGGTTGTCATACCTGCTTGATTACATTTCCAAAGAAGCCTCCGATCTTGGCGCCCCACGGACTCGCCGAGAATGCCTTGTAAGCTTCCTGGATGTCGCTGTTTAGGGAAGTTTGTGCATCTTCCTGCTTCGAACTCTCTCCAGGCTCGTCGGTATTCTTGATGTAGGCTTCCTCTTGAATATGGTCATATGCGAGATCCATGATGTCTGAGTAAGTACCGGCCTCGGTTGAGGCGCGGAGGACTAAGCAAGGAGCCTTGATTCTGCTGTCCTTGTTGAGCTTCCAGTACGAGCCTCAGAAGCTGGTTTCAAGGGATAATCATGGAAGTCAGCAGCTGCTGGCACTGGTTCGCGAAGCTAACGGATGCGGTAGAGGGGGGCTGGCGGGGAGTGCATTGCAATCACGTGAGTCGCCAGTGCGTGCATCATGGGACCATGTTTGCATGCCTACCCTGTAAAGTCTCGAGATCAGTGTCAGGATGAAACCTTTTCTACTAAACAATCTCCTATGAATTTCACGGTATCTTCTATTGCGAAAGTTGATTACTATACCTTCCATCAAGTCACCGTATATAGTGGATGTAGCCTTTATCAATTTAGCGGCTATCTGCTTGTGCGTTACATACCTAACTATCTCTTACATAAACGTACGCTACAAAGGGAGGCAGTGATGAGAGCTGGGAAAAGATAGCAGCAGCGCTAAATGTTTTTTCACCATGATCGGAAACACTTACCGAATCACATGCAGATGTTAACCATATGAAATGGGCATGCGCCTAGCTGGGTAATGTGACTGACACTGGAAAATAAGGCACCTTGTCGTTGGTAAAGCTTTGAACCTGCAAACTCCATCACCGTGTTGTCCAGAATAGATACACGCGGCGTAATGGATTAATGAAGATGGCGTAGAACATATGTACCTAGTATATGCGAACTATCTCTTGCCCAGTATTGAACGTAGCTACTGTGTTTCTAGCTTACTTGCAGGTTTCACCCAGAAACGTAGAATGCACCAGTATCTGCCACCATCTATGCCCTTCTCTCTGATACCAATCGACATGTAGAGCCGCAATGTCCGAGTTGCATAATATGGGTTATATAGAAATTGTCGTGGCGTAGAGGTTCAGGACTGTTAGTCTTGTGACTGCAACTATTGAGTAGCCTAATAATACTTGTAAGTGATACTGCGTCCTAGCGCCACATCTGTAAAGGGATATTCAGGGTATCCATCTGCTCGGATGTTCCTAAAACCTGTTATTCCACCACATCCACGCCTACTCCAGCGGCCGTACTGTGCCAAGGATTTCGTCACCCTTGTTCTGAGACTAATGCAACCGCAAATTGCCGATGTTTAGAGTTACGTTGGTTCAATGAGATCGGAGAGCGTGGTTTGCATTAGTGATGGCTTCGGGGAAGCGCCTATGAGAGTGCATGATAGAGAAAACAACATATCTGTATCCTTTTTTTAAGGAGCTTCATAACAGCCATTTCATGGCCATTGTAGTGATCAAACCCATTGTGCATCAACTACCTACCAATTCATTGATATGCTGCTCTGTTTGCTGCTCACTCATCGAGTCGTTTTGTTGACGAATCTATGCCGTCATTGTGCATTGTGGAGAGGTCCTGTTTAGATCTAGATCCAGGTCCTGAGCTAAATGCCCCAGTAATCTCCATGTTCTCCGCATAGTTTCTGGTGAGTCGGCTGAGTGCCTTGAAGGCCCAAGTTCGATCTTCCTCAGAATCCAAGATGTTGCGAGCGCTAGATTGCTTCAACATCTTGATTTTTGCGTCATTGCTTTCCTAGAAGCGGAATATGTGGAGTGCAGGTGATTTAAGCTTTGTACGGGACCAGTCAACATGACGTAGGTGTCGCTATGCTCATTGGTGGAGCGCCGGTCTCTGGTCCACTTCGTGGAGTATCCGCCGCCAATTGAGTGTTGATTGTGCCTGGCAAGTGACGATCATGGCTACAGGAACATGATTCTCATGACATGGAAATGTCCAGAATTGACAGGAATGCGGGATTGCTATGTGATGCAATTCTTGTGGAGGACTCGGCCGTTGTTTATTTAAACCTCCTCAACATCCCCCCTCTGGATCAAGTCTCATCATCAGCATCACAATTTCACTTACAACTTCAATCTCAATTCTCTCAACTCTCAACTACACCACAACCTACGTTCTCATCTTGAGCTCAATCAATCCTTCAAAATGGAGACTGCCAAGCAAGCTTTCAACTACGTCGCCGAGTCTGTCCAGGGCGCTACTTCTGGTGTCAGCAAAGAAACCAACAAGGAGATTGCTAAGAACGACAACGTCGATGTTAGCACTCGGTAAGCCGGAGCAAATATTCCGAGTATGCATGTATATGGCCAAAGTCCGCTAACCATTCGCAGCTTGACTGCTGGCAAGGACGCTCTCGGTGACAAGATCGACGAAACCGTCCACAACAACAAGGCCGAGGCTCACAAGCAGCTGGCACAGAACAACTAGATCGGGATAAGGATCTGGGATCCTTCAAAGGCAAAGGCGTTGCAACGGCATAAAGCGAAGGGAATACATAGCCCACTAGGCAGGAATTGATGATTTGAATTCGCACATATGCTCATTTGCGTGCTCACGGGTGACGGTGATACTGCGACTTTCATTCGGTCGTGAAGCCATTTGCCCAATTCGAATATTCGTAGTGTTGGTGAATCTGCCCCTCGCATGGCTATGGACGGCATAACCCAATCGGCGGCTGAAGTCGTAAATCTCTCAACTAAGTTATGCAATGGATAACTGCCGACAGCGTACTCGTATGGTCATCCTGACGGGCATAAATGCGCCTCCGTTAGTCGCATTTCTCGTATCGAATGAGTTAATTGCGCACACTAGCGACGATATAGGAAAATAGTTGAGGTTTGGCCAAAATTCAAAATAAGAAATAGCCTTATCCAGCTACCCGGCCAATAGTATGGCTGTTCTGCAGCGGGGTAGTAGTGTTAACTGGTAACAGTAGCATTCGCCGTCAACCTTGGAGTAAGAATTCGGTGATAGCCTAGAACGTTAGCGAGTTGTTGCTACATAAATTTCCCATGTCAAATCCTTTGGCTACGCTTCCCCTCGAACTTCAGTTGCCCCTCGATCAAACCTTGATACTAGAGATAGATAGGAATGTCGGCCAACGCCTGGCCATTGGGACGCATGTAAGCCCAAAAAAAAAAAAAAAAAGTCCACGATGATACCTTCGCTCTTGGTATGCATAGGAACATGGCCCATTATCGAAAAATCAGGGTCGTGAGCAGGTACTTTGAACTCCATTATCGGTGATACGAAGGCCAGGGTCCTTTTTCCGGAAGCGGGACTGCCGCTAATTGGTCGTCAACCCCACTCATCGCCCGGAGATTGTAGCAACAAAGTGCGGAAGGGCGGGCTTTCGCAACTAACAAAGAGCGAGCATGCGGTGTATCTGCTTCTTTGTGTCCTTTGACGGCTAGTGGCCCCTGCTGTCTGACAAGAGTTGCAGCGTGAAGAGAAGAGTCCCCGTGTTATTGGCAGAATCTGGGTAGCTTTGCCCGTGGGCAGCACTAGTTGCATCAGATGCGTCCAAGACGGCAAATCACCTCATGTGGCGACGGGCCGCTGGGCACACAAGCAGATTGCTGACGACTCAATGCCTTTGCCATGTCGTGTCTTGAATTCTGGGATGAGGGGGGAGCGGCCAAAGGTCTCGACAAGAAAAGAGACATGGACACACAGTGGCCGTGAGTGCTGGGCTTCGGCTTTTCTGGGGATATCGGCCGGACACAGCACAATTGCCGAAGGGGCAGCGCAGACTGACACAGCTCGATTAGCACTGTATTTTGCAGTCGATGGTCGTTCGTGTACTTGCCAGTACGGGACAGGTACCGGTGTCGTCAGCAGTTGTAGTGCCTGTTCCCAGAAGAGGTAGCTCAAGCAAAAAGTACTCCAGGTACTCGTATGTCGGCTGTATGTACAAATATCCCCTGGCTCATGCTGGCAGGCAATGTTGCTGTCATGCACTAACGGCCGTGGCCCTTGGAGGAAGCGTACTCGTATAATAGGTAGGATAAGCAAGCAAAGCGGAAAGGGGAGGAAGAAAAGAGACGGCAAGTCTCGTCAGGACGCGGTGTCGAGAATGCGACCTGTTATAGAAATAGACGACTCGAGGGGATAATACGGAGCACTCACAGATACGGCACACTACCTGGTGTTGCTCGTCAGTCGCAGCACGAAGCACGAAGTAGCCGCTTAATATTGCCGCCGGGTCAAGTTCCAGATGCTCCGTAAGCAAGATGCTACCCAGATGGAGGCCCTTTTGACCCTCTCAGGACAGCACCGTGCGCAGCGCACCGTATCGACAGGCGACTGTTCAAGCATCTGGACCGACACCAAGGCGTCGCGGCAGAGCGGACAACGGTCAGGCCGAGAAGGACCTTCGACATCGCGCCAATCCAAGGGCGGGCGGCACACTAGCCAGACACCCTATTGGAAGGGCTGAGAGCCGGACGGCTTTTGCTGCGCTGCCCCCGCCCTGCGAAGCCGCTGACAAATGCGGCAAGATTCCTCATCCTCATCCTTCCCAGCATCTGTCAAGTCGTCTCCCCAGCATCACCACATGCTGCGTCCCCTCTCTCTGCAGGCCACAGTGCGCGGCGAAATCCCCTAGCCTCCAGCACACGATAACTGTCTCTTTGCCAGGCCGCACGGAAGCGCCTAGAAGAGTTTTTTCTGACTCAGGCAGCAAAAAGTGCAGTGCAGCGTCTTCCCTGGTCATCCGCCGCCCCACAGTGCTAAGGAACGACGTGAGAACCGCTACTGTACACTGGAACTTCCCATTTGCCTCCCAGCCATCCAGCTCTTGCACCAACCAAACATCATCATCTCGACACTCCTGGGACCAACGCTACGTCTGTCTGTGACGTGCAGTGCATCCGGGATTTCCCTTTTGTCCCATTCTTTCATCTGTTCTTATCTGCCCGTATCCCCCTCGTCGCAGCTCTGCTCTTGAGACGCTCTCCCCCTTGGATCTCTGACGCCCTAGCGTCTGGCATTTCAAATCAATCTCCCCGCCACCCGCGGCTACGGAGGGAACTCAACAAGCCCGTATTGAGAGAGTGAGAGAGACCGGCGCTCTTGTCTGCTGTTCTCAGGGCAGCGATATCGTCAACATTGGCCTCTGTTTTGTTAAATTCTCATCCTCATCTCTGCTGAAATGGCGACAACCGGCTCCGGAAGTGGCTCGTCATTGCCACCGAATTTCTTCTTGACCCCGCAGCAGCAGAATCTTCTCTTCACGGCTCTCAACGCGAACAAGCAGCAGCAGGCGAATGCAAAGACGGCGCTCTCGTTGTCTCCGACTTCTTTCAAGACGAACCCGCTCCAGAGCCTTGACGGTGCTGCATTCCAGGAAAGCCCCTTCCTCGACAACTACGACTACGACTTTGGTGATTCCAGCTTTGATTTTTCATTTGCCAATGATGCCGCCCAGGCCAGCATGATTGGAGATGTTCCGGATAGAGCCATGAGCGCCAAATCCGACTCGACTGAAACCGAAAGCCCCGAAAAGAGGAGCCACCCTGATGATGAGGATGACGATGCCAGCCCTGGCAATGAGTCCAAGAGACACGAAGGCTCCGACAAAGTCCCCAAGAAGCCTGGCCGTAAGCCGCTCACTTCAGAGCCAACTTCGGTACGCCCAAATTTCTTCTTTTCTGAATACCTCTCGAATTCTTGTCCACTAACAAAAGCCTATTGCAGAAGCGTAAGGCTCAGAACCGAGCTGCTCAGCGTGCCTTCAGAGAGAGGAAGGAGAAGCATCTCAAGGATCTTGAGACCAAGGTTGAGGAGTTGGAGAAGGCTTCGGAAGCCGCCAACCATGAGAACAGCATGCTCCGTGCTCAAGTCGAGCGTATCACTGCTGAGCTCAACCACTACAAGCAGAGGATGACCCTTGCGACGCCCAAGACATCTGTTCCAACTGCCCGTGCCCAGCCATTCGGCGCCGCGGCCATCAACAACATCAATGATGTTAGCTTTCAGTTTGAGTTCCCCAAGTTCGGAACCCTCCCTGGCCCCCTGCCCAAGGCTCACCAGAAGTCCATGTCGCAACCCATCAGCCCCAGTTCCCAACAGGCCCCTAGCCCTGCCGCAAGCCAGAACATGGACAAAGTGGTCTCTCAGCAGGCGGCACGAAATGCGCAGTTCAAGGAAGATCTCGCAAAATTTAACAATGGCGTGTTTAACATGCACACCCCCTCTATGAGCAGCAGCTCTGCCGCTACTGGATCTCGAGCCAGTGTCGACTCGGTCAACTACAGCCTGAACAATAGCACAAGTTCCCCATCAGCCTCTTCTCATTCCAATGTCGGCGCGAGCTCATCGTGCGGTACATCCCCAGAGCCATTCACCCAGTCCCCCATGGGCTTCAAGCCCGTTGATACCCTGACGACGATTGGCGAGGAGCATCCCTCCATGGCCACCACAGAAGGACCCTTTGCTCAGTTTTCCGGCGTGGATTTCAGCAACAACAGCTTTGATTGGATGGTCCAGCAGAACAATGGCGGCCAGTTTGACCCGCAGCTGTTTGGTGATTATCGCGAGCCTCAGGAGAACGTTATGACCAACTCTACCTTTGACGACCTGTTCAATGATTCACTTGAGGCCGATTTCTTCACTCCTTACAACATCGCTGCTAGCCCGAACCTGACCAAGAAGACCAATCTCATTGATGAGATCGATGCAAAGCAGAACGCAGTAGATGATGATCCATCTAACAAGTCAAACATGAGCTGTAACCAGCTTTGGTACGTCGCCACAAATCTGATTTCGGGTATTTTATATACTAATATGTCTATCATAGGGAAAGGCTCCAAGCATGCCCCAAGGCTCAGAATGGCGAGTTTGATCTGGATGGCTTGTGCTCAGAACTTACCAAGAAGGCAAAGTGCTCCGGAAGTGGGCCAGTTGTTGCCGAGAGAGATTTTGACAGCATCCTCAAGAAGTACATGGGCAAAGAGGCATCCGATTGCACGGCTGAAAGCCTGGGCATATCACTTGACAAGAGCCAGAGCCAGAGTGAGCCTTTGATGCCATAATGTACAGAATCAATGGCGTTCCACTGGCGCATATAGTGTACAATAAAAACCCGATTCTGGTACAAAAGAGGACACAAAGAATCCATGGATTTTACGGCGTTTTGAGCAATCAGAGGGGCATGGCCGAGGCCAGTGACCCCGGGCTTTTACAAGCATTGGATGGACATAGGACGAAAGGGCAACTCGTCATTCTTGAAGCATAATTTTGGTACTATTTTTTGATTTTTTACACGATTAGGGACTCGGACTGTTGTATCTCTACTATGAATGATTACGCTCTGCATTTTGCAATCAATCTTGGCTTTTGTCTTCGCTCTTTCGCATGAACGATTCGATATGGATTGATCCAGGCTGGAGACGACTTCGGCAACTCACGGGGGTTACATGGCGGCTGGCTCTGGATTGCGGTTGAAGGTTTTGAACAATGGGCGACGTTCGTTTTGTTTATGGGGCATACATGCTGGCAATAATGGAAAGGAACTGGTTTTTTATCTTGCTGTTTCTTTTGGGACAGATACGCATTGATTGGTCATTTTTCGTGTGTACATTAAACAGCCGAGAAAAAAATCACAATGAAATGTCTGGGAAACTACATATGCATACCCAGGTAGGCATTTAAAGATTGGATGGCGTATCTATCCTAATCAAAGAAATCGATATCAATCGCTTGCTCGTCTCTCAAGAAAGTTCTCCCGCTGTGATATTTCTGCCAACTTGGCCTTTGGATAACCGATTTCCCCTGCTCATATCGGAATTACCCGTAATGGGCTTGAGTCATTTGTAACATCGGGGGTGAGTAAATGTAATGTCATGCTTGGCTAATCAAGAACAAATCGGGAAGCACGGTAACAAGGCACGGCAAGGGTTAGCTAAGAGAGGAAAGAAGGGTTAAAAAAAAAAAGAAAACGAAAACGAAATCATTAGGAAAAAGAAGACTTTCTTTAGTCTCTAGTTTGACGTTGGAATTTTTTTTTTCTTACTTCCCCCCTTGCCCCCTCTTTCGTAAAATTTGCCTGAATTGTCTGATATGTGTGTTGTTGAGTCAGGGGGGGATCATGGGATTACGCAAAAATAAGCCGTGTTCAGAGTGTCATGACGGGACTGCAGGGAGGTTAATACGACGCCTCATCTGATCACTCAACTAGAGGGGGCAAAGCAAAAAAGGAGACGGAAGAAAGAAATATCTTTATCTGGTGAATCATATTGTGAAATGCTCATGTATTTCGTATGTATGGATATATTGTTAGGTCAAGAGCATTCATACTGACTTCAAGTTGGACCGCATATAAAACATCCCTTCCAATCCCCAGTAAGGTTATGATTGTGATCTAATAGATACGAATGCATGGCAACATGCACTCACTGCAGATATAGTTGTTGCACTTGCGCTCTGTATTGCAATCGCAAATATTCTTCTTTGCATTTCGTCCCCGCCCCTTCCGTTGACTGATTTTCTGCTTCTACTCAAATTTTGTTAGCCCTGCTATCGGGAATCTTAAGAGTTATTGGAGACTTTGCTATTCCAACTTCGAATCATGTATAGATTCCTCTCTTGATCCCAATGAGAACTGCCAATTATGCGTCTGGGAATTTGTCGCTCAGCCGTAATAGGTGCACATTGTTCGCAAGCAAAGCGTGAGTGCAGTGAACCTGGTGTGTATCTGGTAAAGGGTCCAATATCCCAGAATATCCCCTCCAACAGACACGTTCGGCAACATCTTCAGCAACTAGCCGTGCTCCGTTGGCCTCGAGCAAGTATCTGCATGCATACCTCACTAATCCAACTGCCTTCTGGCGAAATTGGCACACTCAATAACAAAAGTCTAGGATGTTTTCAATGTTCTCAGCGTAACAACTTATAAGCAAGCTTGGTGGCAGCACCTGAGGCTCCCAAGTTACCAAAATCTCGGCATACACAGAGCCAAGGGAGAATATGTCGGTTCTATCATTTCGGAGATCGGAAGAGTGGGCAACTGTCTTAGGTGCACAATACCTTTGACTGAAACCATCAGGAATCCCAGCAGTGGTAGAGGATCCAAGATGAGAGCCATCAAAAAAGATACCAAAATCGGTATAGATAGCTCTTCCTTGATGAACTGGAAGATTTTCTGGCTTGATATCCTTGTGACGAATCGTTTTCTCCGTGCAGGAATGCGAGCCTGCTCGTGAGGAATTCTAGAGAGCATATTAGTATCGATGTATGATGGGGAGAAAGATGGCACCAGGAGCGTCGTCAACCGTTTATGCCTCCATCGTCGTCCAAGTCACCTCCAATAATAAGCCATATACCTAGGAAGATAGCTACCTCATCTTGGTGCTGTATACTATTTCCATACTAGTCAAAGATCGATCCATCGACCTGAACAGGCTGCTTTGCTGCATTTGACAGTCTATGTGATATCATATCTCATATCTCATTATGACCATCTAGACCTTACAGGCACTAGATCGCGAGGAAAATCACGGGAATATTAGCCCAAAGGCAGCTAGGAAGGACAACCTGACTAGGTACATGAGGAATCTTTTATGGAAAGAGGAAGGCGACTTTATGCTCATAGCTATATGTTTGGTATTGATTGGTATGTATGTATCATAATTATGGCCAGCTACATGAAAACTGTTCTCCGTCTGTCTATAACATTAGGCCGAGTCCAAACGACATCATGGTGTACTTTGAGTGAAAGTATGATACTACTAGGACGATGCAGATATCCATATTCCCGCTAAAACCGCCCGCTGTTCTGCCCTGTTCCACGTCTAAAATATGCCAACGCCAAACCAGGAGAGAGAAATGAAAATCGAATAGAGCAATTGGGTAAGTATTGCTCGCTATCCAAGAAAAAAAAAACGTCAAACATGAAGAAAGCGTTAGGACGTGCGTATGTGAATCCCTTCCGGTAGGGAGGTAATATCGTACAATGAGATGGGTATCGACGATCGAAAAGGCGTTCTAGCCGCCAGATATGAAACACGAGAGGTGCTCTAAATGCCTGCCTCGTAGATATTTCATACAGGGACGAAAATAAGCCAAGAAAATAGAAAAGGCAACGTATCCGTCCGCCAGCCCGACACGGCGGCTAGACAAGCAATGTTGAGGTGTGGTGAGTTCAGTCCCAGGAGATGCCGAGGCCAGCGCTTCAAGCGGGCCATATGAATTCCAGAATATCAATCTTCCGTTAACTCCGTGTGAACCCATTAGCCCGTATCACGTACTCATTCTCCTCGTGGGTATCGCATCCGGTTCGCTGTCCTTTGAGGGGGAAAAGGCGTTGCGTCGTCGCAAATTCATCACAATCTTGGCCTTGGCTTTTCAGCTAATGACGACTCTGGCTCCCTCCTTGCCCAACACGCCACGCTCCTTGGGCTTGGGGCTATTATTTCTCCCCTTCTTGTTCTTCAAGAATCCAAACATGCCGCCTGATCCTTCGTTCTTGGCTTCCGCTGCGGTAGCAGCATCCTTTGGAAGTGTTGCATCTTGACGGGCAAGCTCTGACCAACTGCCTCCGCCATCCAGCGTCACCTGCACTCCGCCTGTCGGACTGGTTACTCGTTTGCTCATGGGCGGCGATCGAGGGACGTATTGGACTTGTCCAGGATATGCAGCCTGTTGGCCCTGAGGAGGCACCCGACCACTATGTCTATCAGCGCTGACAAGGGGTTCCACAGGAGGAGCTGGATAGGTCATTGGCGGCTCGTTCATCTGCGTAGCTTCGTCTGTCGTAAGGGCCTGAGCCGCAATTGTCGCCGGATCGATATCTTCGCCGTGAACAGCAGTGAGCCTGCTGAGGGTTAGCGTTCCGTTGTTCAGTTGGGGGGAAAAAAAGGAAAGGAAAAAAAAAGACGGGGCATCCCAACGTACTTGTTGTAGGCCGCGATGTTGTAGTCGAACGGACGGAAATCTGTTTCAATCATTCTGTACAGTTCATCCTCGCGAATCTCCTGATCGGTGGCATCCTCCTTTAGTCGCTCTCTCGGCTTCTGTCGTCTTGCGCGAGCTTCGAGAGGGGCCTCTTCAAGCAACAGCTCCTCCAAGTCGTAAGTTGCGTCAAAGTTGGTCTTGTCCGACGAGGGGACGAAAATGGGCTCGATGCGTTTCTGCTCGAGTAAATCGAAATTGATCGTTTTGAAGAAATCATGGTAGATGAAGCTCTCCCACGTTGAGCCGAGTCGGTTGTTGGGGTTCACCTCGAGTGCGGCGCGAATGGCATACAGGCATGTCAACGAGACGGGGGGCTGCGTGACGGGATATTTCGGCTGGGAAAATTGAACTTGTTGGCTCAGCGAGTTCTCACTGTTGCCCTCGAATGGTCGCTGGGTTGGGTTTAGCCACAAAATCTCAAAATCGCGAACAGCAGAGTTGCGTTGCGGGGAGTAGCGGAAAACAAACCTTGTTGTAGATACACTCGTAAAACAAGACACCTAGTGACCACCAATCCGCACGAATGTCGTATCCCTTGCCTGAATAGACTTCCGGGGCAAGGTAAGCCAAGGTTCCGGATTTGCTCGTCATGATGCGCCCCGGAACAATGTCAGAAGCCACGTTCTACGAAAACGAGCCCAGTCAGCTTATCAACCCGCGCAGTCTCACTGATTCGATACAACTTACAAAATCGGTCAAATGGACATGTCCCTCGGCGTCGAGAAGGACGTTGTCGGGCTTGACGTCCCTGTGGATGATGTTCTGGCTATGGACGTAGCGCAGGGCACAACCCAATTCAGCTATCCAGAAACGGACGGCTTCCTCCGTAAAGGTCTTTCTGGAGATGTGGAATCGCAAATCACCGCCACTCATGAGATCGACGACGAGATACCTTGGAGATGTCGTTAGTAGGGCGCCCAGGTTAGGTTGTGTGGTGTGGCGTGGGTGGGAGGGGGGCTCACATGTATTCGATGTCCTGGAAGCTGTATCGCAAATTGCAGATGAAGGGATGGTTGACATGCTCCAGCATTCGCCGCTCGCGGATGATGTTCCGGACGCTTTCCGA